TCAGCGCCATGCGCAGACTACTTCTCCTTTGGACCGGACTGGGACATTGGGACGCTGGACTACTCTTTTATCCAGGCCCAATTCGAGTTGGGCGACGCCAATATGATAACTGGTGATGTCTCGGACAGTTGCCAAGACAGTCTAGTTTCTCTGGTCTCTGAAAGTAAGAATGTTGCGCTTTCAGATATATGGGAGCCAAAGAGCGACGAACATAACGAGATGGAGCGGCAAAATCTGGCAGTGGGTGAAGGGGCGTTCGGAGTCTCTCACTCGCAAAAAGCGACCGGAACCCGGGTAAACAAGCTGTGTGTGTCACCAGCTATACGCAGCAAAGTAGTTGGCATGATTCTTAGGACGACATCGGAGTCCAGGTCAGCAGAGGTACTGGGATGTTTTCCTGGGTGCCAAGCCTTGAGCTCGCTTCTTGACATCTACTCAGATTACTGGGAGGCCACCCGCATCTACGACTTTGTGCATTTGCCAACCCTTGACCTTTGCAAACAGGCACCGGAGTTGTTGGGAGCTTTGATAGCGATAGGTGCTATTCAAGCAAAATCGATAGTGGCCCGAAAATTTGGATATGCAATGCAGGAAGTTGTGAGAGCGTCAACCTTCGACAGTGTGAGAATTCTAGGCACAATCCCCGACCTTCAGCGGCTAACAAGATGATTATGACTGTAGTGGGAAGGAAATAATGCCGCGGTATGCGACATCAGCTTAGCCCAAGGCTTCTTGTTACAGCAGCAAATTGCTTTCTTTAGCGGTGTGAGACGCAAAATTGCACTAGCGGAAGCCTGTTCGAAAGCTGCTGAAGTTCTGATCAAGAATGGGGGCCACATGAAGGGAGCCAGGCAGACAGACTGTCAGGACCTGTCGACTATCACGGAAGCCCATGGAGATACCCTTGATGAATTATGGCGTCAATGGTCGGTTCGTGAGTCCCAACGACGACTGGTCTATGCTTCCTACATTTTGGACGCCCATGTGTCCATGTCACATGGAACACAGATGATTTCGACATATGTCGATATGGATATGCCATTGCCAGCTCCCAATCGGTTGTGGAAAGCGTCGTCGGCAATGCAATGGAAGGACGAGATCGTTGCTTTACACGGGGCGCATGTGTCAGAGCCGCGTTCAAGCATCTGCCTCACAAAGCTTATGGCTCAGCCGCTGTCTAGTCCAGCGGGATTCAAAGATATCGACTCGGATGTTGCAATTTTCGCGTTTCTAGCTGGAGTTTGGGCCCTATGCATGGAGTGCCATCAACTCAGCTTTGTCTTAGGGCAGTCGAGCACTTGGAGCCACATGATACTAGGCTCAAGACGCAACGAGCTATGTTGCACGACGAAAGGTTTTGCTTCTCAGCTTCAGCTTACTAAGGTTCAAGTACCTGCTGAGATGGAGGTTCTCTTTGAGGCCCTGATTATGCACACCCTCACACAGCGGGATACTCCCGTCCTACGCCACCTGGCCCTCTCTCGAGCCGAAAGCGACCCAATGTGCCAAGGCCCCTCACCAAAACAAAATCGAAGTCCTGAGTATTGCCATGCGCTTTGGCGAGCGGGTCGGGTTATTCGAGCGTCGCGAAGTTGTCCGACAGGGAAGCTTTGTGGAGTATTTGCCTCGTCCTTGTTCCAAGCCGTTCTGCTTCTCTGGCGGCATGGTCAATCATGCCACAGCCTTGACAGTTCAACACTGCCCACTTGCATTATAGATGAAGACGGATGCCAGGAGCAACATATTTTGGCCGGCAACATCAGCCTGGCAGTCTACGGCGCTCGCTCTGTACCAGTGTTTATCAAATCAGCGGACTTCGGAGAAAGCATAAGGGAGGTGATTGAAAAGAATTGGGAGGGCAAATATATGCCATCATGTACAGCGGGTATTTGCGACTCACTGTCAAACCTATCTAGAGAAAACAAGGATCATTAAGAGGAAATGAAGGAGCAAGGTGGAAGAGCTTGCAATAAGTAAAGGGAACTTCTGAGCTCCACGAGAAGGGGCTTGTATTGATTTTACCCTCAGTTACTCAATCGAAGTGGTCCTCTGTGATGCAGCGGCATTGTGGTGTATCCGGCTTATGGATCCTCATCGGCTCTCCACATCCGGCCTCTCCACATCCCGAACGAGGCTGCCCGTACCTTTTATATGAAAGAGAAGCCAAAGTTTCAGTGAATTGTCGTGAAGGTTTTGAAAAGCAAGGTTCCCCTGGCAACTTTCGACTATTGAGATTTCGCCTTCAAGGAACATCGTCGAGGACTACACCCAACTCCAGAATGGCCCCCATCAATCAACCTGGCTTACCCCCTCGAGGGACCTTAACACCCAAAGATAGCCACAAGAATATGCGGGTGGGAATTGTGGGTGCTGGCATTGGAGGCCTTATGGCAGCAATTACCTTGCTAGAGGGAGGACATGAAGTTGAGGTAGGCATGAATGCCGCTGGAAACCGATGCCTAACCCCTACTCACCCAAGGCCAGGTTTTCGAGAAGTCTCGATTCAGCAAAGAGGTCGGAGCAGCTATCTCAGCACCACCCAATTCCTCAAGGATCCTTGATTACTTCGGTTTCGATTTCAGTCGCGCCAAGGCTACGCCGGCAGAAAGTGTAAGTGGATTCCAGCTTGAATAGCGAACACGTCGTGGCGCTGACTGCCCTCAAAGCTGGTCTACAACAATGACGCCGAAGACTTGGGAGACAAGACGGTACTTTCTCTCTTAGATTATAAGTCCAAGTACGGATTTGCTTGGCATTTCTTCCATCGTGTCGATCTTCATGATGAGCTTAGGAAGCTTGCAACTGAGCCAACTCCTTCACGTAAGGGGTTTGCTCGCCTTCATCTCGCTACACCCGTTTCAAGTATCGATCTGGATGGAACTATTCATTTCCCAGATGGAACGACAGTGAAGAAAGATCTTGTCGTCGCGGCCGATGGCGTCCGCGTGAGTTCAGAGTATCCAAGACCCATTGCAGCACTGGAAACTAACCCGCACAGTCCTCTTTCATATCCACGGTGTTGGGCGAAGAGATACCGTCTCAGCACTTCATGACAATGACTCGGTTGCTGCTTCCTACGGAGCAAATGGCCAATGATGCCGATACTAACGCCTTTTTCAAGGGCGGATACAACTCAATTAGAGTCCTCAGAGTTGACGACGGCAGCCTTGTCACGTATGGCTGCAGAAAGTAAGTCGAAAAGCACCCATCGTGTCTAGAATACAGAACATTTGACTTATTGAAATGCAGTGGCGCGCTGCAGAACATTGCATTTATGTATCCAGCTGAGGACGCTGCAGGTATGCCAATTTTATGTGCCAAGAAATCTGCTCTTTCCGCCACTGACTCATAAATGGTAGTTAATAACGAGGAAAAAAAGACTGATACCCATCCTGGAGGCTTTTTGAAAAAGTATCCTGCTTTCATCCAGTCTCTCGCATCGTAAGCCCTCGATTCTCCCACTAGTCTCTTAAGATCCTGCAGTCCATCTAACGAACTTTGCAGGAAGGCCAGTGGTATAGGAGAATGGAGGCTACTAACGAGAAAGCCTCTTGACAGATTTGCCCGAGGTCGACTCGCGGTCATTGGTGATGCAGCTCATCCGATGCCTCCCTGTAAGTCAGCTTTGAACTCATGCTGTGAAGACGACTCAGCTCACGCGACCTTCGTAGTACGTGCGCAAGGAGCATCCATGGCCATTGAGGATGCCGCCGCTCTCGGTGTGTTTCTGTCGAGGTTGACAACCTTGGAAGATATCCCGACGCGATTGGAAATGTTCAATGACCTACGAGTGAAACGAGCCGCTACTGTGCAGCTCATGTCGTCTCAACACAAATGGGACCCGAGGAAGATCCCGGCAGAATACGTCCACTACTTTGGCGAAGACATCCCACGTACGGAACCTACTTCCTCAATTGTTCAGAATTATCAACACTAACTCATGATTGCGATTGCAGAAAATGATGTGGACTTGGAGAGGTGCAGTTGCGACCACAACGTCATAAAGGAGGCGTTTAGGATGCTGCAAAAGAAAGATGAGGGAAAGTTGTCACCGGCTTGGGACGCACAGAAGGCAGAGAATGCCACGATAGCTCTTCTTTAGATCCCATGAGCAACCCACTCATCGCAGTTGTTGTGCTGTATTGGGCGCTTAATCTATTCACTCGAGACTTGAAATTGTTGAAGGAGGCAAGGCTAGGAACTCACTTCCATGGCGGGATATTGGGTCCCGCTTGCAGAGCGGGGCGGTGAGGGTTGTTTCGAAGTAAAGACGAGGATGTGTCGAAGATGAGACTTCCACAATCCATGGCTTGAGCAGCTGGCAAGAGATCCATTGCCAAAAGCAGACAGGTGTTTTGTTAGACTACTAAACGGGTCTCCATATCTCACGCGACCATCCGGAGCGGTGTCTCGGATCGAGCAGCCTGAACGAAAACAGTCCATGTTACGCGGGGCATTCCTGGTGTCTTCTCCAATATTGTGGCGTTAGTTTGTACGGACGATAGTTTATTTTGGTCCCATCTTGAACACATGTTCGCTCGTTGCTGAAAACAACGTAATTTCCGAAACATGGCGGCTTGGCTGTGGTAGAGAAAATCACCTTTCATTTGCTGAGACACGACCTGATGAATTTGGGTGTCACACTTCCATGCTGTACGCCAGCCGCATCTGTCCTGGGACGCCGACGTAAAGAGAATTATTAGAATGGTTGTTTCTTTCATCATCCATTGTCAAGGCGGCATCGGACACAACGGCTCGGCGCGTCAAAATTGGCAACGCTCCTTTTGGAGGGAGCCACCCACCAGTCTCGAAGTGACCTGAGAGTCACCAAAACATTCTTCTTGGCATATTTTCCGAGAGCAGAAAGCGACCAAGAAGTGATGAGTATTTAACTGTCTCGTAGGTCGCCATATTTATTTCTGTGGCTCGTGTAGATTCTCCTTTATGTTGCTCTTCAACACTAACTCCGGAGATCGCACAGGACAATATCGATTTTCAAGATGAGGACGCCTACGAGATCTCTCAGCTTCCTCTTCCTCCTCGCTACCTCTGCCCAAGGTGCACCGACAAAAGAAGTTCATGCAGACATTGAGGAAGAATGCAGCAGGGTCCAAGTAGCGATCCTCGGCGCTGGCCTCGCTGGAATCACTGCCGCCAAGGTATTAGATGATGCAGGCATCAAGAACTTCACAATTGTTGAGTACAACGACCGAATCGGCGGGCGTGTGTACAATCGCGCTTTTGGAAGACAGCCAAATAGTGACGAGCCTTACTTTGTAGAACTCGGCGCGAACTAGTATGAAGATATGATATGGTCTTGAGAGTCCAACTAATGATGTGGATAGGGTCCAAGGCACTGAAAATCCAACAGAAGAAAACCCAATCCTGACTTTGGTCAAAAAGTACAACCTGACCAATACACCCTCCGACTTCTCCAATCTAACTGTCTTTGATGAGACCGGTCAAGTGCACCCTGGCAGGTTATCAGAAAGGTTCAAAGAGATTCAATCGCTGTACGATAACGCCACTGAAGAGTATCAGTACGACGCCGGTGAAATAATTCTTCAGAATCAGCAAGACCGCAGTGCCCGTGCCGGCCTCGCTATCGCCAACTGGAAGCCGGGCAGCGAACCGCTAGCCCAAGCGATCGAGTGGTCTTCGATTGATTTCGAATATGCCAACCCTCCGGAGAAGACGTCTCAGCAGTACTCGGTCGTCAACACCAACACATCCTTCCAACGTTGGGCGGATGAAAACAACCTTGTACACGATGCCCGAGGATTTGCCACCTTCTTCAAGGAGGAAGCCAAATTGTTCCTGGACGAGAGTAGCCAATTGAAACTCAAGACGATTGTGTAAAACATCACCTACTCTTCAGAATCCGTCACGGTGTACAACGAAGACGGCAGCTGCATCACTGCCGATCACGCCATCTGCACGTTCTCGCTAGGCGTCTTGCAGAAGGAGGTAGTCAGTTTCTCGCCAGAGTTGCCACGTTGGAAACGCACTGCCATCCAGTCTATGACCATGGGAACTTACAAGAAAATATTCATGCAGTTCAAGCCAGAAGATGTATTCTGGGACAAGAGCACTCAATTCTTCTTGTACGCCGATCCAGTCCAGCGGGGTTACTATCCTTATTTTCAGTCCCTGGACCACAAAGACTTTGTGGACGGCTCGGGCATCCTCTTTGTCACCGTGGTCGACCAGCAATCCTACGTTGTGGAGGCTCAAGACTTTGATACAACCAAGAGCCAGATCATGGAAGTTCTGAGGGATATGTTCCAGCGGGAGATTCCTGATCCCATTGACTTTTACCATCACGACTGGACTCGCGAGCCTTGGGCGTACGGATCATACTCGAATTGGCCGCCGGGTATGACATTGGAGATGCATCAAAACATCCGTGCCAATCTCGGGAATCTGTGGTTCGCCGGCGAGGCCACTCATCCACAATACTTTGGGTTCTTGCAAGGCGCGTATTACGAGGGGATGAGCGCGGGCGAGGCTGTTGTAGGCTGCATTAAGAACAAGGAGGATTGTGTCAGGGGGGTTTCGTACGAGGTGCTGAATGGAACGACTACTACTGACAAGTATTCAAAGATCAATGGGTGGAGTACCAAAACATTCGTTAAAGAGCTTGGTATAAACATTAAGAGTTGAGAGATTGACGCGAAAGATTCAAAACTTCAGGACGTTGGCGACGAAGGTCCTCCTACATATTCGTGCTCTTTTACCCAAAACACTCGGATTCAGTGAGCCGTGGTTCCCGTCGATACCTCGCCTTCTTCATACCGTGAGATAGTGGATAGGGGAATGCAGCTTATTTGCACGAGAACGTCCAACAAAGTTCCACCAGTGATCGAATTGAATCAGGACAAGAAGCTGGTAGCATGAATGATGTGAAACTTCTGCGAATATGGCAGTGGCGCGCTTCCAGCTCTCCCAGCATACTTGACCCCCATGGCCAGAGTAAACTACAGTGAGCCACCAACAGGCTTCCTCACACAGTAGTAGATAATACGACGACATGTGTTCTCCCCCCTCCACCGGGCACATTGTTTAAGCCCAGTTCATTTCCAGATCCGTGGAGGGTCAGAAACAGGACTAGAATCGACCTCTGAACAGTTGAATCCCATCGAAGAAGTTAGCTCTATATTTCATCAATGCGAAGCTGTTAGGGGTCATCGAGGGTGACTGGGCCTGTCCCCTTCATCATATCCACCTCCGATAGTACAATTTACCTGGCGGTAATTCTTCAGAAACAAATAACTTTACCAGTATCCTTTCTTTGAACCTTCCTCCACCCGTCGTAAAGTGGAACACGATTCAAAGGCAAGAAATCTCAGGAGAAGCTACATACAGAACATACAAGGATGGAGTATGGTCGCGCGAGGTCGGCGAGGAGGAATGAGTCTGGTGACAGCTGACAGGGTGGACTCCGAATCATTCCGGCCCAACACGATGAATGGAATGTGCTGCATGTCATTTCCGTATGTGGCAAAGTCTCCATCAAACAGACGGTCACAACACTTCATCCAAGTCCAGGGGTCTCAGGAGTCCCAACGGAAACATTTCCAGCAGGATGGATCTGGTTAGTTGAGGCTTGAACGGGCGCCATGCCGATTGAAGTTAAATCTAAATCAGATCCCAGGAGCTGGCCGTGCGGTCATCATTATGACAGTGAAGAAGATCAGACTTTGGTAGAACTGTTAAAGTCTATGACCCCGCGGGCAAATGGACCCTTGCTACTGCCAGGTGGTTCCACATCTCACTTGCAGCGTCCAGAAAAGAAAAGGCTTGCAGGCATGGAGGCTCTGATAACGATACTTGTGACACTCTCTTTCAGGTCTCCTCGATGCGATTTGGGGAACCGATTACCAGCCAACCCTGATAAGATGGTGCCTTAACTACTAAGTGTCGAGGTATTAAATTGTTGCAACTGGAAGAGAGCAACTGCGGGGGTAATGATATCATACGAACATGCGCGAAAATGCCGATATTCAGCAGATGTGGTAAGTGAGAGCGCTCAACGTAGGTCAAGTAAGCTTTCTGAAGGTGCTATTTAGGCGGCAGGAACAAACCCAAGCCATCCAAGCCGATACCGATATCGCTACGAGCGTGGCTTGGACGTCGGCCTCCTTGATAAAAGCCATTGGCGTTGCAAACAGTATAGCCAAAATCCAAATCCAATGCCAAAGAGCGCATGAAAAAGGCAACTTTTAGAGGATCAATTTGAGAGGGGTAAAGGATTCCAGGGCTGAGACATACATGAGCCAACACACTATTTCTTTGCTGGGAAACTCTGGTGGGAAACTCTGGTAATTCACACGTTTGGACCTTAAATCGCCACTGTGGCCTACAGCATAGTTAGATCGAAATGTTCGAGAACGCTGATATAGCCTGTTCTGCAGGGAACCCAAGCAATACTAACTATCTGCCTCCATGACCGACCGGCATCAAAAACATCTACCCTCATTTGTCTGGTTCATCTTTATGAGAATTCCTTCAGTGTGTGTGTCTGGTCGAACCCTTCAGAAAAGGGGATAAAACCTAAACAGCTTCAAGCTTACCTCTAATACCCTCATGTCTCAGCTAGCCGCGTGGTTGGCATCTCGCAATTTCAAAATGGATCGGTTTGGGCAGTTTTACTGGTCAATGCGTCCCAAGATTCTTTACTCCACAAGCCACGTTCAACGCCAGAGACATTGAATAACCGTTGCTTATATGATTACAAGACCTACGGCGAGAAAGAGAACGTCCGAAACATCTTCTCATTCTCATATACAGACATAAATGTCTTAGGCGACCCTTGGTTGCTCTCGTTCACATGCAACAGCCAACGCCGATTCTCCCTTGCACTGCATTTGATGCAGGCATTGGGCTGAACCAGACCAGATGATCGACGGCGCTCCCTGACTGTAATGGAATGCCACGGCTGTTCGATGGCATGATATCAGCCCCAGCTCAAGGTGTTGTTGATAGAATGGCTAATCGCGGCAAAGATGCTTAAACTTACTTCACGTCGACCTCTTCAGAATGGCTTAATACAGTAGCCAAGCTGCCTGCCAACCAACACCATGATAGCTCAATCTCCAGTTCGCTCACTTTAGTCACTCTTTTTGACCTTGCAGCTAAGGTCTGCCACACTCCTTTCTGAAGTTCTTGTTTTGTTGCACTTGGAATAGTTCGACGGTATCAGCCGTTGGGCCAGTCCCGTCATTTTTTACCTTGAGTATTTCGCCCGGACAATTATTAATGAGCATGATTCTCAAGCCATCGCTTGTCCTCTTGCTGGCAGCGGGTGCCTTCGGATTCCCTGCTGTTGGCAAAGAGTACTCCAACTCATCGCATCCAACGTCCCCCTGCGTCAAATGCGTCCTACCTGAGCCCCCAGTGACCCCTCCGTGCCCCACAGGAGATGCTGGACCGAATCGGTTCGGGCTTTCAGGCGAGCAGACAGCCACCTTCGCGGAGAATGGGCCGATTGCCACCTTGTCGCCCAATGTTCACTGGTCTTGCGATACTGCACCGGCTTCGAACGTCATACCCATCCCGGCTAATGAGGGTTCTCAGATGTACTACGGCGTTGGAGGTGAGTGCAGACTCTCAGAACCGTTACTTCAGTTGCTAACTACTGGAAACAGACCCATCAAAGCCTGGCGGTTTTGCATTCATGACATATTGGTTCTCGGGCCCCTTCAGTGAATCTCGACCACTGCGACCATGTGGCGTCGATGGACTACACAGCCAGGGCTCTTACAATTGTTTTCGCTTCGGAGGAGGCTTACAGACACGCCGTGGAAACCTGGGCCACCGACGGTGGCTTGATCCTGCTAGCTTTCATCAAAGGCTGCGGAGACCATTCGAAGGGTGAGAGATGCTACTTCGTGGTGTCCGAGTTGGACTTTGGTCCTCCTGGCTATGTTGTCAGAGCCAACGGCAAGGCCCGTCACCCCGACGAGATCGCCACATCCGGCTCGGCTACATGGGGTCATTGGTCACCGAGGAAAGGAGAGCCAGGGATCCAGCGCACTGGCTCAGGAAGCGGTTCAGGTTCTGGGTCGGCCTTCACCTGGTCTCCTCAGCCGACGGTATCGCCAGGATCCGGCTCCGGGTCCGGAGGACAACCTGGATCGAACAACCCTGGAGCCTCCGCAGCGGCGCTTCCAGTCCCGAATCCATCTGGGATCACCACTGCCAATCTTTCCTCCACGCGATCTTGCGCAGGACCGCTGGATACAAAGTACGGCCTTCCCACGGCTTGCTTAGGAGAGTTCTTTGACGAAGATCTGGATGATTCTCTTGGGTACACGGATCTCAGCCAAGATGATCATCGATATATCCTTGGTTACGCGCCCGACTTTCCGAATGAAGTCCTTCCGCCTGACTTTGACTTTGATGTAGATGGGGAGGGCTTCTTCAGAAAGCGTCACAACCAGCATCGCAAGCGGCAGGCGGGACTCATCAAAGCGGCCGCTAACATCGCCAAGAAAGCCTATCAGACTGTTCAATTTGCCACAACACTCTCTGGGACTATCAACAGAGAGTTCGTCTGGAAGCTCCCGGATCCATTATCTGGGAATGCTGACGCCAAGAGGGTTCAAGACAGGGAAGCCAAGCAGATGAGGTCGCCTTGGGGTGACGCCGTTCTCCTTAGAAGATTCAGTAGCAGCGTCAGGGGTAACGGAGGGAGCGCCAAAGAGTTTATGGACGTCTACTGCGTCGGTTGCGGTGTCACAGGCAACGCAAAGGTCGCTGGTTCAGCCAAATGGACTCCTGGCGAGGGCATCGTCGAAGGCCAGGTCGAGATCCGTACAGATGTGATGTTCGTTCTCAAGGTCGGCATCGATGCTGGGATTGTTCTCAAGCAGAACTTCAAAGCAGAGCTATTCAGCCTCGGCCTGCCCGGCCTTTCATTTGGAGTTGTGTCTATTGGACCTCGTATTACAGTGGGCACGAGGGTCACCCTCGAAGCGGCTGCCAAGGGGAGGCTTCTTGCAGGTGCCGAAATGGGTCTGGAAGATGCTCGCGTTGTTCTTGACTTTGTCAACGACAGCAAAGCCACCGACAGAGGCTGGGAGCCTTACTTCAAGCCAGTGTTTGAGGCCGACGGCAGCTTGATGGTCTCTTCAACTCTCGGACTGCCAATCGGCATCAAGTGCGGAATCAAAGTCAGCACCTTTTCAAGGGACGTGGGGGTCATCTCCGAACCATCTATCAAGGGCGTTGCTCAAGTGGCAGCGTCTATCGGAAACTCCGCTGGGGTGCTCGAGGGCGGTTTCACCTCAACAGATGGATGCCCCGGCATCGCAGGACAGATTACCTGGCGACACAAACTATACGCCGAGATCCCCGGCCGCAAGCCCATTCCTCTATTGGACACCAAGGACAGACCTTTGGCGCGAACCTGTCTTCCGTGAGTTTCTCTCCACACTTGCTTTCAGACTCGAGCAAACACTGACCACAAATGTGACTTCGAAGGCTGGTTGCCTCAGCTTCGTCAACGGCAAGGGCTTCGATTTCTCGTCGAGCACCTCAGGACCTCCCAGTACCTACCGCTGATACCACAACCGATTCACCCCCTGTCCTAGGAGGCCCTTCCATCCCGACCGATCCAGTCTCCTCTTTACTAGACCCAGTCCCATCTCCGGTTAACCCACCTGCGCCCACGGTTGATTCTCCCGCTCCTACAGTTGATACTGCTCCTGCTTCCGTACAGCCGACGGAGTCCTCTGTCGACTCGGTCGTTCCCTCCGCAGACTCCCCCTCTCAGACCATCCCATCCACTCCTGATGCGACAAGTAGCGATCTTCAACCGACTGGCGACGTCGTTGACGAGACGACCAGCGTAGCGGGCTCGACGGACCTTGACTACATCTCTCAGCCCGTCGGCACGAATCCCTACATGGACGACACTGGCCGCGAATTCGGTATCATTACTGACTCGTCGAACTCGTCAATGATTATCTCTTGCAGTAACGGCAACATGTATCCTGTCAGCATCGGCAGCCCAGAGAATGCGGTTTGCTCAGAGTTGTGGGCTGCTGCACAAGATGTGCTCATCTACGATGGAGCTGAGCGTCTCATGCACTACTACACAAACACGATGTCAGGACTTGGTGTTTCCCGGCTTCGAGTCGGGCCCGAGTTTGTGGCTCCTGCAGGCGCTGCCGTGGTCACGTGGGCGGTGTACACTGCCCAGGATGGAACCAACGATTCCTACTACGTGGCTGTCGATTCCCATGATGGTCTCTTCTACCCCATCATCTGCGACTACTCGGATGGAACTGCTTCCAGACTGTTTTTGGCTAAGGATCCAGTGGCAGGTGTCACTTTGTTAGAAAGCGCAGATGTGATGTACTCAGTCACAGGAGGCCAGGTTTCGACCTGCCAGACGGTGGCGTTGGGCCTGAGGACCAGACAGGGGTAGCTGAATGTACTTGACTTTTTCATATCTCATAATTCTAATACTATTTAAATTTCTTCGGTATCTGACTGTGAATTGAAGAAACCGAAATAACTCATTCAGGAGCACATGGGATCGTGGAGCGACCGTTGGGAAATCCCTAATGCTGACCCAATGCCAGCATTCAATTTAGTTTGAAGCATCCAAGCCACAGGAAACAAACTTCCTGTTTCGCACTCCTCTTACGAGATTCCGGATTCTCGTTAAGTACATCAGATTCTGGCGTCATAGCCACACCCTCGCTTATCCTCAGATTCCTCTCGCTCCCATTTCTTCGACAGAACAACCGCCCAGAGCCGGTAAGCTTACCCAATGGAGCAGGTTGAATCCCGTTGGAATGGGATTTGTGTTTTGGATAGTGATCTGTCAGATGTTTGGTCTCGTTTCGTCAAAAGTCGCTGTCTTGTTCAGCACCAACAGCGACTTGGCACTTGGGTCCTTCAACCGCTGAACCGCAATTGGATGTGTTGGTCTGCACATGATCTTCCAACACAATGGTCGGATTACTCCTGCCGTCGGTACAATCGAACATTCATTGGTTCTCACCTCGTCGGATTGGTCAACTGATGAGGGGGTGATTGCTCGCCACTTGTTGTGTGTTCGATACTTGCGGTGAGCGTGAGATGGCTGAAGCTATATCATACATGAGAAAGATGCTCGCCCCAAGTAAACAAAAAGTCGCAGGCATCATTGTTCGCATTGTCTTCTGTCTACTCAATCATGGCGGATATCATTAATACTCAAGCTGATGATGCCTCCTGGACTGACACGTTCTACTCCTTGAATCGTGGAAATGCTGAGACTGAGCTCCAACGTCTGGATGCCAATCACTTCAACGTATGGTTGCCTCTCACTGGTCAGGTAGCGCCGGCACATATACTAGACCAACTCAACCAAAACTCGTCACCAAGAGTAGCGGACGTGGCCACTGGGACTGGGGTTTGGTTGCGCTCTGTTGCCCAGCATCTGCGATCCGATGCAGAGGTCTTTGGCTTCGACTTCGACGCGGTCAAGTTTCCCGTCTCAACTGCATCATCAAATGTTAAATTCAAGCAGCAGAATGTACTTCAGGAGTTTCCGACCGAGCTACAGGGAACCTTCGACCTCGCCCATGTCCGCCTTCTTCTTATTGCAATGAAGGCTAGCGAATTTCAGACTGCGACCGAGAACTTATTCTAGCTACTTAAGCCTGGCGGATGGCTGGTTTGGGATGAGGTGTCTGCCTTGTCTTTCCGATGAGTTCCCCCTAGCAAGGCGTTCGAGGAGTTCACGAGGATAGAGATCTTGCAGTCCATAAAGAATGGGCAAGACCCAAGGTGGGTCGCCTCCACTTAGACGGCATGCCTTCCTGACCACCTTCTCCTAGAGGACCCGCGCGATTGCCCGACATATTCCGGAAGGTCGGCTTCCAGGACTGCGAAACGAAGATATGGTCTAGTTGGGCAGCCAGTGAAAGTGTGCAAGACGCAGCACGGATGGTCTCTCTGGGAATTGTCAGGCCAATGATGACTGCGGTCGTTGACAATGGAGGCTTGGAGAATGTTCAAACAATGGCCGACGTTGAGCGGTTGCATGACACCCTGGCTCGGTAATTGCAGAATGGGACGCGAGTGGGGTTCGATTATGTTGAAGTCCTGGGGCGACGACCTGCAGGTGTCTGACACGTCTTCTCCAATTTTCTTTGTTAAAACCAGCAACTCAAACGATTTGTTTTATTTCAATTTCATGGAATAATGGCTCGACGTGCATGTTTTCCCAAGCCTTTATCAAGCTAAGAGAATGTGATCATCGCCATACGAATCGAGTTACGTCTTCACTCGTCAGCAAACTGACAGCAAAATGCGGAATTATCATTGAAGGTATGAAACTGATTAAGGGTTGTAAATTTCCATGTAGGTTGAATCGAAAAAAAGCAAGAGAAGAGAACATAGAAAGAACAAGAAACCCTCCTTTACCCCCCATCATCAATCGCTGCACCTTATTCCGAGTTCCTCGCAACTACAACAGGGATATGTCTCGCATCGATTGTAAGACGAATGATACCATCCTCCAACGGCTGCAAAGTTGCGGTAAGCAGTCTTGTAGTCGCAGATTGGGATCGAAAACACGCCAGGGGTCTCTGCTCCGCTCGGGTACATGGTCAGCTGCTTGTTCCCATTCGAGTCCCTCTGTGAGTTGTCCGCGTTGGCACTGATGTTGTAACCATTGGCATTGCCATTCATCTTGTAGCCTGCCCACACACTGGTCACAATGCTGTCCTTGGTGAGACCTCCCCACTCCGAAGCATCGCTCTTGAGCTGTGAAATGCCCTGCAGCCCCTGAAACGCGTCCTGGTCACACGTGTACTCATTCGTTCCGTCAGCAGTCTTCCATTGCTGGCAGTTGGTAGCACCGACAAGGAAGAATGTCTTGCCGTCTTTGACAAAACGAGCAGCGTTGACATCGTCCTTGTCAAGCGTCTCAGGCTGGCCGGATGCCCCACCCTTCCAGGCGAACGGGTTGACGTCCGAACCATCGTCATCGACCATAATAATCACCGGTTCACTTGTGGGGTTGGAATACCAGGCCTTCTGAATGAGGTTGCCGAAGAATATCTGCTTCATCGTCTTCGAAAGGTCCAAAGTATCGAGGATGGAGCTCTTGATCCACATGCCGCTTTTTACCTGTGAGGCGAAAAAGGAGATATCATTCTCGTTGAAGTAAGCGGATCTGATTGCCTCAACTGCAGATGTTTGAATGTCGTGGATGTTAATGATCATGCTCTCGATATCGGTGATTGTCGTCATCTTGTCCTTTTCGGCCTTTTCTAGAGCCTTCGTCATTTGCTCTTGTGCAAGGCTGTACATGGAGTCCCAAGCTTCTTCAGCAATGGTGCTCTCACCAATGATGTTGGAAAGTCGGTTGAAAATTCCTCCCCCAACAGCATCGAAGACCTGGGTCAAGATCCACGTATTCATCTGCGTAGTAATGTCCTTGGTAGGATCGTACACAAAATTTTCCAAAAACTAGCCTCGAGTCAGTAAATGGTTGCGAATGGCTTCAAGTACTAAAAAGAGGGGCTTACGGTGTTCTTCATAGTAGTCGCTTGACTAGTGGCAGAGTCAATCGCGGTCAGCCAAGCATTGAAGACATTGTTGATCCGGCTCATGGATGTCAAGATGTTTGAGCCTGCGATAGTCCACGGGTCGTTTATCTTACACCCCACGTCGGCGATGCATCCAAGAAAATCCCTGTTGTCACAAACAAACTGCTCATCGAAGCGGAAATACCCTGCCGCTCCTTGCGACCAAGTGCCGTTCTCGTAGGATGCTTGGATGGCAGTCTTCTTTTTCTTCCACCATGTCTGAAAATCTTGTAGCGCGATGTCGGTTTTCCCGGCTTCCCACTTGACGGATGCTTTTTCGAAAATCGATACGTCGGAGGCGTTGCAAATTTGGCAAAGCCAATGATTCTTGTCACTGCCACAGCTGGGTATCTCGAGCTCCTTTACAGCGTTCATGGGCATCACCTCGGTTCCGATCGGCTGGCAAGTTGAATCGCTAGCTCCATCTTCGAAAGCAGTGACAAGGTAGTTCATGTTGTAAATGCCTTGCGGACATCCTGACGAAACGCATCGTTTGGACCTAGCCGACATGATCGTCTTCCCCGCAGGGTCAAGGAGCTTCATCGTCTGAATCCCGGCTTGAATATTGCCGGCACCATTGCCGTAGTTGAGTCCAGACGTAAGAACCTGTGTGTGCTCCTCCTCGCCTGCCTGGATGGAGATCTTGTAGCCGCTGGGGAGGCCCGGCTTGAGAACGACGCTCCAGTACGCCATGTTGCGACTGTAGTAATCTTCAGAGCCTGAAGGACGTGAAGTGTAAATGGTTTCCCTTACGGGATTGCAAACTGCGTCATCCGTCATTGGCCGATGCCACATCGCGCCAACGGCAACAGCTCCATTTTGCGGAGTCATAGTGGTTGAATCGGTGCGGCTCTTGAAGGCATGGTTGAAGGAAGCGATGAGAGGTTGCAGCGCCGTGTGATCGAACATTTTCTGGTTCATGTACAGCCAGGGTTGGGCGTCGCTATTTTGTTCCGACCAGAGTTCCGCAATGTAATGGCTTTCGGGCCCGTCATTCCACGTCAAATACTGGACGAAATCGGCCTGGTCCATCTGGTCGAGGATTCCTTTCATACGCATCGGAAGAGCATGAAGACCAGCGCGGTACACCGAGACGTTGTAGGAGTTCTTGTACTGTAGAAAGCTCAAAGGGACCATGTAAAGCTTGCTGTGGTTGTGGGCGCCTTGAGCAATGCTGATATCCAGGGAGACATCCCCAGGGCTCTTGCTGCCATAGCCGTCTCTTTCGGGCCATGCGGACTCCCAGCTGAAAAGTCCGTCAACAAGATCTCCCCAGTATTCCCTATCATCCGCAGTCAGCTTATGCTCGTATGATGTTGTCATGGAGGAATGCGTACCACCACCCAGGGTGAGACTCGTAGTAGCCCGTGGTCTTATCGAAGTCGGGAATGAAGAACATCTCGTTCGCCAACGTCTCCTTCCACTTGTTCCACTTGACATTGTCGAAGTCTGCAGCGGAGAACGCTTCACATAAATTTTCAGTATGATGGCGAGGGTCTTGAGAGAATAATTGGCACTTACTACTGATGACGGGAAGGCCATTCCACTGGTAGTAGGATGCACGACCCCTGTACTTCTGGAAGATCCAGTGGTAGTCCAGGGGCTGTGTCTGTGGTTAGGAAACTTGCAGGTTCATGCTGTAAGACTCGACTCACCCCATTGCACGAGTCACGTCCATGCCAGCAAGCGTCGCCAGATGCCCAGACGTCCATGGAAACGTACAGGCCAAAGCCACCGATTGAGTCTGCTGCGTCGAAGAGATATCCGAGGGATGTGTCGATGAAAGAGGCCGTCGGGTCGCCAATGTTCAGTGCAAATCCATCAAATCTGTTGTCTTCTGTGAGCCTTTGCCGATACCAAGAATGAAAGACTCAGAATATTACCCGGTTGCTTTTGCAGACTCTATGTCCTTTCTGGCATGTTCTGCGGTAATGGTACCAAGCTACTAACAGTCAGTAACAACACCTCGCTGGTATCGATCCCAATTCTGACCATGTAGTGGGCGAAAGAAGCTCTCTGCTGAGCAAGTGAAACCCCGGAAAGACATAGAACTCCCGCCAAAGCGGTAAAAGCTCGCAAGAAGCGCATCACGACTCTACTGTTTGCTGTAGTCCAGGTGAAGTAAGAGGAGCAGTAATATCGTGGTCAGTAATCTGGCCGTCTTTAAGAAAGTGACGGTGCCCATCCCTTTTATCTCCTTGGGATGGGAATTTCAAACGATGTCGCAGCCTCTGTTCTCGCCTAAAGGATTCCAATGCTAGTTCATCGGGTCATGATGCGGATGGAGTGTGAGTCGGTTTGCTTCAATTGAGACCCTTCCACAGGAACGGACGGCGAAAGCCAGGGTCGGTGAAAATGAGGCAGGCTCAGCTCGACCGAGTAAATCCTGGACTGCATGTCTCGAGAGCACGCACCAAAAACAGCGATAGCTCTTTAGGTAGGTCAAGATACCCTGGTGTTCGTGATGTCTAGACTCTCCCTTGAACATGGCGCCAGCTCGGCTCAGAAATTGCAGAGCACTTCAAGCTTCCTCCTATGTCCTAGTCTATGCCCGTAGGAGCTTTGAAAGACGATTAACTCCACGTTTAACATGGGTATTGATCCTCCAGGCTCCTCAGAGCATGCGTGAGCCTTTCATGACAGGGAATTGAAATCCTCAACGGAAAGCTGAATCGACTTTGAATAGCAAGGGTTAAGGAAATTGGGAGGAACAGGATCGTGATCCCCGTGCGAGATCCCGTCGGTGCTCCCGCGATACGGGATAGCCTAAACTCAAATCGAATGTAGCTTATCTCCTTAAGTTGATTGCGCTAGGGCAGATGCTCTCTGGCTCTCGAGAATATTCATTCTCTGCCTACCTAACTCGGCATGATCTTTTGCGCGGCTATGTAATGCTTTGTTGCAAAGTCTCAATCATCATCATGGCTTCAAAATTGTTCTGAACCTCGCCAGTTCAATCTTAAAGAAATAACGAAAAGAGGGTTGATGGCCGTGAATGCTGCACATTAGCCGTTGGCTCGACAATCAGTACCTGCGTCAGGAACATCCCGCCTGTGGTCTTCGTTCCCGCTGCAGCCTGCGTTGCCAAGCTTAATTCAACCATAAATCCACGCGTTATTGCCATGCTGCCTGGACGCGGCCGATTCACATGTGCCGAATCCTACGGAGGTGACCTCCGTTGGAGGCGTGTGGGCTCCTGGCCAGTGTCTGGACCGAAGTGGAGACTCAAATTTAATTAATGAACAAGCTATAGAGAATATTAGATTGTCAACTGATCGGATCTGGGTCACATACAGCACGGCTTTCGGCCGATCCCGAGTGGTCTAGGTTTGCACCAAGTAGCGTAGTTTTGACGGAAGTGAACGCCGTAGGAAAGTCAAACAGCAGGAGACGGCAAAAACCAAAACTTTGCTGGTACTGCAGGGAATCCTATCTGCACTATAAGTATCTAGCCTGCCCCTCTAATGTTCCAGTGAACAATCCCGAGGACCTGCATCCAATCCATGGGACTTTTTTTTTGGCTGGCTCGGGCCGACCCGATGTAAACGTTCGGTTAATTATGTGTTCGCCGCCATAGTGATATAGTTGCTGGACGTCAGATGATACTGAGTTGGTTGAAAGAACTGCCACTACGCCTATGTTCACGCACATGAATCTCATCGAGATGCTGGCTGCAGATGCGACTTGAAAGTTGCTGAATGGGTGCTTGGCTCGTTTTGGGACAACTCCAGAGGATAATTGGTACTTTTCGCGGAACGGAACGAGATCCTCTCTCTTTCGGCGAGGGAAATATGGGCCCGCAAAGGAGGTCATGATGGAAAGCGTTGTTTCTCAAATGAGGCAACAATGACTTGCTCACTTCTTTGTTGCACTCCACGAAAATTGGCCTGGGGTCTGACAACAGAGGCTCCTGAACCGTCGTTGAATTAAACCGTTTTTTGTTTCTTGCATGATTCAGGCTGCCTAGAAACGGTCTACCAGTAGAGTTTCTAGAACAGTAGATTTTGTTCGGATGGTTGCAGTAGCACGGATCAAAGTGCATGGTCGATCGAAGTTTGTCCTAATTTGGCAGCGAAATGGGACATCTCATTGGTCAAGACAAAGCTTCGTAAGTGGTGGGTTGTATCGTCCAAGGTCAATACTCCTGTATGTTGCACTCTCGGTCGTTCTATACTTCCGTTCATCATTGGAAGAGTCGAGCAATTAGACAACGGATGTTATTGAATGATCATGCGATGATATTGAATCTTGAGAAAAGCTTACGAAGCGAATTGTCTTCCGCGACTGGCCGATTTGCGGTGCCGAGACCCCTTGCTGAGACTTGGAACCGCTTGAAAAAGCCGTTTGTGGCAGAGGCATTGTGCAGAGATTGGATATCAATCGCCCTTGAGTTGCAACATGACACTTATCAGAATCATATAGCTATTGGGACCTTAATTGCCTATTTATAATTATTCTATTCTGTCTTCAGTTCGTCCAAGTTCACCCGAGCATGTGGGTTTCTGCCCAAGCACATGGCGGCCGGCTCCCACTTTCGCAGGTGCCCCATCTTACGCGAAGTTTGGCCAAGCTGGTTGGAATCATAGGGCGATGACGGTTTCGCGCTAATGTTCGTTGCGTCTAGCTATAAGTTAAAAGCAGAGAGTGTGGAGCCCAGCCAAGGGATTGCGCCTCATCGAACCAAGCCATCTCGACCTCCAAGCTCGAAAACAGATAGATCCAGTCGAGAATGCGGGGCAAGCACTACAAGCAGCCGTGCCAATGTCATCACATAGGTGAGCACATTGAGTCCGAGACTGCCGGGCATCATGTTCGTTATCGCTTCGAAGTTCGTTAATGTTTGCTAGGGTCCGATCCTGCGCCGGCTGCCATCTTTCCCGCTCTCGGACAGTAAGATGAGGCTCCGCTGACATGCCAAATTTGGTGTTTGCCTGGGTCAAGCGAGGGGCGAAGCGCGCGCGATGCTACAGCAATGGGTCTCGCTTCACTCTTAGCTGTTGCAAGCCTCGGCCGCCCTTAGGGTGCTCCACAGCTCAAGAATTCGGCAGAATCGGCTGCTGTTAGCGGCCAGCTACCGTACGTCTCTGAATGTTCTTTTTGAGGGATGTTTCTTCAGTTGTACTTACATGATCATTATCTGTTCATTCCATTCTGAACTCATACTTTTCCACTTGAGAACTAATATTTCGTGAGATTCAACCGCTGACCTTGACGCAACACATGAGAAACATTTGCAGAGGATGGATCTCATCACTCTTGGCTTGCGGACTCATCACAGACACCAAGAACGTATGCTGACTCGTTGGGTTGTATGATGCCAGAATTTCTGCCTTTGAAGGAGAAAATGCCTGGAAAACGCCACCATACTTGGAACCATCGTCTCTCCCGCAATTTCTCATGAAGCCGACGACCTGAACCTTGAGCAAAAGTCACGTACGAGTTCCACTTGGCACCAGTCACAGGGCTGACTAGCTGGCCGACATCTGTCATGACGTTGACCCTGATATTCGCATGGCCCCGCTGACTGCTGCTATTACTAGTCCATGCTCGCAGCACAACGCAGTTCGACCACCAGGGTTATGACTTTTGACACCTTCGCCAGTTGACTGATGGGTCTGAAGTAAATTATTCAATACGTTTAGTACGAATTCGTTGTATAATAGAGTTATCTCGAAAATGCCAAAGCTTGAAATAATCGTACAGCTGGGTCGATATAAAGATCCCTAACAGCCTTCAGACCGATGCGGTAATGAGGATGAAGTCAGGCCTCACATTCCTTCATACAGTCCTTACATCATGTCTTTCACTTTTCGTTCGTTCCTGGCAGGCTCCCTGTTAGCAGTCTCGCCAATCGTAGCCGCGGAGGAATCCATCGTTAAGCGGGCCCGCTTCGATGCCGAAGCCGTCATCATCAAGGGGACGTGGTCATGCACCCCTGAACAAATCCTCACTATCGACCAGGCCGTCGTCGATGCCCACGAGTTCGCAAACGAAGCTCTCACTGCGCTCAAGAACCCCAATGTTCTGAGCTCACCGGCCTATTACAACTGGTTCGGGTCCGGTATGCCCACCCTATTTCTCTTCATCATTCATAATCACTGACATGCTCTCACCATCAGACGCCGACGATGGCCCCTCGGTTGCTACCCTTCGAGACAGACACTACCAAGTTGTCATTGACTCCCTCAAGCCCCCCAGCGTGGAGACCGCCTTCCGCTTCAAGCCAGAACCCTTCTTCCCGCCCAACACTGTCACCGAGAACAGTCTCGTCTTTGGCTGCTCCGGCGCCACGGGGCCCTGCGCAGATGGTGCCATGGTAGCGGGCGTGAACAGCGCGACGGAGAGCCAACCAGCCGTGTTTGGTACCACCATGCTGCTTCTCTGTGAAACCTTCTTTGATACTACGCGTGCGTCGAACAAGAAGATGATTGAGAACTGGAGGGTCGAGGGTTCTGTTGGAGATATGTCGCGTGGCTTCGCCCTGGTACACGAGGTCCAACACATGCTTATTGCAACGGGAGACGGTGAACGAGCTGATGATCTGAATAACCCGTTCTTTGGCATTGTCGACGATAGGTCCGAAGATTGCTACTCTGCTAACTGGTGGGTCGAGACACACGACTTGAACAATTGGGGTCGTGACTAACATGACATACTAGTTGCTCCCGTTTATCTGCGGCTGAGAAGGCCAAAAACGCGCAGAACTACGCCATCTTCGCCCTCGACGTGACGGCTTTCCCCATCACGAATGAGCAACCCAATGCTTGCCAAGCGCCTGCCCGCCCGTCTACGTTGGCTAAGGTGAGACGGCAAATAAGCTTCTACAACTCGACCATGTCGTCCAGACCACCATCATCATCCGTTTCAGCCACGCGCACTCCTATTGCGCCAGTGCTTCCTAGCTCGACCTCGCAGCGTGAGTTCTTTCCTCCCATATAGCCGAAGCTCTTCATTGGTCGCTGATCATTACTCTGCGAAACAGCCCCCGCTTCAAGAGTCTCCTCCGCCAGACCTTCATCCAGCGCTGAAGTCGTCGAAGTCTCCGGCGCCGTCTCTGTCATCATCCCTGCCGGCGCAGTCGCGTTCGGCGGTCCAGGGGGCGGCCTCGCCAACTTCGGCGGTGTAATCGTCCCCGTTCCCGAAGGCCAGACCGTCAGCGACCCGTCCAAGGACCCCAAACCCTCCGGCGACGCTCCGTCAACTACGCCTAGACAGCCGAGCACCACCAGTTCGGCGCCTGCCACAAGCTCCAGCTGCGCGCCCCCGGCACAAAAGTCGTACGGCCCCGCGGCCGAGAAGGTCTGCGAGGACTGGTCCGGCATGAACCAGACGGCCTTCCTGGGCCTTATGGACGCGGTCCCCATGGTCGACTGGGAGGGCGCCCTCGTCGTGTCCACGACGTCCATCTTGGAGACTGTGGAGCCTTCGCCCACCTCGCTGGTCGAGGTCATCACTATCGTTGCACCTGTGCCGCCGACCACTACCTCCGCGGAGCCGACCGTCGCGCCCGTGGCGTGTTATAACTTCGACATCAATGCTTACGGATACTGCTGTCCTGGCCCTGGTAACCCATGTGAGAATGACCTTGGCAAGTGTTTCTTTAACGGGGAAGGTGTCTCTGGCGGAGCTAGTGGGATCGTGCCCGATGGTGCGAGATGTCCTCCGCCTCCGGGTGCTGAGTACTGCAGGGGTCCCTGCGAAGAATGAGAATAATGAGATAAATTGGATTGGCGTTGAGGACATATGTGAATCTCATTTGCCGTTAGCTGTATGTGATGTGTAGCACATTGTGAAATAAAGCATGCACGATATCCCAGTCTGCTTAGTTTTGCGATGGTGAGTTTGGTTTTTGTTGGCGATGTCGTCTCTTATCTGACCATTGAGTAACGTCGGTGGTATTCGGGAAAAGAATTAGTAAAATCAATTCAAGTCATAATCTGATTTAAAAATTCCAAACGACGAAACGAAAAACATGAAGCTGAAATTGAGACGCTAGATGCTGCACCCATGGGATAAGTGACAGCTGTTAGAGAACCCTACAGCAAACAAACTGATTAGGTTTATTACGCTATACTTCCTGATTGTTGTTATAATCAAAGTAACGATTCCCTGTTTCTAGGCTCTGAAGAGAGCTCAAACTGGAAGCGTCCCAGAGAAAGGTGTTCGCGAGTCGCAACAGCATCTTGGACTTTCAAGTCTCAAGCTTCCCCTGGGCACTTAGCGGAAATCACCAACACGACGTCGTTCTAGAATGTGCCGCAAATGTTCCGTGCGAGACTGTTCCATAGTAGAGTGAATGATTCATCGTCAGGTCTCTGAAGCAGCCGCAATTCTCCTCTCTCGTGCCGCGTTATCCTCGGCCGTGAGCCTGTCCTGCATCTCAACTAGCAGCTTGCGGCATTTCTGACGTTGGAATCTCTGTAAATTTGGCCAGCGACACTTGCGGTAGATTTCTTGGGCTTCCTGTACGCTGACTTAGCATTTGGATGAACTCCTGCGTAGCTTTTCAGTAGGGGAAACTCACATCTACCCATTTCTGATGAGCATGCATCCACTTCGGTTGCCACACTTGCCATTCCCCCCCGCTGGAATCACCCGGCACAGGGAACATCTCGAGCGAGATCATGTCTTCGCACAACCCATCGAAATACTCGACGGCGGGTACAGGTCTGGCCGTGCGCCATTGTTCATTTTCCGGGATCTCCTCCTCCGGTCTTGAGATGTAGGCATCGTGGGCATTGAGCTCCCCTTCGATGAGAAAGGGTTAGATGAGGGGGGCTCCCAGCCCGACCTAAGGGCCCATCCTTGGACTCACCTGTATTGGTATCGAGCAACCACCACATCCCTAGCCTATCTCCTCCGAGCGGTTGGGACAGTGGGACTATGCCTTGGGGGATTCTTTCCTCTGGCAACGGCCAGAGTCCAGCGAGATTGGAATCCTCGAGTTGATACTCCTCGTCGGGCTCACGAAAGCCACTCTGGAAATAGTTGATGGTCTGGGTGGACGGGAACACGGGCCTGCGACTGGTGACATACGGTAGATACCGGACCAGGGCAATCATCGTGTCGTTGAAGCCGAGGCGTCGCAACTTCTCCAGGGGGATGATGCCGTCGCCCCAACCTCCTTCCGGGGGGTAAGCGATGTGCTTGGGCCTGATCGAGATCATCTTGGAAAGTAGTTCATAGTATCGCTTGATGCTTCCGACAAAAGCTTTCCGGTCGTATGTCGAGCCGGGTCCCCGTTTCTGCGATGTGGGGGCTTCGGTCGACATGATCACACCCCAGATACGGCTTTCTAGTTGATGTTGACGCCTGGGGCTAATGAGAGTTGCGAGATTTCTTAAATGCCAGCAGACCCTGCAGATGCCCTAGACTTGATTGATCGTTTAGACTTAGCGGCAGGATATTATTGGTCAAATGAATCCGGAGGCTTATTTCCTTTTGTATCTAGATCCCAGTCACTCGGACCAGCAACCTAGCCGCAGCTACAGGGATGCCGGGAAACAGGCTCTAGGCCTCGGATGGTGCCTGGATAAGTATGCAGGTCCTTGTTATTCCAAGTTTCTTGCAATAAACATATGGATAAACAGAAAGCCAACCAGAAAGGAGAAGGACCACAAGCAGTAAAATGTACCATCAGCAGCAAGAGGAACAGATAGCAAGATGACGCATAACTAAGATAGTCACAGGATGGGTGAATACTAAGCAACAAAGGTGGCAACCAAACCAGATGGCATAAACATAGCAACCAGCAGGAAGTCGTATCGATAGCAAAAGGGACAATCACCACCGTGAGGTTAAGATCTATTCGACATCGACCCGTGATCAGACCCAGAAATAGGATTGGGGGTCCCCACTGTGACGCTTCCCAAGTCTTGCTTCCCACCCAAGAACACAAACGTCTCGTCGCCTTCTATTCCAACGGTATACTGGTTTGTCTGCTCAAATTCATTTCGAAACCAGCCAAGACGGAATCGAAGGCCCGACAGCTGTTCATGAATTTCTTCGTCAGACAGCCGCTGAGATGGCATGTGTTGCGTAGCATTCGAGTAATTTAAAAGAGCAACAGTCATCGCAATGCTGTTGAATCTCTCCGGGGCCAGATCTTTGACGTCCATGTCCAGTTGTGCCTTCTTCCCCCGAGACCTGAGAAACTTGGAGATAAAAGTGAGCACATGGACCGTGACGATGATTGCGAGCATGCCGATGAGGATGTAAGTAATCATAGGATCTTGGATGATTCGCCGCCCGTTGTTGTCGAAGACGATCGCATTGATTTCGGGTAATTCTTTAAAGGAAACATTCGGATGGCGACTTGCATCCTGAAGCGCCAGACGATTCTCAATGTTGGCTATCTGAGCGCTGAGAAGAGCACGGTTGTGATTCAAGGCGCCCAGGACGCTTTGTTCCTGCCTGGGGTCTCCGAAGGCCTCAAGTGTCAAAGGTCCCTGAGGTTTGAGAAGTGGCTGGAACATTTCGTAAAAACCAAAGTAGTTTGTCGCTTCGTCAATTTTGATCATTGGACTAGCTTCGATGAGCCATTTCGTACTTGGTACCGAAAATGGCGGGTCCCAGAATTCTGGTGTCGAATTATGAGGGCGAGGTGGTATTCCATGGTCCACGACTGATTCATTGTTGACAAGTGCCATGGTGACCGTTGTCATGGACTTCACCCACGCATGATGGCATTGCCACGCGCTCAGAAGGCTGAATTTGTCCTGTGCTTCGTTTAACTTTCCCCACAAGTACGTTTGTCTTGATCCGAGAGTTAGTCGCTCCCCATCACACCACCCTTGGTCATACAGATGCGGAGGGCAACAGCTTGCGGAAGCCCCAACGTCGTCCATGTCTTCCAACATGACCGCGAAGTAAGGGGTTGGAAATTGAATCGAGGGCCTCAAAGTCGTAGGCTTTTCCCCAACACAGGATAATGTAACAGTAACATGAGCGAAGGACCACGTTTCCCGATTACCGGCGTAGTCGGTACTGGTGCGATTCGAGATCTCTATCTGGATAGATTGCTGTGGTATTCTTTTGCAACTGGCGTGAAGTCTTGCTGCAGGCATCTCGACTTCGACAGACTTATTCGTGGAGCCTCTAACGTCCAATACTGGTTTGTGACTGATGAGGGGGAACAACAAGTCATCATATGTGTTTTTGGGGTATGATAGGTTTCCTTCTGTAGTCCGAACTAGCAGGCCACTCAAAGCCACAGCATCAAAAGTGTGGTGCCGAGACTGGTTGAAAGAATTGTGAACGTCTCCAAACCAACTCTCTTGCTGTAGCCTTACCCGAGATTGTGATGGAATCCATTCAAACGTAAATAAGATCGATGTAAGCGTCGTGAGAAAGGGAACCATAGATCCCATGGCTTGCGAGCACAACACTGGCCACGTATGATGTTTAACTGACTGGGCTACGACTCTTGGCCCTATTGAGTCGAGCATGGAGTGATCCAATTGATCAACGCGACATGGCCTTACAGAGAGGCTGTAGAGAGTAGATAAACCTCGGAGGGCGGAGTCGAACGAGCTTGTGTATAACCCAACACACAAAACTATCAGCATTGAAACTGTAGTCCAAAACAAACTCCAGAAGTCGTCCAATGAGATAATTCCGTTGTTGTCGATAGAAGCTTTCAGGGTGCCGAGGAAAATGACTATAAGACAGCACACTGTTATGGTGAATGCCGTACGAACTTTTGTTCTCAGCACAATCGGCACTGCGCCTTTCGCACTCCAGGCATTTCTGTGGGTAGACGATGACCTCTCCCTAAGTTTTTGAGTAAGCTTAGGGCAATCGCGGAAGAATATAAGGTTCCCCAACGTCGTGGCTGGGTCTCTGTACCAAATGAACATCCTCCAAAGATGTGCAATCAGCCAAAGTGAGAGGACCATAGAGAGTGAAAATAGAACCAATAACACGGCCCCAATCGTTTCATCAGTGAGCACTCTGTCAACTTTGGTGTTTGCTGAAGCCGTTACGGATTTGCTTTTTCGAACTTGTCGCAAGTTGTGGTACCCTATAAATAAGCCGATCTTCTTGACCAACTCAACCACGGAGTCCAGTAGCATTTCGTTTGTGGTGTTTTGATTAGAAGGTAAAGTTGTTCCTTTCATGCCATTAAGCACTTCCAGAGGTCCTTTCTCAGTGTAGTTGTCGTACTTGTACTTGTAGTCTCCAGCGGAATCATGAGGTGCTGGTGCAATCAACGCCCAAGGGATCGTACGCATTATCAGCGGCCAGACGTCCACATTAAGGGGTGTATGAGAAGAATCTGTTAAGATGCGTACTTCTGGACTCACCCCGTCGTCCACTAGCTCAACCTTTGACGTCCAAAATGTGGGCGAGCACACCAAGGCAGCGGTGCTTTCGATAGTTTGTACCGCTGTCGAGCCATTAGGTGCAGATAGTTCCGCTGCGAGATAAATAAACTGGCTGCTATGCTGTGGTAGATTAGGACAATGCCTAACGAGGTCGTTGGTTCGTTTCCTGATACGTGGCTCTCTGCAGACAGAGTATTGAGTACCTAGTACCTTCTCACAACTCCGCGAATCGGGTGTCCTTTCAGGCTGCTCGAAATATAACCATCTTTCTATATTCGAACGATTGTCCTTGGCTTTGTTTGGTGCGGAAGAGTCCTTTCTTGGTTGGAGAAAAGTTGGGAGGGATACGGTGACGTTCGGGCAGCCCTCAAAATAAAGACTTATGGATTTGATGCCCAATCTCGCGACGAACAAGTCGTACTTCTCGAGTTTCAGGCAAGTTACGTTCGCGTGAAAGCCATCCAGGACTGTTGTGATTGGTGCGTTCCGTAGACCTCGAGGAGCAAAATGTTGGTATGTCGCATTTGTCGATACCCCAAACGGATATGTCAAGTTGAAGCTTTCCACGGCCAGGGCCATATAGTATGAAAGAGTGGTAAGTCGAGATGTGTCTCTGGCAACGAAAGTGTCGAGAGGCTCTATCGTGGTGTCGCGTTGGACGGGTATCACAATGACCCGAAACAGGTTAGGGGCGAGCACAATTTGAGCCCGCAGAAGTAGAGATACCAGAACCGCACACGAGACAGTATAATGTTTGCGGCGAATCGACTGGAAGAGTACCGACGGTAATATCATCGACATGTAGTCGAGATCGATATCGATGTCATCCAACGATTGCGCTCGCACCAAGTCCATCCATATCGCGTATCTGCCAGCTTGCATTTCAACTCGAGCCCACATCATCGCAAGGACAGTCAAAACTGCATCAGCGTTAGTGGATGTTATCTCAGCCTGGAAGGAAATAAGTTCACCAGCTGTGGGCCCAAATCGCCAGACGTATCCTAGATTCAACCGAGGTGTGAAAATGCCATCATTCCGCTTAGAATAGATGAGAGCGGAAGCAACCGCCGCGATCAAGCAGGCAAAGACTCCAGCGAAGGCCGCGAGCGTAGTGGGTCGTAGCCACCGTGGCTGCCAAGTTGACAATTCATTAACCTTTGTTAGTTCTACTTTCCAACCATCCTTCCCTTCAGATGTAACCTTCGGGTCGGTGAACGAATTGGTCTTCGCCATGGATGGCTCCGCGGATGGTGTTAAAGGTGATCTGTTCTGACTGTCATATGCATCGGTTTCGGTTACGGGCAGCGTGTCGTCTGAGGGGATCCGGACGCCAGCTGCAGATGTAGATCTTGTTCTTCGCATTGGCGCTGGATTCTCATGGGATATTTTTGTGATATCACTAGTGGATCGTCGGCGGACACGATGTCGATGTACAGGTCGATGACTAGTAGTCGCAGCCATAGCGCTTGATAATGGTTGTATTTTGGCACAATGCTCTGAATGTCTTCGGAGAATCTGAGATGAACTGTTCGGACGAAAGGGAGTCAGTGTTCGCCTCCAAAACAGTCCGCTACACTCGCGCAGAGTCAATGTACAAATAATGCAAATGGAACAGTCTTCAGGAATATACTCCAAGTCAAAGGTCGCAGGCAAGCGTGCATCAGAGTGAGCTATCTATCCCCTTTGCGCACAGAGGACATGGCAGGGCTGGGTTACGGGGTAGCACAGGCCTATGTTTCTCGGCCGTGTCTCCCGCAAATGTTTGGCAGTTTGGCCCATTGCATGCAACGGCTGAGATCTGCCTCGTTGATGCAAGCTTCCGAAGAAATTGAAATTTAACACGTTTTCGTGTCCTTCTTATTCTTTGGCATGCACCGAAATGAGAGTTGGTGAACAATTGAATACATGACTGGCGTACGTTTTTGTAACTAATACAGCCTGCCGAATAACACAACAAACAGCTGGCAGATCCAGTTCGACTCTCCAATGATGGGCGCCATAGTGAATGCGCCTCACGAACATTTGACCTGACTTCACGGCCTGGCGTACTTGCGCAAACGAAAGATGGCTGAGACATCGTGCTATTTATCTGTTGCACAAGCTACGCCCGACCGCAGGGATACGGAAGTTTTGACTTTAGCAGCAAGATTATGTCGTAGCCAAGCTATTAGACTGTTTAGAGACGACCGTCAAAATCAGGAAGAATTCCAATCTCGTTCATGGAGGTGAAGCGGGTTGGTAATTGCATTCCGACGGCAAAGACAATGCAATTCCGAACCAGATCCGCCAAATTAGTTTCAATTCGAGCGGATGTCTCCTAGTATCTATTTCCCAGAAATCCCCTTCTCCTCATCCCTACCCCGATGCCTCGGCCTCAAAGCCGCAAGTCTCTTTCGAATAGGTTTCCTCTCACTGACAGCTGTGGCGGCAACGGGCTGCGATAGGGAAGACCTCCTCTGCCTACTCAACTGCGTAGACGCATCCAGAGACGATGGGGGAGAGCTTTTCGAACTAGAAGCAGCCTTGTCCTTCCTCCTAATCTCGAAGAAGTTCCACACGTTCTGGTACATCTGCTTCGCCTTGCCCTGTGTGATGAACTCGTAGATCTGGAGGGACAGGGCGATGAGGAGCAGGGTGCCGAAGAGACTCAGCACTGGGTATCACGTTAGATGTTGCATGTAAAGCGAGACGGACACCGGTGTTACGTACCACATGCGATGATCAGTGTGCCTGCAGTGGTGGGGCTGGCGAGACCTTCGATGCTAACCTCGAAAATGCCGGTTGCCCACGAGAGGGGAGCCTGTGAAACTTTGTCAGATCGTGTCAGATGTTACATGAGTGGTACGACTTACAAAAACGACGGTGGCGCCGGTAAAGATGAAGAGGATCTTGGACTGCTCGCTGGCGGACAGGGCTTCTTCGATGTTCGCCTCGCGTTGTCTGAGGTCCAGTAGTGTCGTGATCTGTCATCTGTTAGCACACCCGTCTGCCTGATTCCTGGCGAGCAACATGAACTTACCGAGTCTCGCACACGGTTAGCATCCTCCTCCAACCTCTTGAAGAAGTCCAAGGTCGGATGCTTGAACGCCTTCCTCGCCGCATCCTTCCCATCCCCGCACTTCTCCCCAATCTCCGAGCCCCTGAATTCCTCATACACACGCTCCTGAGACCGTAGCACACGCTTAATCATGTTGATCTCTTCTCGGATGTCGTCAATCTCCTGGAGAAGCTCAATTTCGGCTCTTAAGTCGTCCAGCACCGTCTTCGACGTGCCCATCTTCTTGATGGATGCCTTGAACTCGGCGTAGCGCTTCATCGCCTCGTTGGACTAGCCACTTTTAGCACCCATGACCACCAAAATTTGGTGACATCTTGACTTACAACATGTGCAATTGAAGACGCAAACACGGTGCAATAACTCTTCGGCCCCTCAAACTGAAAGTGAAACTCCTCCTCGCTGTATCCCAGCGCGCTCTCGAGGATACTCTCCACGATACGCATCATATCCGTGTCCTCAGACCTCAAATCCCTGATCCCCAAAACGCGATGCTTGATCTCGTTCAACAGTGTCTTGGCGTTCTTGTTATCCCACCGGTCCGGGAACGCAGTGATGATCGTATCTGCTCCGTCGTCAGCAAACCCCTCTCCCTCCTAAACTTCGTTCCTCCAGAAAAACAAACTCACTCTCATCAATCCTCCACACCCAAAGCTGCGCCACACACAAAATCTGCTTCCGCCTCTCCGTATCCATCCTCCTCTTCTCCCGCGAAATCTTCGCCTGCACACTACTCGCCTGGTCCTGCCGCCCCGCCATCCTCCCCAGCTCCGCCTTCGTCCCGTCCGTCTTCTTCTGCTTCGAGCTCGCCTGCCGCGAAAACGTCCGCTGCACGTGCCTCTCAAACGGGCTCTTCCCCTGCCCCTGCGCGTCCTCCACCAGCGGCGGCGGACACGCCTCCTCCGCCGTCTGCTGCTGCTGCTCCTCCAACCGCCCCTCGACCCGCCGCAGGTACCGGAACAGCACCTGGCTCTCGTTGCGCAACGCCAGGTCCGCCGCGCTGAGGGCCTCGTGGTAGGATTGGTCCAGCGGCCGCGGGACGTGGTACTCCGACTTGGTGAAGCTCGCGCGCAGCTTGGCCATGGCGTCGAAGTGCGCGAGGTGCGGGAAGAGGTAGTGCTGGAGGTTTGTTGGCATCGCGGTCAGGGGGTGCCGTCGCTGCGTCCCACCACCGGCAGCTCCTTTTGGGACTACCACGCGTCTGTCGTTGCCGGCGACCATCTCGAGAGGCCGCATCAGCCGCGCCTCGTCCCCGATCTGCACGTTCCGAAGGCTGTTCTTCGTGCCCTCGTCGATGTCGACGTCGATAATGGGCAGCACCATCGAGAACATCCTCCCGCCAGGCGTCGTCGTTGTCGCGGGCTGCGCGATAGGCGGCGTCGGCGGTCCAACACCCAGCCCCAGCGCCTCCTCGGCAGCAGCAGCAGCAGCCTCCATCTTGAAATGCGGCCGGCGGTAAAACTCCCCCGTCCGCATCTCATGGAACGTCTCCTCGATAAACGCCATGATCCGGTTACATTCCGCGTCCGTCCTGTGATCCATCGCGCACACGCGCTGCACCAGATCCATCACCCACGCGACATTATTCGCAGGCAGGTGCAGCCACCTCTTGACGGGTTTCTCCGGCATCCGGCTCGCGTACGAACTCTTGCGCCGGCGCTGCTGCTGGCCCCTCTTCATCTCCTTCATCGTCAACCCCCCGGCAGTCGTTCCCGGGGGCGAAAGCAGCGGGCTCCGCGGCGGGCTCGCAGCCGGACTGGCCCCCGGCGACACCGCAGGGCTGCGCACCGGACTCGCCCCGGGACTCCGCACCGGCGTGCTTGCCCCACCCTTCCCCGGCGTCCCCACCACAGCCGGCACCCTCGGCGTCAACCGCAGCTCCGTCTCCGGTTCATACAACATATCCCACACACTCAACCCCTCAAACCTCACCTCGCTGGTCGGACACCAAAACAGCCCCTTAAAATGCCGACACGCCTCCCTCTCATCCTCCTGATTCGGCCTGCCCGGCGGCCTACACCGCTTCGGCCGGAAATTCGACACCACCCCCTGCCTCACCTTCACCTGCGGCGCCTCACACAAATCCGCGATCGAATTCCTGTTCAGCACCCGCGCCAAACTCTGCGGCGTCTCCCCCGTCGCGCTAATCACCGTCGGATCCGCCCCAGCCTCCAGCAGATCCCGCACCATCGCCTTGTTCTCGTTCTTCACCGCATGGTGCAGCGGCGTGCAGTCCTCCGTATCCCTCAAATTCACATCCGCCTCCGCCGCCAGCAAACTCGCCACCACGGCCGCGTGCTCAAACATCACGCCCGCATGCAGCGCCGTCTGCTCATCCCGGTCCTGCAGATCCACATCCGCGCCCGCCGCGATCAATATCCTCACCACCCCATCGTGCCCCTCCGACGCCGCCTGGTGCAGCGGCGTGCAATATTCATTAGACAAACTATCCACGTCCGCCCCCTGCTCAACCAGCATCCGCACAATCGCCTCCCGCCCATGCCGTGCCGCGACACTCAACGGCGTAAAATCGTTCGCGTTCTGCGCTTCGATGGAGACCATCCCCGTCTCCAACAACGCCATCACAACCCCCTCGTGCCCGCCCCTCGCCGCGTCATGCAGCGGCGTATCCCCCACCGCATCCCTCGTCGCCGGATTCGCGCCCGCCTCCAGCAACACCCCCACCACGCCCTCCATGCCGCGCCTCGCGCCCACATGCAGCGCCGTCCCGCAGTCCCGATTCGGCGCGTCCACCACCGCGCCCGCCGCGATCAGGACTCTTGCGATCTCAGCGTGCCCGTTGCGCGCGGCCTCGTGCAGCGGCGTCTCGTCGAAGCTCTCCTCCGCGCGGACGTCCGCGCCCGCGGCGAGGAGGGCCGTCACAACTTCCAGATGGCCATTTCGGCTCGCGAGGTGCAGGGGCGTGCATCTGTCCGCGTCGAGGGGGTCGACGACCGCGTCTGGCCCGGCGGTGGAGATGGCGGCGCGGACGATCTCGGCGCGGCCGAGGCGGGCGGCGTGGTGCAGGACGGTGCGGTTGTCTTCGTCGACGTAGCGGAGGACGGAGGGGAGTGAGGCGATGAGGTGGAGAGCTGGGGATGGCGGGTCCGGGGGCGAGGTGGCGATTACTTCTATCAGTTGGATGTATGCTTTTTATCGTCAGCGTGGAGGTGAGTGAGGGAAGGGAGGTGGTTTACCTTCTTTCATGGGAGAGTGGGAATCCATGGCTGCGGTTGCGAGAATGATTGTCGCATTGATCTAGACGAGGGAGACCAGATTCAAACCAAAGTCAGCTCGAGAAACAAACGCAAGAGAATCATCCTGTATAAGTCGCCATCTCTCCTCATCTGAAAACCAACTCGCGCCGTCCCGCTGACAGTCATCGTGAAGCGGGTGACACTTACACGAGCGCACAATTACGGGACCTCATCCGACCACGAAAAAGCGCGGCGGAATGGGTCCTGGTCTTAAAATCTGACAAGTGCCGGCGCTGCCTCAATAACCTCAGACGGCAGACACTCTCTGAGATCCAAGGCGATCGGTCATGCAGCCAGGCGTTTGAGACATTTCGGGGTCGCGCCTCTCACGTGGGAAAATCACCAATGTCGGGGTCACATTTCGCAACCACTACGAATGACCTAGTAAAAACTTTTTTTTTTGGTGTCAAAGCATTTCATCGTCCAACCATTACACATGACCATTTTACCTCATGTCTTCCCTCACTCACCCACCCACCACAAACGCCTCTGCCTTTCCAGCCACCCCGGTTTACCGACCGACGCGGATAACTCCCGCCGCCACCAGCTTCTGGATCTTTGACCTGATTTCGGGGTTCTTCATGTGCTCCGTCAGCGCCGCCGGATCCGACTGCGCCTGCTGGAGGATGGACTGCATGATGGGGTCCTGCATGATGCTCATAATCTGTGCGAAAACTCGTTAGTATTCTTTTCACGGACGGAAGGAATCCAAATGTCGACTGCGAGCTACTCACCTCGGGGTCCTTGGCCAGGCGCTCCCGCGTCTGGTCCTCCGTCTCGTTCTCCCGCGCCGAGTACATGGCGTTGAACGCCTTCTGCTGCTGCTGCTCAATCTCGCGCGCGTTGGCGCCCTTGTGGTGCTCGAGGTCGACCTTGGCCGCCTCGGTGCACGCGTCGACGCACTTGGAGTACTCGCGCATGCCGAAGAAGGCCTGCGCCTTGCGGATGTACGCGCGGATGAAGGTCGCGTCCTTCTTGATGGCCGTGTTGCAGTCCTCGACGGCGCTGGGGAACTCGAGCAGCTTGACAAACGCCGCGGCGCGGTTGCTGTAGCCGCGCGGGTCGTCCGGCGCGCGCTTGATCATCTCGCTGTACGCCGCCACCGCGCCCGGCCAGTCGCTCTCCTTGAACTTCTTGTTGCCCTCCTCGCGCGCCTCCTCAGCCTTGGCCGGGTCGATGTACGCGAGGCGCGACTGCTCCGTCTTGGTGCGCTCCGCGGCGCGCAGCTTGGCGTTGACGTCGGGCGTGCGGTGCTCCGTCAGCGACTTCTTGTAGTTCTCGATGGCGAGGTCGAGGTTGCCCTGCTTCTCGTACGCGGTGCCGATGCGGGCGTACGACTTGGCGATCATCTTGAAGTCGGCGTAGATGGCGCGGCCCTCCTCAACGGCCTTGGTACACGCCTCGATGGCCTTCTCGTAGTCGCCCTTCTCAAAGTAGGCGGCGCCCAGGTTGTTCAGGTAGGTGATGTCCTTGTGCAGCTCCCAGGCCTTGGTGTAGTGCTCGATGGCCTCGTCAAAGTTGCGCTTCTTGTAGTTCTCAGTGCCCAGGGCCTTCTCCTTGTCGGCGGCCTCCTTGGCCTTCTTCTTCTCCAGGGCCTCCTCGTCCAGCTCTTCGGGCTCGGGTTCCGGCTCGGGGGTGGGCGCCTTCTTGGGGGCAGCGGGCTTTGCTTGGGGAGCGGGGGCGTCGGGCATCTCGGTGTCCTTGGAGCCGCCGGGCATCTCGTCGGGCATGCCCATCTGCATGTCGACGCCCATGAGGACGCCGAGGACCTGCAGCATGCGGGGGTCGCTGAAAAGGTCGGGGGAGGCCTTGGGGTTCTCCTTCATCTGCTGGAGCTTGGCCATGAAAGAGGGGTCGGAGAGGAACGAGCTCGTCTTGGGGTTCGCGGCGAGCTTCTGGAGGAGCTGGGGGTCGTTGAACATGTTGCCGAGGCCGAGACCCGGGTCGCCGGCGTCTGTCGTCGTTAGCTTCTCACAGTGTAGCAAGTCATGCAGGTAAGAACATACCACCACCAGCTTCCGCCTTCATGGCCTTCTGCACAGCGGCGAGATCCTTCTTCAGGCCGGCATTGTTGGGGTCGACCTTCAGTCCCTCCTCGTAGGCGTCGTTGGCAGCGAGCAGGTCGCCCAGGCCGTAGTACGCGGTTCCCTTGCGTCCCCAGCCCTTGGGCCAGTCGGGCTTGATCTCTGTCGTCTTGTTCGCGTCGTCCAGCGCCTTTTGCCAGTCCTTCTTGGAGGCGTAAGCGGCCGAACGGTTGCTGTAGAGGATGTGGTTCTCGGGTTGGAGGGCAATGGCCTCGGTGAACTTGGCGCTGCACAGTTTCTTGTCAGCTCTGAAATCCGTTTCCCACGCCGGGGACTCCGAGCTACTTACACAGCCTCGTCAAAGTTCTTCTCGGCAATGGCCTTGTTGCCGAGAGCCTTGAGCTCGTCTGCGGAAGCCATGGCTGATGTGTGTTTGTTTTCGTGCTATGCCTTGCGGATGAACGTTTCGAAAATTAGAAAACAAAAAAACAGCAGCTTGTAATTACAGTCGCGGTTATGTTCGTCGAAAGGGAGGTATTCGTGAGGGTTTTCAATCGTGGTGAGAAGAAGATGCAGAGGGAAAAGGTCAAGATTTCAGGCCGCGGGGTTCAGTCAGGCAAGGCGGGACGAAAGGCAGAAAGAAAACAGAGCCCCAGAACAGGCCCAAAAGCTCACCACCCGAGTGCCTTCTAGCTGTTTCGATGGTTGGACCGGCGGCCGGCCCTGATTGGGTGGGAGCGGCCGGGGTGGCTGGCCAGTGCGGGTGGCGGGGTTCAAGGCTGAGCACAGCTCTCCCTGCCAAAGCGAACCAACTGGGAAGTTACCCCTCACCCCCCTCACCTTGCCTTGAACCTATCTCTCACCTCGGTGTGCTGGACTGACATCTCGGTGAGCATGCAGTTTAGGCAGGTGTAAGGTGACCAGGGGACTTCGGACGACATGCGCCTTTCGTCTGCGACCGAGCGCAATGTCAGCACTACTGCGCCGCATACTGCATTCAGACGGGATTTGACGCGATGCGGTGTGTTTATAAGCAAGGCCAAGTATCCCATTTCCTCACAAACCACACTGCAAATCCTCAGCACTAACATCGTGACATCCTCACTTACACGCACCCCAAAATGGCCTCACCACCAAGCCCCGAGGTAACCCTCTACGACCTCGCCTGCACCAAAAACACCTGCTTCTCCCCCGCTGTGTGGCGCATCCGCCTCGTCCTCAACTACAAACGCATCCCCTACCGCACCGTCTTCCTCGAGTTCCCCGACATCGAGCCCACTCTCTCCGCCCTGAACATCCCGCCGTACTCCCAGGGCAAGCACAAGTACACCGTCCCCGCGATCCACCACCTCCCCTCAGACACCCACATCATGGACTCGCTTCCCATCGCAAAGTTCCTCGAAGAGACCTACCCTTCCCCGGCGCTGCCGCAGTCCACCCCGCGCGACGCCGAGATCATCGCCAAGCTGCGCGACGTCGCGGGCCCGATTGCCTTTGCGTCGGTGATGCCCCGCGAGCCGGGGATGCTCTCGCCCCGCGCGGCGGAGTACTTCCGCCAGAGCAGGGAGGCGGGGCTCGGGGGCAAGACGCTGGAGGATGTGCTGGCGGGAGAGGAGGGTGTGTGGGAGAAGGCGCAGGAGGGGCTGCGGGAGTTCGATGAATTGGTCAAGGAGGTCCGGGGCGGGAAGGCGTTTGTGGGCGGGGATGAACCGAGTTTGACGGACTTTTTTATTGCGGGAGGGTTGCAGTCGCTGAGGACGGTGGATGAGGGATTGTTTGAGAGGTATACCAAGTGGGAGAATCTCAAGGGGGTTTACGAGGCATGTGTGCCCTGGATGGACAAGAAGGATTAAAGTGGCTGGGGCCGGACGGTAAGTACTCTTGAGTATTAGAACATATTTTAGACTTATTCAAATTTTCTCAACCCAGTAGATCTTCTCGTCCTCAATCGTATTGTCTTGATGAGAATATTTGACATGAGTGCAGGTATGATATGCTACTCTCTTGCCTCGCGTTCTCTCGAACCCCCATCATCACCACCTCACTCCTCCTTCTTCGCCAACGCAACAACACTAAACTCCAAATTCCCATCCGCAAACCCAATAAACCGCTTCACCCCCCTCTCCAACGCCCCCTCGCTCAACATATCCTCCCCCTCCCCCAGCACCCCCCGATCCACGGGCCCATCGCTGCCCCCCTCCAGCTCCCACAAATGCCCATCCTTGCCCCTCACAAACGCAATAAAATGGTAGCCCGGCTTCTCCTCCGCCGGCGGCACATACGTATCCCCCCTTCTCGCCGCCTTCATATGCGCCTCCTCCAGCTCCTCGCTCTCATACAACACCGCCGCCCTCTCCTCCCAGCCCAACGGCTCCGCCTTCTCCAACAACCGATCCATCAGACTGCCCTTGCTTACGAACTCCCGCGCCTCCCCGTTGGCCACCGCATGAATCAGAGCGTAGAGTCCGCACGCGTTGCCGATCGTCTGGCGGAACCAAGTCACGGGCTCGCCGGGGCCGGAGCCGGCGTATGTGACCCCGTCGTGCGCGAGGCGGGTACCGTCCTGCGCGCGGACCTGGTGGTACATGGGCGAGGGGGTGATGAAGATGAGCGCGAGGGCGGGGCGGGGGATGAGGGACAAGAGAGCGGGTTCGTCGAGGGAGTAGACGTCGTAGAAGCCGAGCGAGGGGGAGATGCCGAGGTCGTGGATGAGCGGGGTGAAGACGTCCGGGTTGTTTTCGAGGGGGATGAAGGTCTTTTTGCCGCTGGGGCTGAAGTAGACTCCTTCGGCGGGCATGGTGGGTGATTTTGAGGTGGATGGTATTTTGATGGGTTCGTGGTGATTTGGTGGAATTGGTGCAGATGGCGATTTGCTTGTGGTTGTGAGAAGGAATAGCTCTGGATTAGGTTGCGTTGGCGGTGAGTTGAGGTGAGGTGCGTTTGACTTACAACAGGCAGGAAGGTGTACGCAAACCGTCCGGTGCCTGCCTGCTGTGTCGGGGCGCACTCTGATTCGTCCGTACCATCAGATTTGGCAATTCAAACGCAAAGCCCGACAATGCGACATGCTCGGTCTTGGATCTTGTGTTTCTCAGTTGGCGGCATCTGGCAGGCTTACAATGGAACATTGGGGGCAAGTGGTTGTTTATGCTCAAGAGCTACTAGTTTATCGGACGTCTTCACTGCTGCGGTTCATCAGTTATGGCCTGCGTTTTCTGCAGAGTATTCGCTCGAACCTTCCTTCGATCATCAAATTAGCCCTGAGAAAGATCACCACCTACTGTCTACCAGGAAATGAATGCTTGGGGTCCAGATGCAGATTGAAAAATCATCTTCACCGGGCAGACTCCCGTTAAAGGCCCACCGTCCCGGCCATCGAGCCAAGCTTCCATTGGACTTCCCCAGGCTTCCAGGGACGTCCCGAAGCTCTTCGGACATCGGCAGGTCTGCAAGGTCCGAAAGCCCCGGTCGACGTGCCATTGCTCCGTAATCATCAGGCCGCCCGTCCAATCGAAGCCGCCTCGGCTCCCCATCCCGTCGGATGTCATGATCCCACAGCGGCATTAGCGGGAGCTCCCCAGGTGAAACCGCGCCAGAGCTCCCTGCAAGTCACCCCAGCAATGGCTGCACGGGCCAATAAGGACATGCCTTTTAATCAGCCAACTTTCCTCTACCCCCCGACGGTTCCTCAGAAGCTCGCTGGAACACTGGAACAAGCTCCCGAAGACGTGCAGCTCTGCCTCCGTCACGCAACATCACTCCAAGGGACAAGGACGTCACCGAATCGTACCACTTTTGTCGCCGTATATCACCGCCCTCCCTCGCCGCACTCCGGGCCGTCTGGCATCCTTCAAAATGGCCGGATATCTCTTGCTTGTGATCCCAAGCATCCTCATGAGCTTGCTCTTGTCGAGATCGCCATTCATGATGACCACTACACCGCAGACGACGAAGCCATGGGCTGATGGGCCTATGAAGCTCATCCCCACGCCGCAATACGTAACCAAGAAGGTTAGCCACGGTCCCGGAGATTTGGATGCCATTGGCCCCACTGAAGAAGCTTCGACTGACAGAGCACTGAACAGACCGACCTCTTCACGACCGGTGCGACGCACATGTGCTTGCTGCACAACTCGATCCTCCGTGGATACAACTCCATCTACCACCAAGCCCCATTGATCCAGGAGGCCGACAAGGCAGACTTTGTGGGATACTCCCAGGCCTGGTTCAAGTTTGTCAAGTCCCACCACGATGACGAAGAGGAGTCTCTCTTCACCAAGGTCGAGGACCTGTTGAACGACAAGAATGTCTTTGCCGAAACGCACAAGGAGCATGGTACGTGTGGTGTTAGCAAGTGGCTAATGTTCCCACTGACAAAAAAAAAGAATCTTTCCTTGGTGGCCTCGCGGACTTCAACACCTACCTCTCGTCATTGTCCTCGCCCTCCGACTTCTCCGGCGCTAAGCTTCTCGACATCATGAAGGGCTTCCAGGAGCCGTTCGAGAACCACTTCCACAGCGAGATCAGCACCATCGCCGGCCTAGCGGAGCACCCGAATGCGCCGAAGGAGGGGACACCGGAGGCGGCGAACGCGAGCTTGACGTTCAAGACGTGGGGCAAGAGCACGGTGACCAAGGCCGGCACGGCGGATGTCGTCCCGTTCTTCCTGCTCAACCTGGACCGGACGGTGGAGGACGGGTTGTGGGCGAATTGGCCGCCCATGCCGGCGCCGATCAAGTGGGGACTCATCAATATCGCCGGCGCGTGGCATTGGGGTTGGTGGAAGTTTGCCAGCTGCGACGCGTCGGGACAGCCGAGGGAGCTGTACGCATTGCAGAATGCGTCGGCGGACGACAAGGCGAAGGCCGAGCTCTGAGGTGTTGTGAAGAAAATGGTTCGTGTTCAATCAAGGGTCGGCGTTGGCGGGAGTTCAGGACCTGGGGATCCATTACTTGTAAGAGAAATATTGCAGCGCGCAGAAAAGAGCCAGATTCTTCATTAAACTTGTCAGTCGGGATGTCTCGTCGAAAGGCCAGGATCCACGTCCGAGCTCGCCCGGGGAGAACGAACAGGGCGCTCGGCGGCGGTAGCACCACCCGGCAGCAGGCCGTACGATCGGCGGCGGGCGCGATGAGATGAGAAAGGGCGAAATTGACCCCGCGAAATTTGCCAGTTGGACGCTAGAAATCGAATATGCATCAATATGCATCAGGACCCTGTCTGCCATTTCCCCCCCACCGTTAGCTCGAACCTTGATCTCACCGATGTTCTTTTCATAGCCAGAGACATGCAGGACGCAGGCCAAGAGTGAACACGACGGATGGGCTGCGCTCGCTGAGGGATTGGCGGCGGCGATGGTGATGCCCAGCGATGAGGCGCCTACAAACGGAAGAGCTTCACGCGATAGAGAGGCGAGGCGAGCTGCAATCTAATGCGACGCAACCTCGACGGGAGACGCAGACCGCAGGCGCAGATGCACGGCGCCGGTGTGGTGGAATCCTCGTCTGGCCTCCCAATGGCCGAGAGACGCCGCTGAATGGGGCTCTGTACGGTGTTGTGTGGACGAGATCGGATGTCGACCCTCGTTGGTCTCGTCCAGCGATGCAAAAACATGTGAGGCCGCGTTGGAGCAGCGTTCGAGGCCGAGATCCTTCGCAAATGTTCTCAAAATCTGCCAGGGTCGACGGAAGGCGTCGTAGGCCTTCTTGACAGATTCCGTTCCAACAGACGAGACTCTCTCGGTACCCAACGACAGTCCTTCAACGAGCGCGATGGCAGCGAGTTACGAAAACCGACCGTGTCTCTGGTGACGTCCGACAAGCACAGCTCTCGTCGCACTCGGCAGACATCTCCGACGATGGGCGTACAGCGGGTTGGAGCTGAAAGTTCACCGCATTCTGGGACGTGGGTGAATCCGGGAAGGCTGTCTTGGCCGCGTGTTGCAGGGCATCTCGACCTTCTTTTTCGTGATGATCAGCCCGGCGCTGGCAAGGGCCAGATCCCTGAGAAGGGACATCGGGGGTGCATCGTGCGGTCCACCTGGTGGCCGCTCATCAGCACTACTGCGTTTGCGCCTGTTGCGAGTAAGTAATTCGACTGGCCTGGTCGTCTTGTCCATGCATTTGCAGGTGATTTGCAGCAACGAGATGGAACCTGGCCGTTGTACGAAGGTCGGTAAGAAGGTACAGGACGCATAGGCCAGCCGGGCCTACTAGCGGCGCTGGAGGGCTCAGCAGATGGCGGGAGCCAACGAGCGAGACATGGGGAGAAAATGAGGCCACTCGCACTGGCAAAAGTCAAGCTTGAGGTGAGGTGTCGTGCAGAAAGTCGAACGTGGGGTGGAGAGGCAACGCGATTGCTGCTGGGGGTGTTTTGGGGGCAAAGTCGAAAAGTGCAAACTGCAAACTGCATTTGGACATTTGGCTGGGCAGTAAACTTGCTCAAACGCTCTCAGGATGCGTGAGGCAGAAGGAGCGATAGCGCTTTCTGGCCTTGGCACCTGATCCCACCTGCGCCTTCCGGAACATACGATAACGCTGACGGCAGGAAGGTTCTCTCTCTCCAATGTTCCTTCCTCTCATGAATGTCGACTTTGATAAAGGAAGGAAGCAACGGAAAAACTCTTTCAAAAGGTTTGATTCGCTCATTCCGAGGCCATCGTTCTTTTCTTGCCCCCAACTTTGGCTAAACTTGGGTGTGGAGCCTCTCATCTGATAGCAGCCAGCCAGTCCCTTGAGTCAATCGCATGGTTCCATTTACACCGGTGGCCGCGATCTCAATCCCAGTCCCAGGCTGCCCCCGTACCTCCCCTACCCACCGAATCTTACATGCTCTTGCCAAGACCTGCATCCTTGGATCCTGGATGTCTTTCGGGAAGGAATCCAGCGCAAGTGGGGACGTACGAAGTCTGTCTCTGTCCCTTCGTCGGTCTTAGGAAAGAGGCTTGATGATCCCCTATGCACCTTGTGGTCTGCGTCCATTTAAACCCTTCTCGATCCGCCAGTTTTAGACCAGTTCGTCTTTTCTTCTCCGGTTCTCTATCACATCGATCCGACTGCAACAAGGCATACCCTGCTAGTATCGATCCGAGATCAAAGTCTCCGCTTTTTGGACGTTCATCTCTGATATTCGAGCATCTCAACAACACTCCAACATCGATTCAACCTTCCGCGACCACCGAGTCGACAGATCATCAAGATGGACGGCATGAGTATGGCTACCACCACAACCGCCATGTCGGCCACTGGCACCATGACTGGTATGGCTGCTGCCACTAGCACCAAGGCTGCCATGTCAATGGGTGGCGGTTCCTGCAAGATTTCTGTAAGTTGCTTGTCTCCGCTCAACACCATCATCAACCGACAACCACCATGTCCAAACATCATGACAACATACTAACTGATCCCATAGATGTTGTGGAACTGGCAGGTCCTGGGTGAGAAAACGAAATCATCCCGAAACTATGCCAAATTTTCACTAACGCGATACCACAGACGCCTGCTTTATAGCGCGATCGTGGCATATCACTTCGTACGGAATGTTTGCCGGTTCTTGCATAGGCGTTTTCCTTCTCACGATCTCCCTCGAAATGCTTCGCCGTGCCGTCAAGGAGTACGACAGATACCTGATCCGCAACCACCAGGCCCGCTACGCTGGCTCCGGTGCCGGTCCCAGTTCGGAGAGTGCCGGTGACAACGGAAAGGGACCGTCAACCTCCGTCACCGCAGCTGGTAACGCTAGTATCCCTCCCTTCCGACCGAACGTCCTCCAGCAGGCCATCAGGGCGCTGCTTCACATGGTCCAGTTCGCCGTTGCCTACTTCATCATGCTGTAAGTAGATTCCCAATGTCACCCTATCCTTCAACATCGCTGACATTCGCCTAGCCTCGCCATGTACTACAACGGTTACATAATCATCTGCATCTTCCTCGGATCCTACATCGGCTCTTTCATCTTCCAGTGGGAGACGCTCTACGATGGACCGACCTCTGCCGCCAAGGAGGCTACGGTTTGTTGCGGTTGAACATGCGCGATGGAAGCAAGGTGCTATCGATTGGGGGAAAGGGGACCCCCATACATGGAGTTGAATAATACTATACCCGGACAACTACGCGCTGTCCTGTTTGTTTCAATGCGTTAATTCAGGAACAACATTAATACCAAGAACCTCTCCCATTGCCAAAAGATGTCGATGCAATTTCGACGCTCCCTAGGCTTGAAATGTTATAAGTATGCTGCCTTCAGGGGTTACTCTGCCGCCGTTAAACCCTCGCGGACTTGTGACGCCGTTCTCACCTTTGGCCGTCAAACGCCGGGTTGGACAGAGTAGATGTAGTGAGAGAGCGATGAGCCACCACGTCATCCTCCGTCACCTCTATCCGTAGAGTATGCGTACACATATATTGGGAGTAGGAATGCGACTATCGCATAGTTCCCATAGGTGTATCTTAACACATTTGCACGGCCATCGTTACCATATAGGCTCATCCGTACGGTCGTTTCCCAGTCCAAAACACAAGACCGCTGTACTGCTGTGCCTTTCCAATGTGCGTAGGAGACTCGTTGCCTTCTACAAATTGCCGCTGCCATCCGCTTACTTCTTCGTTCATGGGCACCCAAACGCCTGGCTCCACTCCCAGGAGTTGATTATTTAGCACTACCTTCAATGCTACCCCGAGAAGCCCAACCTGCTTTGTAGGGCTTGGGGATAGTCTGGTATGAAAGCCTTTGAAGGGCTCGCGGCTAGCGACGTCATCCACATGAGTGAACCTGATGAATAAGACACGGAAGACGAGGGTGAAGAACGCGACGGATATTTTGACGAGGAACGGCCCCTTGGGAACATCTGTCACCACCTTCGCAGAAATCAAAACATCACGGTAGTTCATCGCCATAGAATGCGAGGCAACTCTGAACCGGATCATTTTATCTGGTGCTGTGAACCAACCAGATTACGTGTTCCTAATAGCTTTATAATTGTCATGACGGTCAAGCCTCATCTCGCCTGCCGCCTGCCCCCCACGACGGACGAGAACCTCTTTCAGGCAAAGGCTTGAAACTTCGCGACACATAAGTAGCGCGATTGGAGTCGCTGATACCCAGCCGGAACCGCAATTGACAGCCCACTTGAACCCGAGTTCTTTCGGACCACGCACCAAGTCAAGAACCCCGGGAAGAAGCGTTGGAGGCGCATTCGTCACGTCCCAGGGCCCCGCCAATATTCGTTCATCACCTTCGTCTTCGTCTGTCATCCCTTAGGTCTGCCGATTATTCTTTCCAAATGTACTGACAGCGGGCGCATCATTGGAAAGCGTAAGGTTCCGGTATGCCAATAAGAGATGCTGTGATGAACACTAATTTGCAGTCGAGGGAGTCAGCCCAGGCAAGGCAACAAATTACGGAACCAGTCATTCCTAGAGATGAATACCTGACGCAGTGACAGCCCGGGTGCCGCAAATATACACGTAATTCCACGCAGCGTCTTGCGGAGAGAGTGTCAAGTTCACAGCTAGGGAGGTAGCCTTACGTCTCAGTCTTTCTGGGGTATAAGGTTTTAGAATTATATATTACACTGTATTCTTCGGTTAGAGTTAGCTTCTGTTGCGCACAATTTACCCCTTTTACTCTTCACTGGGCTTCCTAGCATTTTATGCGAAATATCTATCTCAACTTTGATGGGCAGATGGTGAATGGGTGCCGTGGCCATGATGGTGCGTCGCTCTTTCTTAAATTGTTGAATGTCAAGGAGTCCTCACGTTCTCCCTCATATTTGGCTGTCTTTGCCGTCTTTCGCCTCCTCCTTGGTATACCTCATGTGCGTGCCTTCCCTGGGTTTGATGAAATTTAATGGCACACTGGTGTAAAGCTTCCAATCAGCGTCAACAATGCTGGAAATTACAATCCTAGCGGGTTTATATATTATGAAGATGTGCATAACAGTTGCATGACCCCGGGGCGAACTACATATGCCTGTTGCAAGCGGCGACATGCATGGCCTTAACAGGGTGTTAGCATTGCAAAAGATGAGAGTGTCCTGTTAACCTGAGACTAATGAAATCCGTGGACACTGGATATTTGAGAGAAAGTGACGAATAGACAGGATAAGGCAGAGATGAAGACCGGCGAGCGACGTCTCGCCGAGGGGTGATCACACCTCGGCATCTTCACGCCACGGTCCGGTCAGAAACTGCGCGAGTCTCAGATAGTTGTCTTCCCCACCTGTCTCATTTTCTGGCCCTGTGGATGAATCAAGATCTTTGGAGAAGTGATATTTATATAATTGACATGTTAGGTTGAATCAGCAGCACGTTACCCAAGCCCCATGCCGTCCACTACTGCGTAATTACTGTCTATGACGGACAACGGCCCCCGCCCAACTGACGTGGCGATGGCTAAGGGCACTCGCCATTTGTAACAGAAGCTCTAGCGGAGTCTAAATGTGTAACCCGTCCAGAGAAATGTCTGAGTGCTTGAGGTGAAATCTTTAGGTGACGCACTACTATGGACTTCTTTTGCGTCAATGTCTGCGGGTGCAGACAGGGACGGCTTCGCCGCACTCAGTGGCTTCGAGCATGTCCATTCATCCACTTCATCGCTTTCCGTCACTAGGCCTCCAGATCTTCCGAGTATGCATCCCTGTATACATCAAGGACGTATGTGTCGACGGGGAGTGTAAGAGTGTCGGCACGCTCTGGTGAGGGCCTGTGTTGGCTCCTTCACTGAGACACTCGGAAGAGCGGGATCCCCCGACAGTTTGGCACATGTGCTCGGTTCCCCCTTAAAGAACAAGTCTCTGTTTGTAGAAGGCGGGGTGCCTTTTATAACATGCAGCCAGAAGGGGATCGTTCATGTCTCTTGGAGAGGAGAGCGTGAGAGAGCTATATATTTCCCTGTCATCGCCGACGAGGATTAGTCTCGGCAATGGGAACCAGAACTCACACTCTGGATGATGCGGACATGAAAATGAGGGTACGTCACGGTCGGCATCGAGTTATAACGACGGTAGACTTCTCGCAAGTTGGCTATCGACCAAGTTTCGACTCTGCTCTTCCCCGTCCACTGAGCTGGCTTTCCGTCATGGTCCCTCGTGTATACAATTTGAGTTCAGGGTTTCTCCCAAGTCTCAACGCTGCATTATCGTCAAGCAAGTCGCTGGGCGGTGTGATCGAATCCTGATGACGGCCCCATCTCTTCGACAACCAACCGTATACCTATACATTGACCGTATCTTACCTCCTAAGATTTGCTTGGCCCCATTACTCATTTTATGCTGCTTGTCATGTTTTCAGCCAAACAGCTGCGTTACTAGCTGCGGGTTGGAAAGCGCCTCTGTAACACATAGATATGTATATGCTGGGCGAGCTTGCAGTGGTTTTAAATGTAGACCAACGAAATTACCTACGCAATATAACTGGTCATCAAAGGTACAACGAAATTTGGTTCACATGAGAGGCCACATAAGCTCTAAGCCATATTTCTCACCCGTGTTGCCTATTCCATCGCACCAGAAATACCAGCATGAAATCCGTTAAAATTCACCCCGGATGTCCGAACTCGACCAAGTTCAGCTCGTCTAATATGAGAAACGTCTCGCTCCAAGTACAGCTGAAGTAGCGCCAAATGCTCCAAACGCGCAGCATTGTCAAGCAGAGACTCGCCCCGGTGGTGCTTCTTGATGTTTTCAGAAATTTGTTTCAACTGGACTTCACCTGCAACCTGGTTGTTTGTTTGTTGGTGCCATTCAGAGTTGGCGGCGGTGCAGCCTCCGTTTTCTGTGTTCTTCAAGGCCGTGCTCCGTGTGGAGCCGGCGATCGGAGCAGGCGACTGAAAGTTGAAGACCGAAAGTCTCGGCCGCTCTACAGCGACGGCATGACGCATTTTGATTGGATGATGTTACAAAATTATTGTTCTGAGTTGCGCTAATTTATTTAGTATACAATGAGGTGGCTCATGCCGTTTTCCGAGAGATGAAGTTGGACACCACAACCAGACTTAGTGATTGGTAGTGTCAACGAATCCACCGGCCACTACCGCACAAATGTCACCCAAGCTGCTACAATCAATTCTCTTGTTAACTTAAGCTACGGAGACAGCATATAGATGCTTCTAAAATTTGAACTCTCTTAGTCAATCAACTGCAAGACCATTGCCGGTCGGCCCTGTTTCAAACGCGGGAATGATCTCCCTCGTAATGGGCAGCGAACAAGCTGTTAGCCGAATGCATTGTCAGACGGCCCGCATGAGAACTTACCGTCAGCCCAGGCTGACTGTCTCACCTTTTTCAGCGTCTCGCGTCTCTCAATTGTATTGGGATATGACATAAGAGGCTTTTGATAACCTCTCTGAGTATCGGGCCCATCCGCAATGTCTCTCGTGTATTAGTCTACGTTTTTTGGGGCAACTCCGTCCAACGCATCGAAGCCCGCGCCCGCAAATCGCTTGTGCTATCTGAGACTCATCATGAATGTAGGCGCAGCCGTTTGACGCATCATCATCTACAACGCGTCCGACACCATTCATATATAACCTCATCGACAAGACGCCTCGTACTTCGGCGCCAAGGCGGCTTCACTCGAACGGAGTTTTCGCTAAATCCCGATCACAGACCGCTGGGCGAAGGATTCCAGGGCGCTGCACCCCCTGCTCTACTGCTTATGGCAGGAATCTGCACTGGCGGGATTAGCGTGATTTTCGCCTGCACAGCCGTGTGGGCAGGGATCGGAGTTTTGCCCAGCCTCTGAAAACTCCGGTCCAACGTCAGCGTGGTGGCAGTAAAAAGAGTGATACGAAGTATTCTTACCTCAGCCTGTTAAGCTTAAGTGTTTCTTACATTCGAAGCTCGGTGTCTTTGCGGTAGGTAGGCTTCTTTATTAGACGTCTCAATCTCACTTCCTTTCGCCACAAGCTTCACGCGTGGATCAACGGGGAATCGAAGCCAGACGGGAATTTGAAAAGCTTCCGTTTCATAGCGCCCGTTCTTCATTAGAGGCCTGAAGTGTTTCTCCTCCCAAGACTCCAAAGAAGGACCAGATGTCGGCGGCTTCATCTCCAGAGCGATCAACGGGGTCTACTCCGGATCGCCCCCGGGTGCCGTCGGTAGCCAGATGGGGTGCCGCTTGCGCTCCGTGTGCAACGGCGAAAGCAAAGTGTCTCCGGTCGAACAGCAAACCTGGGTCGAAGTGTGATAGGTATGTTCAAGTTCCATCTCAGTGCTAGCATCTCGAACGGTCAGTTCGCTGCGAAGGGAACGGACATTTGCCGAGAACCCCTGGTCCGGAGTCACTTGCCGCTCCAAGCCGGAAGCCCCGTGTGAAGCCACAATAGGAGAAGATGCCAGTTTGGGACAGCTATGCATTTATGATAGGATGGCCTTGAGGGCCTCTGGTCGCTCCATGGGACAGTTCACTGAGGTGCTGGTGCCATTTGGCGCCTTAGCAGGTGCGATAGGTTGTACAAAAACTGTACAGAACAGGTACACAAGCCACGGAAGAAGAGGCAGAGCAAGCCCTCGTAAGTCGAACCCTTGAAGCATCTTATTAAACCCTCGCTCCTGAAATGTTGGGCGTCCCAATCAGTTTTCCGATGTCAGAGTGAGCTGCTAAATGATCGAGTCCATTATATTGCTAACACAGATATGACAGTAAAACGAAGCAGCTTGAAGAGCGCCTGAACCGCCTCGTAACCTCCTTGAGAGTAACAGGCAATGTCTCTGGCCTCCCCAAACACCCCGAAGGAGATTTACCTAGACGTTCCATTGTGGTACCGAACCACGAAACCACACTACCGCCCGGCCACCCGGACTTTTTGACACAATGCCGCTCATCCCCTTGGCAGCCATCCAGCAACATCGATGTCGGCCCTGTTCAGATACCTGAGGTATACAACTGCTTCGTGCCACCAACATGCATATGCCGCGCTGAACCAGGCGAGGCCCCTGGTCCTCCCGATACAGACGACAACCTGCTTGCCATCTACAGGGGCGAGATGGCGCCTCACTTCCCGTTTGTGATCATACCCACAGGAGTGACAGCAAGCACGCTCAATGCAACACGACCTTTTCTAATGGCGTCTATTCGCATGGTCGCATCTATTCGGAGTCCAAGGTCGATGCGCGGGCAGATGTATCGTCTCCTCACCTATATTGCTGACCACATGGTCCTGAGGTGTGAGAGATCGATGGATCTTCTGCTGGGTCTAGTTGTCATCCTTGGGTGGTTCCACCACCATTGTATTGCGCATGCTCAGTTCGACATGCTCGTCTCACAAGCAGCTTGTCTTCTTGGAGAGTTGGGTTTGAAGCGTGGCCCTAGCCTGACAGAGCGGACGAGACTTATCGTCATGCGGCCTTGCGAGCTGAAGCAGCGGACGAACGAAGAGAGGAGACTGCTTTTGGCGGTGTGGTACCTCAGCTCATCGTAAGTCTCTGAATTTTCACTTGCTAGTCAGGATTATTAACCATTTGCAGCGTCTCCTTAGACGTCCAGCAAATCGACCCCATGAGGTTCTCGGCATATATGGAGCAATGCTTGCGCGAACTTGACGAAGCCATGGAGTTCGAGTCAGACATTCACGTCATCTATATTGTCAGAGTTCAGCGCTTAGCAGAGAGAATATCCCAGATTCGGGCAAACGAAGACTGGGATGGGGGCTTGGGACTTCCAAAGGCCCCGATCTCAGCTTATGCATCCAGCTTCCAGGCCGAGCTGGACAAGCTTGTAGACAATATGCCTTCGATTCTGGAAGATAAATGCAAGCATTCTAAGCCACTACATGCAGACTGTTACGCTAACCAACTTCAGATTTCCTAAAAGTCCAAATGGCCACTGCACGGCTCCGGCTGTACGAGCCACCAAAGATCGACGCCGAACTCCTTGCCTCCCTCTCAAATTCCCTCAGGTCCCTCACTTCAGGTCACAACTCAGCTCTGGATATATTTTATCAGGCGAACGCTGCACTAAAAGCTTGGTTCGATTCATGGCTCGCGATTCCCATCTCTGCTTTTTACCCCTGCCCCCTCCCAATGGCGTTGCAGCTGATCTACGCCGTGGTGATGATTAGTCGCTGGGCGTGGCTCGCCGCCAGTAACAGCGAACCTTCAAGTCTTGCAACTGTTGCCGACCCGTCGAGTAATGATCCGAACGCAGCCCTGGCGGCGATGGAGGCAGCCATCAACCCCAACACTCCTGTCTCAATCTCTACGCCTTCGACATCATCTAAGTCGCCTTCGCAGGATCAGTCTGCACCGGAAAAAAACCTGCCTCGGGTCCTCGCTGAGCTGAGAGCCCAGCTCTCAAGACAGCCGGCGCTCTTGATCGACGTGGCGGATATCCTCAACAAAGTGGCTACCCAGCTGGAGGAGGTCGACGCTACCATGGCGGCGGTGTCTGCTGACTCTGGGCCGTGGAGGGGTAACATTTACACTCTGGGTGCGACAAAGGTCAGGATTGCACAGATCAGACAGAGGAGGTGGGCCGAAATTGTGTCCAAAGGCGAGGAGGAAGAGGATGAAGATGACGAGGGTGGCGAACAGGATGGAATGGGCGAAGTTGAGATGCAGGGGAACATACCGGCGAACTTTTCGACCATGGGAAATTGGGGATTTGATATGACTTGGGGACCTGATGTCTATGATATCGTCGACCCATCACTGTTCATGGATGGGATGGGCGGGGCGGTAGGAGACTGGGCAGGTGTTGGGTTTACAGGCATGGCATCGGCGGAGCAGCTGGGTGGGACGCATATTTCAGGGCAGAGATATGTGTGATACCGGTAGGAGATCTTCATCAAACCGAAAGATACATAGAATGCGGAGGACGTCGATTTTTTGCGGTCGTCGCCAAGAAACATAATATTATGGGGAGTCGTTCCCAACATCTCCAACCAACGCCTTTCACAATTATGATACATTGAGATAGCCAAAGCGAACTCCAACCAGCCAACATCGCGTTCCTTCGTCATCTTTACTAATCATTCCCCATGGAACGTCAAATCGTACAAAGCATATGCTTACCAACTCCCGTATCCCTCAGAACCAACAGAGATCCTCCTTGAATCAAACGAGTTGTCATCTTCCAGACCTCGTTGCCACGACACAAAATCATGATAGCCGTGTTCGCTCGGGTACCCCTTGGGAAGGTACTTCTCCGGGGGCCCACCAAACACCGTACCAACCGCTGTCTTCACAATCTGATCGACCGCATCAAACGCAAAAGCAACGCTCTCCCTCGCCAAGTCTCTGATCTGGTCGCCCCTGCTCCACCGCTTCTTGCGCTCATCCATCGTCATCTTCTGCCACCTGACCATATCGTCGTTGATCTCGATGTACATACGCTCCCACATGCCCACCTGCTCCTCGGGCAGCACGAGCTGGCGGTCGCCGTGCCGCAGGCGCCACGTCCACGTGTTCTTCGGCGCGTCGAGCGTCTTGAGGTCGGACTCCAGCGGCTGCTCGGCCTTGATGAACTTCTCCTCGGCGGAGTACTCTTGGTGGTCGCGCGGGTACTGCTCGTACACGGCGGTGACGGAGCCGGTGGTGGTCTTGTACTGGTCGATGACGTTCGGGTCGCGGCCCGGTCGGATGTTCTCCTCCTTGGGCGGGCTCTTCTCGAACATGAGCTGCCAGCCGCGGCCGGAGAGGGCTTTGCATTGCCACTCGCCCGAGTCGTCGACGCCGAGGCCGTGGTAGAGGTAGCGCACACGGACGGAGGGGTGGATGAGCTCGACTGTGTTGGTCAGAGCCTTGTCGCGGAGCTCGTCTCTGTATAAGCCGGGCTTGCGTGTGGAGCTCTCTGTCCATTGGTTCGTGACAGTTCGGTAGGGAAGGGTGACTGCGTTCCAAGCGGCATCGGGGAGTGTTGTCACGAGGCTGTCGGGGCTGGTGATCTTGCCGAGACCCCAGGGACGGGCGTCGCTCGGGGATGGGATGGTGCGGAAGATGCGCTTCATTTCCTGCTTGCTGAACTCGACGCCGATCGACGTGAGTTGATCCGCCATCCCTGAGAGATTTATCAGCTTATAATTCAACAACGGCGTACCTGGTGGATTTGACGAACATGCTAGTGCTATTTTTGAAATTTGCTGTGATTCAGAGCCTCCGCCGACGTTACTATGACATCCTGGGAACCAGACTTGGCGCAGCTGAGTGTTGTGGTTCTTCGGGCTCAAATTCCATAGACTTGGTGCGAATGCTGTTCTTGACTCGTCCAAAGCAAGGGCCTGGAAGGCGTGGTCTACGTTAGGATGGACATCAAGACTTGCAAATCGAAGCTGCTGCAAATGTTAGAACACACTCTTTTCACAATATACCCTTCCCGATATGGATGGTACCATACCTCTGAGGCACTGCCTTCCCAGAAGGACCACGGCATCCTTGGGATACCGAAACTTCCAACGGTGTCGAAAACGCCTGTCGCAATCGACTGTGTTAGCAGGACATCTGATATCATAAGGTAGAAACAGGAAGACTTACCAACTGCCTTCACTCTTCCTTCCACAGCTTCGAATGTTGTTTGGGCCTGCATGCTACTCCTCCTTGTGAGGCACATTTGATACTGTTCTTGTTAGTGAAGACCTTTTTGAAAGAGAAGTGGCTTCTTACCTCTGACAGCTGACCGCGATACGCTTTTGCCATCTTCCTGAACCTCATCTGGCCATTGTCCTTCTTCATTTGCGTCATCCTCTTGAACAGCTCCGCCTTTTCTCTCTCAAGCCGCTTCTTCAAAGCTTCCGGGTTGAGCCTCCTCTCATAGGTTGCATACAACTTGGCGAACTCCTCCCCGAGCTGTTTCTTCCGTTCATCAGACTCATACCCTCGGCCGTCGAGTTTCCTCTCAATCCTCTCCATCTTATCCATGAACTCCTTCTTGACTCTTTTCCCCAGCTGCTCGACAGTGAAGGCACGGAGATGCTTGCTCGAGTCGTACAGGAACTCGCTGGTCCATTCGTTGAACGACTGGTAGTCCTGGTAGATGTCTGCGAGATGGCGGAGGCCGGTGCGGTTGAGGAAGCCCAGGGAGCAGACCATGGAGGAGATGGAGCGGGCTGTGAATGCGCCCCGTGAGAATCCCAAAATGACGATCTCGTCGCCGGGGTTGTAGTTGTCGCAGATGAAGCGGTAGCAATCGACAATGTCCTGTTGGCAAACCGGGTTAGTCATATGATATGGAATATGTGCGATCATGAAGGGGCGATTTACTTGTCGAACTCCTAGACCGAGAAGACCTTCGAGGACGCTGGTCGTCTTTGACTCGTCGGTCCCGGGACCGCGGTGATAGTACACAACCTGCGGCATGCCGGTACAGCATTTGTGTGCTACAGCCGCAGACAATCGACTGATGTTCGTCGGTATAGCATTGCTGCCAATGTTTCTGGTACGCTTTCGTCAGTCGCTGGTTGAGAAGAAGTATGTTCCAGGTAGCATACGAGCTGTTCCACGCTCCATCGCAGCAGATAACAAGTCGCTTCCTATCAGGAAAGTTCTCTTCGTCGGACACTGCAGCATGATGGGCGCAGTCGATGAAGTTCTCCATCGTCGGACTGTCCATGTCGGCTGGATTCTCTCTCACCAGGCGGTGGTTTCTCGGACTTCGGGACAGGGGCTTTCAGGAAAGATTCCTTCCTGCGGCGAACGATGAGCGCGACATGGTGTTTATGTTTACCATGCCAGATTAAAAAAAAAAAAAAAAACACTCACACACGCTTATCAGTAGCTGTCTCAAAATGGCATAAACAGAGAAGAAGCTTGCATGTGAAAGTCGGCGCACGAGCTCCGCCAGATCGGCACGCCACTATCAAGGGGTTAAGCCACGTAGGGCTGGCTAAGGTCGGTTTGTTATTCACTGAAGAATGCGAGTTGGAATTGGATGTTAATGCATCGTCGAGATTGTGCGTGTTGTGTGTAATTTGAGGGAGCTGGTGGCTTCGCCGCACAGTCCGTGTTTTTGAGCCTCGAGGCCGGATCCGGTCTAAGGCGGTGGATGTGGTATCGACGGACTCATCGGACACGCTGTTCGAGAAGTTTGGATTTGGGGCTCGTGCATGTTCTAATTCTGTTCATTTTGTGGCTACGCGGAGCGCATGTGATGAAGGACCTAAGCCCAAAGAACTGCAAGTTTGAGCCGCTTGGAATCTGAGGTCATCTATCTTGGGCGCGGTCGTTGAGACATTGTCTCGATCGCGGCTAAACGCAGACTTGTGGTTCCCGGAATGGTATATTCTTCGAGCGAAAGCTGACGAAGCGAAAGGTTATCTACGAGCGATTCGACGGTGGGAATAATAGAATGGTCAGATAGCTTGGGTAAGAAGAAGACTAACTTCACATGGGTGTAGAGCGATGCGTACGTAGGAGGTGCGGGAACGCCGCCTCCTCTTCTCTAAATCGTGACTTGGAAGACTGCTTATGCAATCGTCCTGCCATCATTTCTCCTCACCCCATTTTAGAACCAACCGGAAAAAAAGCAAACATCGATATCAACCACCAAAACCATTGGTTCGCAGGTGTTTGCGTGAAGCAGTCGATCCAGGGTTCACGATGAGCGGTCAACCAACACCCCGGCCACATCTTCCGGCCTCGGTGACTCCCCGGCGCTTGTAGGGACCTCTTTGGTCACACATGCATCCGTCCAACAAAACAATCCGAATCTCGCAGCACACTGCCGCCTTTGATTCGCGAGATCTCACGCGCAAAGATCCACCGACGACACTACCGACATGCGGGACTACGGCACGGGACAGGGTGGTTGGGACGGCACGAAGTGCGGGTGTGAGGAGAAGCTTCCCCGCGTATGCGGGGTTTGGAGGAACTCGGCCGATGAAAAAGGGCGGCGGTTCAGTCGTCGCTTGTAGTTTTACGAAGGTTTTTCTGGTGAAGTAAGTTTGCCGGTGGGCGGAACAGATTCTTCCTGTGGCTTGAAAGTCAATTTTCAAAAGGCGATTTGTTGAGGGGAGTGCCCTGTTGCGAAGACTTGCCAAGGCCAACTGCATCACCATCATCAGCTACATCGACAACAAGATGGCGACGACGGGTGAGAAGGGCATAGGCCCTCGCGACATCGATTCGCCGACGATGAAAGAGGTACGACATCACAAACTTCATACACGATGAGAAGTGTCGCGCTGATGTGACGATGATAGGACATCGGACCCGCATCCCCCGTCTCCTGCTCCCGCGAAGAAGAAAGAGCTCTGCTATGGAAGCAAGACAAGCGCATCATCCCAATATGCGCCGGCATTTACTTCCTCTGCTTCCTCGACCGCTCCAACATCGGCAACGCCAAGATCCTCAACTCCTCCTCGGGCCACGACATGCAATCCGAGACACACATGTCCAACAGGGACTTCACCATCGCGCTGATGATCTTCCTCATCGCCTACGCCCTCTTCGAGGTCCCATCCAACATGCTGCTCAAGAAGCTGCGCCCCTCCCGCTGGCTGGCGTTCCTCATGTTCTCCTGGGGCGCCGTCACCATCGGCCTCGGCGGCGTCAAGACCGGCGCCGCCGTCACGGGCGTGCGCTTCTTGCTGGGCGTCTTCGAGGCCGGCCTGTTCCCGGGCCTGGTCTACTACCTCACGTTCTGGTACAAGCACGACGAGCGCAGCGTGCGGGTCGCCATGATTCTGGCCAGCGCGACACTGGCGGGTGCCTTTGGCGGCGCGATCGCGTACGGCATCGGGCACATGAACCAGGTCAACGGCATGTCGGGCTGGCGGTGGCTCTTCATCCTGGAAGGCATCCCGTCGTGTCTGTCGGCGTTCTTCGTGTGGTTCTTCCTGCCAGACTACCCTGAGAGCGCAGGCTGGCTCTCCGAACGCGAGAAGGACCTGGCGATTGAGCGGTTGTACCATGAAGGCAGCAAGAGCAGCCACAGTACCATGTCGTGGGAGGATGCGAAGGCGACGCTGACGGATTGGCGCCTCTATGGGCATTACGTGGTCTACTTCGCCATCTCGATCCCGTTCTCGTCGCTGTCGCTGTTCACGCCGTCAATCACCTCGGGGTTGGGATTCGTGGATCTGCAGGCGCAATTGATGACGGTCCCGCCGTATGCCGCAGCTTATGGTAACCTTCACATCAATCTCACAAATGGCCTCAAAAAGGTGCTGACATGTCGCAGTTGTCCAGATCCTCGTCGCATACTCCGCGGACCACTTCAACGCCCGCGGCGTGCACTCCGCAGCCCTTGCGCTGATCGGCGCGATCGGCTTCGTCGTCTCCGCCGTCCTCCCCCCGGACGCATACCACGCGCGCTACGGATGCCTCATCGTCGGCGCCTCGGGGGCTTTTGCATGCATCCCGCCGCTCCTGGGCTGGCTCACGTCCAACATCTTCAGCACGGCGTCGACGGGGCTCGCGATCGCGCTCAACGTCAGCTTCGGGGCGGGGCTCGGGCAGATCCCGGGCGTGTGGGTGTACAAGGCGGAGGAGAAGGCGATGGGGTACCCGACCGGACACTGGTCCAACGCGGCGCTGCTGTTTGTCGTCGTCGTCGGGTGTGCGGCGCTGCGAGTGTACTATGGACTGGCGAACAGGAAGCTGGCGAGAGAGGCGGAGAGGAATGGGACTCAGCCCAGGTTGTTCAAGTACTGAGACGGCGGAGGGCTTGTAACAGCATGATGGGATCAGATGATGCTGTTTTGAGGTTGTATGAGACAATTGAGTTTTCGAGGTTTCAGATGAAAGCATAGTTGTCTATGTGTCTAGTTGCTGTCCCACTCTGAGTGATGTTGATTAGAAATAATTCCACCATTCATTCACGCAGCGTCGTATGTAAGAAGACGTCGTATTTTGCTCGCTTGATTCAGCACTACAAACCACATTTGGTTCCCCTGCTGTCGCATCTTGATGTCCCAGGGGCCCAATCTTCCCCATCCCCGCATAGAAGCGGGTTCATGATCAACCGGCGTTGTGGCAGAGTGGTCTAATGCGCAAGACTAGAAATCTTGTTCCTTCGGGAGCGTCTGTTCGAATCAGGCCAACGTCGAATCCATCTTTTTGACCACTGTCACTAATCACTTGGTGGTTCAGCCACGGCACACCACCACGTCGCCTTTTGGTGGCTAGCACACAATTCAATCTAGGGGGTCGCGTGGTCGGTCATCCAGCCCATTCGGAGGCACACATCCGTGATTGGATTCGTATTTGGGATGAACGGCAATCAACGGCACTGCACAGAAAACCTACCGGCCACCAGCTACGGCCGCTGAGCAGCCTTTCAGTCTCGCTCTCTCTTCCGAGTCGTCCTTCCCCGCCAGAAGCTCCGACGTCCCTGGATTAATCCCCCCCTTTTATCGACGAGCTATGCGACCCAAAACTCGTTAAAGTGCAGGCTAGCAAGGGTGGCGGCACCAAAGGCGAGGGAACTCAAATTTGCCAAGAAGCGACCGAGACAGCGGGATGGAGCCAGCTAAAGGCCCAAATAGTGGGATGACCGGTTAAGGGATGACCCTTGCATTTCGTCTTCAGACTCGACACCGTCGCCTGAAGGTTTTCGGTTCCCTTTCGAAACGTTGGAATTATGACTTGTTCTGTTGTGTGAATAAGCGACAGGACACTCTTCGGTCGGTGACTTGGTCTTCTGTTGCTTGTTTTGTAACGAGAACTTCACAGACTGGACCAACAACGACGAAAGTGGCTTGTAAGACTAGAAGGAGAAACGTCTGAATTTTGGGCTCAGTGAAGGGGGTCGGGATTCAATAACCCCCTTGCAAAATCAATCACGATGCCAGCATTCCTCAGCAGCAACATACAGACCCGGCGTGCGCGGGTGCTGGTCATCACCTTCGTCGCCATCGTCTTTCTGTTCCTGTTCCACAACTCGGGCCTCGGCAGCGATTACCTGCCTGCAGCATACACAGGACAACAGGCCGCCCCAGGAAGCGCGGCGCAGAACCAACAAGCAAGCCAGAACAAGGATGGGAACCTCCCGGCAGCAGCACACGGCGAGCCGGACGCAGCGGGCAACAAGCTCAAAGAAGACGCGGAGGGCGAGGACTCGTACCGCAACAAGGACGGCGAGTTAGCCAAGCAACCCCCCGACGCCGGCCACAAGCCCGCAGATGCATCTGCAGCGGCGAACGCTCCAACGCCGTCCTCCGGCAGAACGCCGCCAGTCGCTCCGGCCGTCCCGCCCCCGGTGTCCACGGAGCCGTGCCCGTCGTATGAGAGCTGGATGCGCACCCGGCCTGGGCCGCTGTCCGAGGGCAAGCGCCAATTCCCGCTCAATCGGCCCCGGCCAGAGTGCCGCACCTTCACGTCCCCGGCTATGGAGGCACTCATCACGCGCATGAAGGGCGTGATCAAGGACCCGGACCTGTACCGCCTGTTTGAGAACGCGTACCCGATGACGCTGGACAGCATGGTCAAGTGGCGCGGCTTCGCCAACGAGACGGACGAGAAGACGGGCGAGACCAAGGTTACGGACATGGAGCTCACGTATGTCATCACCGGCGACATCGACGCGCTGTGGCTGCGCGACTCGGCGTCGCAGGTGTACTCGTACCTGCCGCTGCTGGAGGCGTCCACGGACAAGGACTCGCTCGCCAGTCTCTGGCGCGGGCTGATCAACGCGCATTCGAGGTACATCGTCATCTCGCCATACTGCCACGCCTTCCAGCCGCCGCCCGAGAGCGGCATCCCGCCCACGCACAACGGCGCGTACGTCCACAATCACCCCATGCCCGCCTACGACCCGCAGAAGGTCTTCGACTGCAAGTGGGAGCTCGACTCGCTCGCGAGCTTCCTGCAGCTGTCTTCGGCGTACGCGCAGAAGACTGGTGACTGGGAGTTCTTCGGCAAGTACGTGTGGATGGACGCCGTCGAGGCCGCAGTCACAGCCGCCGGGGCGATGCGGCTGGGTACCTACTCCAAGGAGGGCAAGGTCGAGAAGTCGGCATGGACGTTCACGGGGTGGACGAACCGCGGCAGCGAGACGCTGACCAACGACGGCCTCGGGAACCCGATCAAGGAGAACGGCATGGTGCGCACCGCGTTCCGGCCGTCCGACGACGCGTGCATCTTCCAGTTCCTGGTGCCGGCCAACATGATGTGGGCCAAGTACCTCGAGGACGCGTCGGAGATCATGGCCAAGCTGCCCGGGGAGCGGGCGAAGAACCTGACGGCCGCGATGCGCGACCAGGCGTACGGGATCCGGGAAGGCATCGAGAAGGATGCGATTGTGCACCGGCCTGGGTTCGGCGACATCTTCGCGTATGAGGTGGACGGCTTCGGCGGCGCGAATCTGATGGATGATGCGAACGTGCCGTCGCTGCTGGCCATGCCGCTGTGGAACTTCACCAAGTCCAGCTACAAGGTTCCCGGCCCGCCGAAGGGCGAGAAGCAAAGGGACTACACCGAGATCTACCGCAACACGCGCAAGTACGTCCTCAGCGACGCCAACTCGTACTTCATGCAGGGCCCGGTTATCTCAGCCGTCGGAGGGCCGCACGTGGGGCCAGGGAAGGCGTGGCCGATGGCGGCGGTGATCGCGGCGATGACGGCGTATGATCCGATATCCGGGGTGAAGGACGTCGAGAAGGAGGTGGAGGAGCAGGTGTCGATGATTCTGGACTCGACCGCGGGAACGGGCGTTTTGCATGAGAGCGTGAACAGCTGGAACGAGAACGACTGGACGAGAGCGTGGTTTGGATGGGCTAATGGAGGGTTTGGGGAGTTGGTCTTGAAGATGGAAGAGCAGGAGAAGAAGAACGCAGGGAAGGGGTTACTAGGGAAGAGTTGGCAGGGCGCGTCGACGGGGAAGACAGCGGCGGGCACCCCTTCAAGGTAGCGTTATCGATATATGTACATGAGATAGACCAGAGAAGACGTTGGGCTCTAGCGGTTATGTATCAAGTGGTTTCGCGTTAAAGTAGAAGTCTACCATGGTAAAAAGAGGCAACAATTAACCCCATATCTCATTGCTGAACGCTCGACGAAAAAGAGTTATCTCAAGCACATGATGGAAAGCTGAAAACTCAAGAACGCCAAAAAGTGAAAAAAGAAATCCGACGTTGGCCTGATTCGAACAGACGCTCCCGAAGGAACAAGATTTCTAGTCTTGCGCATTAGACCACTCTGCCACAACGCCGATTGACAAACTCGCCAAAGTTTGTAACCATAGAGCTCAGCCCCGCTCACTCGCTCTGCTTTGGGCCAGGCTCCCGACCCATCCATGCTCTTTTCCTCTTGCTCTTAGATTTTTTCTTCGTTCCGTAGTATCCGTCTGAGACTATTCTTGCGTCAATGGTATGTAACCTGCCCACTGTAGCCAGTCATTCCGTAGACTTGGGTAGTTCAAGCATTTAGAACGCGTCGTGTGTGTAATATTTGTGACGACGCAGGCTTGCGGCAGTATGAAAAATCGATGGGTGAGATTTCCACTGATAAGCAGGTGATAAGTAGCGACTACGAGTAAGTCTCAGTCTTGCAATTGTACGTAAGCTTCGATTATATCTGATTCTAAGCCCCAGGTCACTGGCTGTCCCACAAGTCCCTGAATAATGACTTTGTCTTTAACAGATTCGCCGGGCTTCCAGTCTCAGCAATGTACCCCGACTCCATAACAACTACAACATCAAAATCCATAATGGTGCTCAATTGATGAGCAACAGCAATCACGGTGATATCTTTGAACTCATCCTGGATGGTTTGTTTCATCATGCTCGCTGTATGCTGATCAACGCTGGAAGGCAAAGTCAGTTCGTTCCGTCGAAAGAAATGCATCCTTGGAAGTCATTATGATGGATTCAACTAACCTGCTTGTGGCTTCATCCATGAGTACAACGTTACTTGGATTTAAGATTGCCCGGGACAAAGCCAGCAATTGCTTCTGACCCTGACTAAGATTGTCCAACGTAGCTGCGGCATGCAGCCCGCCAGCGTCCTCAATGACTTGCCACATCTGAACCTTCTCCACCGCTAAGCGCAGAGCTTCATCAGACAGAACCCCGGATGGATCGAGATTCCTGGCCACAGTTGCATGGAAGAAGAACGGCTCTTGGGGGATCGTGTTGATTGCAGATCGCACATCTGATGGATGGACCGAACCAATATCGACGGCATCAATGTGAATCGATCCTGAAGCAAGCTCAGCCATTCTCGTCAAGGCTGCGATCAAGGTGCTTTTACCGCTGCCGCTGCGCCCACAGATGGCAACCTTTTGGCCGGAAGTTATGTGAAGGGTGAAGTCCCTCAGTGCGAAACTGGCGTTTTCGGTGCCAGGCGGCACATAGCTCACAGTTGCTGCGTCGAAGCTGACGGAGCCCTCCTGCGGCCAACCAGGGCGTGGCGTTTCGTATACAGCTATGTCACCGCTAGGATGGCTTTCGGAAGGTGTCTCTTTCTCAAAAGCCTTGATGCGGGAGATTGCAGTAAGGGACGTCTCCAGATTAGTGTAGTTGATGACGATCATTTTAAGCTCTTGACTGAGAGACATTAGCTGGATAAGGGCAACTCCCAGCAAGCCTCCCAATGTAGCTGACATCTTCGGCGCAATCGCGGCCACAAGAATTGCGACCGTCGCAATTATTAGTTCCAGGACAGGCTGCAGCCACCTCTGAACCATGTATAAGAGATACACAGGCTTCTGAGATGCATCGACTAGGTCATGATTTGCCTCGATGGATTGTGCGGGCCAGCCAAAGGCGCGAATGGTGGCCAAGCCCTGCACCGTCTCTAGCAGATTTGTCTGCAGCGGACTTCTTGCCTCAAGATCAAGGAAGCGGAGCTGTCGGGAGGTTTTCAGATAGAAGCTTTGAACAAAGTACAATGCGGTCAGTAGAAAAGGATAGGCAATAGCGACGTAGGGTGCCGCGACCGCTATCAAGATCATCTGCACCACGGCCACGAGACCTGCCGAAAGAGTTTCTAAAAGGGACATCGGGAAGTCGCCGTCCACAAGAATGATGTCCTGGGAGAACCGATTCGTCGTGATACCAGTGTCGACTGCACTGAAAAAGGATTGTGGGGCCCATATCATCGCCTTGAGTAAGACGTGGTGGAGTGAAGTTCCGGCTTTGACAGCGAGAGTCGTGAGTGAGAAGCCGGAGAACAGAGCGAGGAATGCCAGCGCAAGCACCTGAAAGGCAGCGTAGACTCCCAGATAATAGCCGTTCTGGACGCCATGGGGAGATAATGTCGATACGGCCGAGGACCAAAAGTTAAGCCAGACGGTGCCAATTGTTGAGAAGACAGCCCAGCCACAGGTAAGAGCCACGAACACCACGACTCGCCAGAAGCCGATGTGAGACGCCAGATACTCGTAGATAGACGCGTCTCCAAGTCTTCGTGTCAAGTCATCTGCTGGCTCGTCAGAAGACAAGTCATCGTTTCCAGCTGCAAGCGGCTGATGGGCCTCGTGTCCGTCTCTGCCGGCCTCGTCTCTAGTACCTTCGCGAAGCACGTCGCCACTTGCGCTGCTCTTTTCCTGGATCACGAGTGATTTGATGTAAGAAGACTGTTCCCGTAGCTGTTCATACGTTCCCGCCTCAGCTACGCGTCCGTCAAGGCCTAGGACTATTATGTGGTCTGTTCGAGGGAGAAGGGAGACGTCGTGCGTGCAAAGAACAACGGTGCAGCCACTCTGACGTCGTAAGCCTTGAGGACCCATCGTACGTTCGAAGACCTTGACTTTAGTAGTTGCATCAAGACCGGAAAGAACGTCGTCGAAAATGGCTATTTGCTTTCGTGCATAGAGTGCCCGGGCTATTGCGACCCTCTGTTGCTGTCCGCCGCTCAAGCGGGTGCCTTTGCTACCAACGTTGGTATCTCTGCCTTTTGGAAGAGCTGCAATGTCGTTCTCCAAGTCCACAGCATGTACGACCGACTCCAGCCAGGTGCTATCGAAGCTGGAGAAGCCCGTAATGTTATCAAGGAGGGTGCCGTACATGATGAATGGTTCTTGGCCACAGAAGGCAATACCCGTGTTTGCACTTTCACGGACAGAGTCGAATATCTGAAGGTTTCCTCGGAAATATGGCAGCTCACTAATCATGACCCTGGCTAAAGTACTTTTACCGCTTGCCACAGGCCCGATGATCACGGTCAGCTGCGAAGCTGGGATGTTGATGTTGACATTTGTCAGAACTGGCTTGGTCTCTGACCATCCAAGCTCGCCAGCACGAATGACCACAGCGCTTCTAGGTTCGGCGAGAGACGAATCTTCAGGTTGGACCACGGAACTGCTCAGGGAAAAGTTAGTCTTCCTTGGCTCGGCATGAAGATACTTCTCCACTCTCTTCAGGCACCCAAGTGATAACACAAATAGCGGGATCGCCTGGAACAACCACACCAACGGCTGCGTCATTAGCTGTAGCAAACCAAGGGACGTGAAAGCTTTGACGGTATCCAGGTGCTTGCCAGCACTTTGCGCCTGTAGTACAAAAACCAGGAACGTGAAGACAGGAGACAAAAGCAGCGGCAGAAATGCGATCGTGGCAGTGAGTACCTCGATGTGGCGAAAGTGTCTAGCAGCGTGGAGCTCTGCCTTCCTCAGCTCCTGGAGCAGATCGTACACACTTCCCGACAGTCCGAGTAGCTTGATGCTCTTCATCCCCGCCACAGCTCTTGCGGTAATGGCAACGCGCTCTTGGGTCGCTTCCATCCACGAGACCTGGGCTTTGTCCGCGAACGCACTCATCAACATTGAGCCGAGGCTTGACAAGGTCGCAACGACTGCCGGGGCCACGCAGGCTATCCCAAGCTCCCGATACAGCAGCCAAACCGAGATGGCAACTTGCACGGTGTTGGCCCATAGCTCGTGGACATCTTTGAAGCCTGCAATAATGCGTTCCATATCGGTACTAACCAGAGGTACAGCTGCGGTCGTGTCGCAACGAGCAGGATCCACAGCAAGCGTCTTCTCGTATACAGCTGCCAGAATGCACCCGCGCAACTTGACGAGAGACTTGTACGTCAGACGCCAGTAGATACATCCCGAGATGGCTATGCCAAGATAAACGAGCCCGTAAGTAATGATGAAGGCGTAGCCGGTATTGCCAACAAAGGTTGCTTCGCCAGCGAGATAACGAAGGAACTTGCGCAGCAGTAGGGGTTGGCAGAGTGTAAAAGCGACTTGAGCTAGACGCGGCATGACTGGCGCCATGATTGACCATCTAAGGGCTTTGACGAGCACAAGAGGAAGGCTGGCGGGTCGTCTGTTTTGCTTGTTCCATATTGTTCCAAAGACGCGGGATAGATGTGCTGTGCCTAGTCCCTCGCTCAGCGGGTCAAGATCCGTGGGTGCCAGGAGTGTCTTCCGGCCCTTTAGCAAGATACCCCGAAGCCATATGAGGAGGCTACGACTGAATACGCCGGCCGTTTCTTCGGGAGTTTTGTGTCGCCATTCTGGGAGCAGAAGACTCCGCTTCTCAATCGCTTCCAGCACCAGAAGACCGCTTTTGATGAGCAACGCAGCGGTGAACTCGGCAGGTATGAGCAGAACACTAGTTCCCTCATCGTTCGCCTTCAACCAAAGTGTACGCGTCTGCACGGCATCAAAACTCAACGAGACGAGCAGGTAGACGTTGAGCAGCGTTGATGGGCGTGGCGAGTAAGAATGTTCGAGCCAGGACAATATTCCAAGCGCGAAGACATCCACCAATTTTAGGATAGCCGCCGTAATGCTGGCTCTTGTCCCGTAAAGTCCTGAATGTGCGTTGATCCATGAGACGAGAAGAGCGACTTCGATCGCGCCGTAGCAGGCGACCGCGCTGAGCTTCGCCCATCGCAGCCATGTGCCCACGACGACTCTCTGGCTCTTCTTCTGTCTCGTAAACAGGACCCAGAGGCGGGTGGCGGCCAAAAGAAGAAACAGGCCAGACGGTACAGCGGAAAAGATGGTTTGCTCGAAGAGCAGCGAGAAGTCGAAGTCTCCCCTGCAGCCATGGATAGGACCGAATTCCGAATCGGCGCAGGCGGATGAGTTGGCCATGTTGCGCCCCGAATTGAATGTTTGTCTGGCTTCCCGTCAGTCTCAGTGGATCGAGGATTTGCAATTGAAGGATGAGAGAGAGGTTGAAATTCTTACCAACAGCCAACAAGATGAATTGACCGTAACCCATGTCTCTTCCGCGGATAAACGGCAGGGCACTCACCCCCTGGAAGAAGCATGCATAACTTGAAAAGGGATCCACCTTGGCCATCGGTCAGCCGTTTAAGGCAGGAGGATAGACATGCTCATCAGTACAAAGATCCAATGCTGTGTTTGACATGCACTGGCTGACCAACACAGCGCTTGCATAACATCTCAGTGCCACGACTAATCCTGGGGCGTATTATGTGCGTTATTGCGAACACATCCTATGGCCACAATGAGCTTCGCTCGTGCGATTGTTTTGGATCAGCACTATCCAGCACGATCGGTCATGCAGAAGACCAAACCAACTGGTGATGAGATGAGTTACACCAGTTGCCCAGCTAGCTATCCAGACCAACCATTTTTCTAGCAGCAACTAATAAAGCGGAACAAAAGCGCTTGTGGAGTTATGACGTTCGTAGCACCCGTTCCGGGGCATATTGTATCAAGTCGGACGATTTAGTCTTCAACCCCATCACGAATAGCAGCTCATCAAACACGCGAATGAACTAGCACACATAACACATTCATCTCTGACATGCACCAAGGCCAATTCAAGGTCCATAGTACCCATGTGTAGTCACGTGACTCACATGTGCGGCTGCGCCGCATTTGCAGCCATGACCAAAAGCCCAACGGCGACGAAACAAGCGTGGCAATCCACAACAAACACCTCTTCCACTCCTTGCCAAATTTCGACATCATCTCCATTTCAGACAACCCAAGAAGATCATGTTTTTCCAAACACATGTGCCCCGTCTTTGCCTGGCCTTGCTTCTCATAGTCGAGGCCACCGCAGCAGCAGTATCATCGTCGCATCCAGCGGTGCCTGGCGTTGGTTTCAGTCTCACTCCAAACTGTGGGTACGAGACCTCAAAAAAGTCCACGTGTGGAACGAATTTCATTGACTTATTATGTTAGAATTGCAGCCATCTACTTCCAGAACGGGTCTCACGTAGAAATGGCTCGGATCGAGGGTAGCCCAGCGTACAAGTCTTTTATGCGCAAACGCGACAATGCAACATCTATCGTTGAAGGCTTACCTGGCACATCCTTGCTGCGCAACACCGTGTGCCTTCCATTGCAGCCGCTCGGCCTCGCCATCTGCGAGAGAGACCCGGACTTCGACAGTTGCCAGGGCCTTTTGCGGAGTCTACAGTCATCGGTCGCGTCTTACCTAGGCACGACATTTTGTTACGCCGGCGTGGTCGTCCCTGACCACACTTGGCAGTATCAAGACTACATCATCAACAAAGCAATTCAATCAGTCGGCCTCGGTCTAACCCACCGGGTCTTGAGCGCTGTGAAGTTGGTTATGTGGGCGAACCACATTAATAACCCAGACACACCGCGTTACGAAACGCAAGCTGTTCTAGTAGTAGATTACAGCGACTCTGGACTGAATGTTAATGTATTCGCCGACGACGAAGGAGTTGCGGACGTTTTACGTCAAGTCTACGACCAGCAGCTCGGCGCGGATCGTCGGGAACAGCCCGGCCATTTTCAGGCCGTCAAAGACTTACTCACAGATGTTACTAAGGTCCCATTGGGCCACGATCTTTACGGACACCCCATGCCAGATAAGATTCAACGAGTTGTTCTTTATGGCGATGCGGTGATGGACGGAGGATTCCTTGACATCTTGAAGGCTGTTGTTGGTGAAGACGTGGTTAACAACGCCCACTCCTTCGAACCAGTCTTCGCCGCTGCGGTTGGTATGGCAACGTCTTCTTTCCAGAGCATGAACTGGTTGGACTTCAACGTGGAGCCTACTTTCGGATGTCGCTGGCGATCGAGGCTCTATGATGCCCCGAGTGAGGAACTTTAGCCACATCAACACATATTCTGGTCATTGGAAGAATATATCCCTGCCTTTCCTGTGCTTAAACACCGACGTTTTCAAATACGTTCACTAGCACCGTCGTCATCTTAATCGTTACCGCTGTTATTGTCGCCGCCCTTATCACTTTCCCTCCTATTATCATCCTCATTGTAATCACGAAGTGCACCGCAAGCATTGCCGCCCAGACTCAGGAAAATTAGGCTGTCTCTACGAGAAAGCATTCCGTTGAGTGTCAGGAACAAAATGGATTCTATATGCGGTAGCAATCATATGCGGTCGTATGCGAAGAAGGCAGCGGGGAAGCGTGGAGCCCCAGGATTAGTCCGGAGCCGTCGGAATTGCGGACTACTCCGTGATGTACCGGCCGGCATTCCCGTTGTCGCCGAGGCCGAGCAAACATTTGCGTAGTTTTCACCATGGAACGCTAACTTGAATGGAGCCTCTTCGGTCCCGTTTGCTGGGGAGGCGCTCAATGGCCTATGGGTCCTGACGTGCTCACCTTGTCCTTGATATCCACCTCTTCCCATTCGCAATCAAGTGCCAAGATTCTAGGAGTACTGGATAACAGGTTCACGGAAATAAAACAACTTACGGACTTCAGCCGGACTTAAGATTTATCTTTTGCCCATCGCAGATCCTGCCAAGCAAATCATACGGTTGATAGTTGTGACCTTTGAACTTCCAGCGATCTAGTGACTGGGCTGCATAAATTCTGCAAAGACCCAAAGTTCCGTATCGAAAACCACATTACTACCATTTCATGCTTGAAATCTAAGATCTTCACACATTCCCAACACTCCGCCTTTTTCCATTTACCTTCTCCCGATACTTAGCATGTCTGGCAACCCGGGCACCGTCCTGATTACCGGCGCAAACGGCTATCTAGGGCTCCACGTCATTGACCAGGCTTTGAAGCGGGGATACAATGTCCGAGGAACAGTTCGGTCCCAGAAAGCTGCAGACAAAGTCCGCGCGACTTTCCCAAACGACTATGGCTCCAGGTTGATGACCATCTCCATCGAAGACCTCACCAAGCCCGAGCTCTTTCACGACGCCTTCGACCAAACAACAATAGGCGTCATTCACGTCGCCAGTCCTGTTCACGGCCAAGTCGAAGACAATGTACGCGACATGTTGAATCCTGCCATCAAGAGTGCCACGGGAATCTTGGAAGCCAGCAAGCTGTACGGCGGTGCTGCTTTGAAGCGTGTGGTTCACGTTTCTTCCTTGGCGGCGATGCTTGACAACTCCAAAGACCCTCGTATCGGATACGTCTATGACGAGTCTGACTGGAACCCAACGACATTTGCAGAGGCCGCGTCTCTCAAAGATCGTGCAGCTCTTTACTTGGCATCAAAGGCGCTTTCGGAAAAGGCAGTTTGGGCATGGATGAAGGACAACCAGACCAATTTCGATCTCAGCTGCTTGAACCCTGCCCTAGTCCTGGGTCCTCACCTAGAGGAGATTGACAACTTGGACGAAATTACGTCAACTTCCAAGCTTCTTTGGCAACTCATGGACGCTAAGGAAATCCCGGAACTACAGTGGGCCGGAGTTGTAGACGTGCGTGACACGGCTGCTATGCTTGTTGCGGCTGTGAATACACCTGCGGCTGGTGGCCAGAGATTCCTGCTCGGGTATCACTTTGACTGGCAGACTGCCGCTGATGCAGCCAGGGAAGCTTTGCCGGAGGTCAAGAATCGAGTTCCCGGTGGTAGACCGGGAACCGGTAAAACGAAGGCTCTGGAAAACTTGTATCAGGTTGACGGGACCAAAATTGTGGAGGTTCTGGGTGTTGAGTACCGTCCGCTGCAGGCAACTGTAAAAGACACATTGCAGCAGTTCCTTGAGATAGAAAGCCGCCAGTAGGAAGGTTCCTAGATAGCCTCACAAGACTTCCTTTATTCTTACAACCTCTCGGCGTGATCCAAAGTGATAGGCAAACGCCCCAAGCTCCCAAAGACATTTACTATGGCTAGTGTTATAAACGGCTTGCAACGGCGAGAACGACTGTGTAACCTCGTTGTGGCGTATGAACCCGCCTCAAAGCCATGGTAAGAACGAACCCTGTGGCCATTCAACCAGCCTGTCAGTGTTGTCAATTCTTGGCAAACAAACCCAAACCTAGTCAGTGCAACTGTAGTGATGCGCGCAGGGATCGGGTTTAGACTTTGAGTTAAGATAATCCCGACCCCCTCACACGGGAGCAAGCGAATCACGGAGTTAGCGGAATGCAACACTCACAACAGCCGGCAGGTAGTAAACACTATCTGCTGATGTGGTATAGACTTGCAGTTGTTTAAAGCGACTGAGAGATTATCGCGCCAATGCCGCAGTGCTGATAACGTGGGGCATGGTACATTGGACTAACCTCGAAGCCGATTTAATTACCGTCTGGGGAAAACATGACTTGGCGAACAAAGGCACGGAAGCTTCGGTAAACTCGTGGCATCATTAGGGACACAAAGGGAGAATTCGTGAAATGTTAAAAGCCAGAAGAAACGCTTTACTTCCTGTCAATTTGGCTGACCGCGAGAACCATCCAACCTAGATCTAAACCTAGAGCTTGCCAGATCGATATCCGAAATGAACTTTTCTTATCTCTTGATTTTCTTCCTTTTGTACTTCAACGGAGCTCTTTCGGAAACTTCAGAGGTTCCTGAGACATATGAGTACATTGTGGTGGGATCCGGTCCAGGTGGTGGTCCGCTCGCTGCCAACCTGGCCCGAGAAGGCCACACAGTGTTACTCGTTGAAGCTGGGGATGACCAAGCAGACAACATCAATTCATACATGGTCTACAATAATACACCGGCCATCAACGATCCCTTAACGCGATGGGACTTCTTCGTAACGCGAGATACGCCAGAAATTGACAGCGTCTATGATTTCACCACTTGGAACACAACCGACGGCGACTTTTACGTTGGGTTGGATCCACCTTCTGGTTCTGCGCGACTTGGCGTCTACTATCCACGAGCTGGTGTACTTGGCGGCTGCGCTATGCATAACGCGGCTACGATCTCTTTGCCTGCAGATGTGGACTGGCAGGACATCGCCGATCTGACTGGGGATGAGACATGGTCACCAGCAAACATGCGCAAGTATCTTGTCAGACTAGAGCGATGCAACTACCTTGTCAACGGAAGTACTGCATCTCACGGTTTCACGGGATACATCGATACTTCTCAGAGTGACTATTCCTGGGCTCTCAACGAATCGGATGTGTCTACATTGGCTTTACATGCTTCTACAGCTCTCGGGTTTCCGCCAGGAATTAACTTCACTGAGCTTGCTGGGTTACTCGGGAGGGACATCAACTCGGACGATGCGGAACGCGATAACCTCCTCGGGGTGTTTACCCCTCACACCCACTCTCGCAATGGTGTGCGATCCAGTCCAAGTAACTACATTCGGGCGACCGTGGGTGACGAGAGAAAGTTCCCATTGACACTCCAGCTAAATACCCTTGCGACGAAGATCATATTCGACCAGCCCGCAGATGGAAACACCGCGCCACGGGCGGTTGGAGTAGAGTACCTTCAAGGTCAAAGCCTCTACTCAAGAGATCCTCGCCATGATCCTTCCCAGGTCGGTGTACCTGGCAAAGCCTTTGCGTCGAAAGAGGTCATCATCTCTGGCGGTGTCTTCAACACCCCGCAACTTCTCAAACTTAGCGGGGTCGGCCCAGCGGACGAGCTGGAAAAGTTTGACATCCCTCTCATCGAAGACCTTCCCGGTGTCGGCATCAACATGCACGACAACCTCGAGGGAGTCATCTACGGCACGTTCGAAAAGCCAGTGGTTGGATTCTGGGATATGTTCATGCGGACCTCAGTTGCCGAGCGCACGCGGGATATACACTTCTACTGCGGGAGCTTCAACTTCATGGGTTTCTTCCCCGGTATGCCGGGTTGGGCGGAGAACGAATTTGAGTGTGGCTTCATGCAGCTCCATCCGCGAAACATCAACGGCACCGTCAAGCTAAGATCCACCGATCCCCGTGAGGCTCCCAACATACATCTTGGGTTCTTCTCTCAAGGCGATGACGCAGACCTTGACTCTATGGTAGAGGCCATCACCCTTGCGAGGTCTGTTCTTACCAACCTGACAGACAACTCATTCACTGAGCACCGACCTTGTCGTCAAGGTGCTACGAGCTGCACGAACGAGGAGCAAAAGGCTTTTCTTCGAGTCCAGACATACTCCCATCATGTTACTGGATCCTGTGCAATCGGGGCGGATGATGATCCGATGGCTGTGTTGGACTCCAAGTTCCGAGTTCGTGGGGTACAAGGGCTTCGAGTCGTTGATGGGTCCGTCTTTCCGGTCCAGCCGGGAGAGGTGCCGACCCTGGCTACTTTCATGGTCAGCGAGAAAGCATTGGGTGATATTCTTGCGGATGCTCAGAGGACTTTCATAAGGAACTTCGAAGGTCCCATCTTTTCTTGAATCTTCGTTCGAGTGGCCACAATCAAAATGAATGCTTTCTATCCAAGCGAAAGCACTAAGGTCGTATCAGAAGATGTTTGTAATATTAAGCTATTATATACAATGAACATCAATCGCAGGAACAAGATAGCGCGCACAGGTATACTATGCAAAAACTTTCAACAGACACATTAACACCCGCGGACATTATCGGGCGCGATAAAGTTCTACACCTAGAACCAATGGAACTCTCCCAAAGCAGGAAGCATGTATTCCACGTCTCTGGAGTTGAGAATGGAGGTGCAGTTTTCCTTATCAGCAGGAATTGTCGGGTGGCATGTGGACTCGCAGACGGTACCGCTCTCTGGCAGCTTGCCTTCCGAAAAGTACTCCCGAACAATCTTTACAAGACACTCGCTTGGGTTGGAAGTTGCTCCATGTCCAGAAGTCTCTTGAATAACGACAGCGGATCCAGGATGCCCCTCTGACACATGGAAGGCGTTTCTGAGAGGGGTAATTGGGTCGTAGCGGCTGGAGGTGATCAAAAGCGGCGCGGCGGGTGCGTTAGTGTCGTTGGCATTTGCTGCAGGGCTGGTGTAAGGTCCGGTGAAAGGGTAGGACGGGCGGAGCTTGCGGCCAGCACAAGCGATTGGGATTGCTCCCGACACGCCAGTGCCGGTTGTCTCGGATTGGTTCTTCAGGTAGGCTACGACCTCTTCATAGAAGGAAATGTTGCGATCAACCACCTCATCAACGATGTCGGAGCAGAGAACGCCTGCCAAGACATCCGTGTCCCAGTTGTACTGGGGAAGCTCATCATCATCGGAAGCGTCGCACACGAGTTTGATCGAGTCCGAGGGAAGGAATGCCGTGAGAATGGAGTAGTTGCCATTCATAAGAGCGCCGAGACCGAGAGCAAGCGTCTCGAATGAGGTCAATGGACCGTACAACATGGAAAAGATCGCTTGGCGGATAATGGGTGATGTAAGCATATACGGCCGGTCGTTGAAAGAAAAGGACACCGGCGTGTTATCCATGTCGTCAATGACGTCAGCGACACGAGCCTTGATGTCTGCGCCGGACTTGTCAGATGATTCAATCAGAGGACAATCTTCCCCAGATTCAAAGCAGAGCTCGTAAAATTGGTCAACAATCTTCTCGGCATCGTTGATGTCGTTGCGGAAGGTCTGGGAAGACAGTTAGCATCGCATGAATGCACTAAAGAAAGCATAGACTTACGCCAGCAGAGAAATCATCAGCATCAACCACAGCGTCAATCCACATTCTCTCAATACGCTCAGGAAACATGGAAGCAAATGTGTTGCCCAGGAACGTTCCGTACGAGATGCCAATGTAGTTAAGGCGAGCTGCCTCAGCATCCTTAGGCTTAGCCTTGCCTGACTCCTTCCAACGCAGGTCGTCAATGCGATCGATAATCTCCACCATGTCGCGAGCAACGGACGCGGTGTTCATGTGACCCCAGATGCTATCAGCACCATTTTCTTCGCAGAGAGCACTCTGAGCAGAAGCGCTCGCCCAATGATAGCCAATGGCGTCATCGATGGGTGGAAGATTGGAAGTGCGCTCCTGAGAAAGCCTCCGGGCGAACTGGTCTCCCTTGAAGCAGTCGGCGTGTGGTGTGCTCGTGTTAACTCCACGTGGGTCGAAGCCGATGATTTCGTAGTTCTCGCCAATCACCTTCTGCAAGCCGGGACCCCAGGAGTAGGCAAAAGCGGTACCGGAACCGCTCGGTCCGCCGGGGTTGATGAGGACGCTGCCGGCGAAAGATGGGTCGTCATCCGGGACTGCGGCCGGAAGCTTGACAATACCGATGGCAGCGGTGCTGTTTTTGGTTGGATTTGCCCAGTCGAGTGGAACTTCGAGACGGGCGCATTGGAAGCCGCTACCACAGTCGTAGTATTGCAGGTCTTTGGTCGGTTTTGTGTCGACCCAACTGAACGCTTTTGTTGAGTTTGTGCCCCTCGTAGACAGAGGCAGAGAGACTGCCTGGGTGAGGCTGACAAGAGAGCAAGCCAATAGAAGAGAAGACACCATCGCGACGAATCAGTTAGATATCGATTGCAATTCCTCTTCTATGTTGATGACAGGGAAAATGAAGAAAAATTGGGTTTTAGTTGTCGTATTAGCGTGATGGACTTGTGTTAACATCAACAACAAACTGGAGGCAGCACGAGGTATTTCAACAAATTGACAAAATTCTCCCTCAACGACCTATTCTCCATTTTGTGATGCTCAGCTTGGCGTACAGTCAGTTTCGTAGCCACAAACGGCATTCAAGAGTCAGTCGTCACCGACCTTTCCCTGCAGGATCATGATGCTAGTCCGCCTGCTAGGCAGAGATATTTCGCCCTGCCAGTACTGCCACTCTCACCTTCTCCACGTTGGGTCTAGTTGCATCCGTCAGCACATCCTGATTGGCAAATTTTTGTTTATGCCCCATTATTGCCCGCGCAACTGGCACGCTGCGGGCTGTGCCGTGGCCGACCTGGCAGTCGAAGGATGTTGTTGCGTTAGCTGCAGGTTTGTGCCTCAAGCCGGCAGCCGATGCTCCAAGGCTTGGGAGCGATGAAGGTGAACGTTTTGAGGACCTTCTGTCCAACGCCAAGGCGCTAACACCCCAACGGGTGGCTGAATCGCAATACGATGCTGACGTCCACCTCCAGCCGTGTCTGGTTCGGCCGCCCGCATGTCGCCCGGATGACGGAGGTCTGTCGGGCGCCGCAGAAGGCGACCGGCAGACGGGGCGTTATTCCAAGATGCTGGCGTTTTGGCTGATCTACTGAGACCAATATTCTAACGTCATGTTGCACGATTCGAGAGCAAGGCATTATCGGCCCATTTTCGACCTGTGTGACTAGAAGCGCGTTCTCTGAGACTCAGCCGCTAACTCTTGCAGCAATTTGACCACGTCTGATTGAATTGCCTGAAAGTATCTAGCAGATGACCTCCAAAATAATTGTAGTTGAAAATTGAAAATTGGTTCAACCTGCCCACCGATCAATGATTTCATTCACGTCTGCTCTAATGACTGACTTTGATGGATTAGAAGGACGTTATCTCTTCACGCCCCCTGAGAAATAAACATTCTAAAGCGATGTTCGTGGCCGCATGTTCAAGTTCTTTGCATCTGAGATACAGACAGCGTCAGTACGGGGGTACGGGGGTGAATCGAAGCCCGTAAAGCCGGGAAGGTCGGGCTGCATGCTTAGCTGAATCTATGTGCCCCATTTCCCCAGATCCTTCGTATGAAACAAAAATGGACATTTTCAACCAATCAAGCTAGTGTTTGTCAAAATGTGCCCCAGGGTGGAAAATTGGGTGGGCTGGCATTGCGTGTGCTGGACCGCAGCGCTGTGCCGCACAACTCGCGTGCCTCAACGGATGGCACCTAAGCCTAGAAGTAAGCTTCTCAGCCCCGCGCTAGTGTTCTGTGATCCTTCCATGAATCTTCGAAATAACAGAGATCCCCCTCTGTTTTGGCTGGCGAGACGGACAGCATTCGGTTCAACATGTTTTCAGTGGTTTCATCAACAACTCAATATCCAATGCGGACATGACCTCCGAGTGGGGTCAATCACCGGGTTTGCGTCGCGTTGGGACTATTCCGGAAAAAAGTGCTGGGGATACCATGGTATCGTATCAGTCATTGCGTTTTACAATTGATCGTGCTTTGGTATCATTACAAATAACATCATGAATGCAATGCCCTCTTTGGCCCCAAGTCCTAATCAGCTCTCAAGAAGCCACCTCCAGATCGGATGCACAGGTGTCTGTGCTGTGCTCTTCTATCATGCTTAGACTCTCGGGTTGAGCAGGCATATCGTCCACCGCATGCCTGTTTACAGGTTCTTGGGCTCAAGCTGCTCCTCGGGAGCATCGACGACTCGACGACCACCCTTGGCGCGTCTGTCGGCGTCGAGTGACTGAGCGAACTTGGATCTTTCTCGAATGACGGGTCCCTTCCAGTAAATGAGGTACACCGGGATTGTGACAAGAAAGGCGAGGCATGCGAGGATCGTGCTCGCGTACTCCGTATGACGCGTCTTGCCAATGTTCTCGTAGAGTGGTGTCGAGTACATGGCCGCAATGCCGGCGAGGAAGTCTCTGGCGAAGCCATTACCTCCTGTTGCTGATGCACTGTAGGGGCCGTAAGCTATGATGGTGGTTAGCAATCATACTGTGATGTTTAGGGTTAGATACTTACCAGCAATCATGTAGTCCACAGTACTCATGTAAATAGCAAAGTTGGCGATAGCGATCAGGCACGAGAAAATCATTGGAGCGATCCAGTGCGACTCAGGGGGTCCCATAGACGTCCATGCGAAACCAAACAAGCCGATTGTCTCCAAAGGCGCGAGATAAAGGAGCCATCTCAATCGACGCTCAGGTGGCAAGGCGTCGGAGCCCTTCGCCTTGATGACTCTCTGGTCTCTAATGATCCAGGGTACGTAAGAAATGTAGGCAATCAGATATCCGATGTTGATCGGAATAAAAGCCCACGCCGTCTCGAGGACGCCGAAACCCCACTTCTCAAAAACTGGGTTGAATCCCTCTTGGAAAGTGAAGATGAGAGCGTCAGAGAAACCAGAAAGGAGAGAGCAAGAAAGAACAATAGGCTCTCGCAGGAACATCTCGAAAGGTCGAATCCAAGTGATCGCGAACTCGTGGGCGGAGAGTCGGGGCTTCTTGACCTCGTTGGGGCCATAGACGTTCGTGTCGATGCCAGCCTCGCGCTTGCGCTTTGCTTCCCTGTCCATGAGGATAGTGGAGCGACTCTCAGGCATGAAGAAGTGAACAGCCTGAACAGTGACGCCAAAGATGAGCTGGATCCAGAAGTTCCAGTACCACGGCAGGAAGGCTTGAATGGGGCCGCCGACAACAGGCCCAACAGAAGTACCGAATACGGAGGAGAGAACGACAAAGAGGACTGCCCACTGTTGGTCATCGGGTTGGTAGAGGTCTGCCACCATTCCCAATGTGACACTGCCTCCTGCTGAGCTCAGACCGCCCTATTGGGTGTTAGTAAGTATTCATCAACATTCATCATCAAGATTGAGAAGGCAATTGGACTTACAAGGCCTCGAGCGACAACGATGGAAGCAAAGTTGGGTGCGAGCCCACCGAGGATTTGCCAAATGTTTACCAGGAGCAGGGAACACCTGGGGCATTTGTTAGAAAAACTCTCAAATTCAGCATCAACCCTTCATGTTGGCTATCAACTTACTGCAAGATCTTCCATCGTCCAAACTCCTCACTCCATGGCGCCCAAAGCTCGCAGCCGAAAGCGTAAAGCACGAGAAACGCACACTGTGATGCACGAACAGCCTGCTCACTGACTGCAAAGTGCTCACTGAGCGGCGTAACAGCACTCGGATAGACGCTTGTGTTGAAGTTCATCGAGACCTGGACGGCGAAGATGGACGAGAGAAGCATCCACTTCTTCCACGAGGGCCACGAGTAGCCGAGCAGGTGATAGCATTCATCCTCGGTGATGATGCGCTTGCCATCTGGGGTGTACTGCGGTTGGTTGCTCTTCGAGGTGATGTTCTCGTGGGTAGTCGTGCCCTCGGACTCCTCGTCTCGGCCTGGTGCGTCTTGGAAAAAGCCACCGGTCGGAGCTTCTTCCTTCTCCCTTGGTCGTTCCGGCTTTTCGTCGAAGCTCGGGCCGACTCGTGTTGCGCTGCTGTTGCGGGTGAGGTTCGCTTCCTCGGCCGCGTTCGCGCCGGACGTGGGCGGGGTTTTCGATGGTGGTGTGGAGGCCATGGTGACTATCTGATAGCAAATAGTCCCGGCCGGAAGACGTAATGTGCCGGGCTGCCGATGTGTGATGTCGAATGCGAGGTGAAGGTGACAGTCTAGGACCAAACGTTCCGAAGTCTTACGAACGGCATGAACAGACAAGACCTAGCGTGTGAAATGATGTGACAGCTGATAAATGTCAACCAACGGTGCCCCGGATTTCGATCTCTTAGGCCATCCAACGTCTTTATCAATGCTCGGGGTCTCCACGATATGAAAGATAAACTCCGACAGAAAATTGGAGTTATGACGCTATCGTCCCATGACGCCGGCGTTAGTCGGGCCTTCCCAATGGCGAAAAGGGGACCTCGAAGGATCCAGAGCCCCAGTATTGGACGGTCATTCTGGTCAGCATCCTCACGTTATTCGGCCGTTATGTTTGATGGAGTCGTGCCACAGAGGAGCGCCAACCGAAAATTCATTCTTCCATTCTCGACTTGGCGGGCTGAAAAAATCGCGAAAAGGCGGTTGCGTTCGCATCAATACTGGACCTTGACATCATACTTTGTCGGTGGGTTTGCCCGATTTGCGGGTCAGGGGTGGGAACAATGACGGAAACCATGGGGCATGCGGCGGGTGAGCCGCATCTTCGATCGGCGACAGTCACGGAGGTGGTGTGGGTTCATGCCTGCTCGGATTTCCCAAACTGGGAACCCGATGTCTGGAGGTGTGGTCAAACCGCGAAACCTGGAGACCGCGGTCGCACGCGATGCTGTCTTTGTCGATGCGATAAGCTATGTCCTTTCCCCAATCTTCAGTCTTTTGACAGATGATTATCCTGCACTATGATGTTGAAGAGGGGTGGTTCATAGGATGAGGAGCTCCCCGTGGGGATGAAGAAGAACTGTCGGTATTGATTTAAGTAGGGCTGGTCTCGGCGCCGTCATTGAGATAAGACTTGCGGCTGTCCTCGACATTGCAATGTCGCACGGCTAATTCCCCTCTATTCCTATTTCTCAGCCAGAGATGAATAGAGGGGCTCGGTAAACAGGCCGCATGGCAAGCAAGACTTGACCAATCATTCTTGACAACCTCGCAGTGTTGTCTAGAGAAGCTTTTCATACTTCTTGTCCGACAAGACGCCAAAAACACAAGCAATGGTATCCGCCACGTCCAAGACTTGCCAAGTAGAAAACTTGTTGTCGGCGTTTACCTCCAGCTTGCCACCGCGCACATGCCAAGCCGACCGATCGGTGGGTGGATCCATCCAAGAGTCCACAACCAACACGCATCTGTTTATGTCGTCAGTGTGATAGCACGACCCAAAGTAATTGCAGCGACCAGGAAAAGGAAGGCAGAAGAACGATGGAAAACACGCGGAAAACAACAAAAATCAAGTCATTGTTAGCCATTGCCTCCTGAGTTTTGGCTGCTCACCATTTATGCGAACTTCAACCGCTTAAACAATCGCATCGAAAAGCAGATAACCGGCATATGTCGGTGGACTCCGCGAATTCTCTCAGGGACTCCCGTAATAGCTTCCAGGTGTTGTCAGATTGATTGTGTTCAATTACAGTTACATCGTTTCAGTATGATCACATGTGGCCCAGAAGGGTCTTACCCTCTAACATTCCGTCGTAAACATGTAGCAATCCAACTGCAATTGTTATCGGCCTTTAAACGATGATGTGCTAATGTAGACATCAGTTTTCCGGATTATGCCCTTGTGGCTCGAATCGTCTCGATCGTCGTCCGTTTCAAGGTCTCTGGTGCCCGTTCTCCTCGCTGATGCATGGTATGTTCTATCGTGGTCACTGAGCGAGCCGAGTTTAATAGCCGGGCCTGCACTGCCGAGAACATTTTCACTCTGTTGATGGGATCAGCACAGGTTCAAAGCAAATTTCAGCATATTATGCGCATGAACAAACGTACCCCGCCTGAGACTTTGTAGTTGCCATCGTGGGATGAGCCATAGTAAAACTTGAAAAGTTTTCGCAATGGCGGCAGAGAACATCCAATAATTCCCAATGCGCACTCGAGGTTGGAGGTGATGCTGATGACGCCGAGATGGTCTATACTAATGTCAGTCTATGAATGGGGTTTTGTTGATGAGCAGCAACGCACATCCAATCTCTGTTGGGTACTTGGCGGTGTCGTAATATTTGAGGTAGGGCATTCTAATGACAGTCGCAATGCTGGCAAATAGACCGAGCCCGAGAATAGCGCAGACGGAGACCTTCTTCCTTTGGGACATTTGCAGTCCCGCAACGATGAAGAAAGGGATAATTGCACAAGTCCAGTCCGTGATCATCTGGATGGCAGAGACGATATAACTGACAGTCTGCAGGCTGATAACCTTCTGGCATGTTCCCCTGATAGAAGATGATTAATCAAATGTTTGCGCAACCTGAAGTAGTGCGGCGAAGAACTTACAACGCGGGGTTCCATGTTGCGGCAAGTGGAGTGCAGTTTGCGAAAACAAACACCAAAGCGAGAATCGCAACAATCACCATAACCGCCATGTTGATGCCCATGATGACTGTCACTCGCTTCCTTCTATCCAAGCGCACGCACGTAAAGCCGATGGCGCACTTGATTATTGTTGACGAGATGAAGTAGAGAACTTCCCAATATGTTTGATATTCGGAAGCACGGATCAGGTAAAGCTGGGAAGGGATGTCGGCATCGTGGGAACCGACTCCATATCGTGAGGCGTACACCGCAAAGACGACCGCTGGTATGAAGGGTACCTATTGGATCGGCCGTCAGTTCTTTCGATCGCAAGAGACAATGATATTGCAGAACAACAAGTCTTCAGATTTAGGACAAGGTCGAAAACACTTACTGTCCCAATCACTGCTAGCCAATCCTCGACACCCCATAGTCTTGTCGACGCCCCCGAGAGTCCAGCGCGGACGTAGATACGAAGCCCGACCACAATCACGCAAACAATCCCGAAAACGATGGCGATGAACTCGACGGCCGGTCCCAGGCCCTTCGGGGTCAAAGGCTCAAGCTGGTAGGCGATAGCCGAGATTTGCTCCCCGGTCATAGTGGCAGCCATTTTGGCGGTTAACACCAAGCTGCTGCCAGTCTCCTATCCCACCGGCGCCTTGTTGTTGGTTTCCTGTTCGAGACCGGCAGATGGAGAGAAGTGCCTGCTCCTGCGTCGACTTCGGTTCCGGCGAGTTGGGAGAGAAGACATGCAAGATGAGCCACATCGGGGAATTGGTGGCATTATGAATAGCCGGAACGATCTGCCGCGTGGTCTATGGAGCACCAACAAACCACCAACGTTCCTGCGTCTGTGTCGCTCCTCATTGTGGGCTCGTTTCTTCTTTCGACCAAGGGGCTAGGACTTTTTCCAGTCCAACCCCACAGGCAGATGTTAGGAATATGACTAGATACATCAATGTGATGCCCGGTTTCTGTGCCATGAATGGATTCTCCATCCGAACGAGTGGAAGCCTAGAGTAGCCGCCTTCTGGTAGACACCAGCCCTGGAAGTGGAACGGCTGTCAGCTTTCGGCCAAGAACTCAACCGCATGGCAGATGCCATTCCCGTATTTGCCCCTTTCCGTCGAGTCAGCGCCTCCTCGCCTAGTGTAAAGAATGGCCACCGCGACGTGCTCGGACTGTGACGATAATCAAGGATTTGTCTTAATAACTCATTACTGCACGTGTGCAGGACCGGTTCAGGACCGGTTTCCCTGTCGTGATCTGCCATGTCCGCGGCCAATTGGGACTGGCGGCCGCTGCAAAGCCACGCACATGCCGCAAATTGAGCAATCTGTTTCTACCCGATGTCAGGGCTTGTAACGTTGACAAGCCGCGGCCAGTCGGGACTGTCAAGTCAATCCCGCACAAGACTAGAGAATAGATGAAGCTGGGTGTGCGATAGGCCACGTTGCCGAGTTCCCCATCGATCCCTGTCTGCAGGCCGAGGGAACATGACTCGACTGGCGGCTTGTCCACTGCGACGTCGGTAAATGATCCCAGTCGACTGCCCTCGCCTGAGACGTTGACGTGAAGCTCGGGCAATGGTGCCATACTACCGGTTTTCGCTTCAATCTGCTCGCTTTCGGAATTAATATGATCAGAGTTTAAAGGCAGAAAACGTTGTGCTGGAATGGGATGAACTGCATCGGTGACAACCTGCGTTAAAGTCGTCGTGATCCCCGCAGCATAAAGACATTGAGTTGGCATAAACATAGCTCCCGTGGGCACGGTCGTTTTTAGTGCAGATCCAGCACAAGGATTGGGCTCCAGAGCGGCTGGAAAATCCAGAACTCTGAGAACAGACAACGGAGCAACCCAGCTGCGCGGACATCAAATTTCCTCGATGTCCGTTGCTGGATCGTTCAATGGCAATTTTGACGAGGCCTGGAACAGAACCCTGTCTAAAGCTGCCGTCTTCGGCCTAGAGGGCGACTGATATCTCCCAGAATCAGTCCAGACGGCACGTCCCCATCCTCCCGTTGCAGAATGTCTGTTGGCGCTTTGTGGGGGGGCGGGATGCATCAGGGGTCCTGTGAACTAGCCAGTCAGATGCTGGTCATATTTCATCAATTTCTGTCCATTTCCCACCGAAGTTCGTCGATGCCCCTCAGTCGAATATCTGTTTGCTCTTTTAAACACATCTTCTCCCAGTCGCGTCTTTGCGAAGCCTTCGCAAAGCGACTCGCCTTCGTTCTACCGCGATGGTGGCTACTATTCTCTTGGGCGTGGGCCTCCTGGCCGTCTACCTTCTTGGTAGTGCTATCTACTCCATCACGCTCCACCCACTGGCCGATGTGCCGGGTCCGAAGATTTGTGCAATCACTCGCATCCCGTACTGGCTTGTCGCGCTTAGAGGTGATGATATCGAGTGGATGAAGAGTTTGCACGAGCAATATGGACCTGTCGTTCGTTTCGGCCCTACTGATCTGAGCTACACGGCTGCTCAGGCTTGGGATGATGTTCATGGACCCAAGGTGCAGGAGAAGGCTCAAGAATTCTCTGTTCAGCCCGTCAACGGTAAGGGGTTCATCACTCGCGCCTCAGCTGCGGTGGTCGTGTTTGGCGTGTTTGACCCGAATGCTGACATTTTTCAGGCGTACCTAGCATTCTTACCACTAACACGGAGAACCACGCGCGAGTCCGTCGTCTGTTCTCGCCAGCCTTCTCAGAGCGTGCTCTTAGACAGCAAGAGCCTCTCTTCCGCAAATACGTGGACCTCTTCATGTACAAGATCTCCGAAATGGGCAAAGACGGAAAGGAGCCGGTAGAAATGATGCAGCTGCTCAACTTTACAACTTTCGACGTCATGGCTGAGCTTTGCTTCGGACAGCCCCTTGGTCTGCTGGCGAAGAACGAGTTCAGTCCCTGGGTCAAGTCAATCTTCGAGTCGCTGAAGATGTTGCCCATCGTGTCTATCATCAACTACTATCCGATCCTGAATGCCATCTTCACCAAGTTCGAGCCGAAGTCCGTCACCGAACAGCGAGTCACCCATTGCAGACACTCAGAGGAGCGCGTCAACCAGCGTCTCGAGAGCGGCTCCACCCAGCCTGATGTTTGGAACTTGGTTCTGGCCGCTAAGGAGGGCAAGGAGCTCACTATCAAGGAGATGCACTCAAATGCGGAGCTTTTCATGCTTGCTGGATCCGAAACTACTGGTAAGCTTTCAACCTCTTTGGAATGTTCAGGGCCTCGAGACTGATTCTGATAGCCACCCTACTGAGCGGATGCGTTTACACTCTTCTCGCCAACCCCGATAAGATGAAGACTCTCCTCGAAGAGATCCGCGGCAACTTCTCCACTCTGGACGACCTGACGTTCGAGCGTCTTGCAGACCTGAAATACCTGAACGCTGTTCTGAAAGAGTCTCTGCGCGTCTACCCTCCTGTCCCTATCGGGAGCCCTCGAGTAGTCATGCCTGGCGGCCAACAGATCATGGGCAAATGGGTACCTGAGGGAGTTCGCATCTCAGTTCACCACTGGTCCACATATCAGTCCGAGGCCAACTTTAGGAACGCCAAAACCTTTGCGCCTGAGAGATGGCTCAAAACGGACCCAGCGTATGCTGGGGATGTTTTGGATGCTCACAAGCCATTCGGCTTTGGCCCGCGCGACTGCCTGGGACAGAACATGGCCATGCACGAGATGAGACTCATTTTGGCTACGTTGCTTTTCTCTTACGACCTCGAGCTCTGCGAGGAAAGCAAGGACTGGACTAACCAGAAGGCGTTTGCGCTGTGGATCAAGAAGCCGTTGATGGTTCGCGCGACGCCTGTGGACACGCAGACCAGAATGAAGATTTGAGAGAATGTGATAGTACCCTATTCAGATGGAGTTTGGAAATGTTGTAATAGCGATAGATCAAGGAGGACTACATTAGACATCACATAATTACAGAGTTCATCATCTAAACCGAGCAACCTTTTTGACGGGGACAAAATAGTCCATTGTCGCTACTGGATGATATCTAATTTTCCTTTCTAGCTAAGATGCCACTTGTCCCCAACTCTGAAGCCCTCTGGAAAGGGGTCTGTTGGGTGAAGTAGAACCTGTTTGAAGGCCGTGATCCAAGCACTACCCTTAACCGCCGGCACAATAGCATCGTACTCCCCAACCTTAGCTTCGCTCCTAACTGTCCCAATGAACTCGGTTCCAATCACACTGCAATGAACAAACGATTCGCCCACGGCGAGCTGTCCTCGTTTATGTAGCACGGCAAGTCGCGCGCACGTACCCGTTCCACAGGGGCTGCGATCCAACCGACCGGGCGAAACCACGACCGTGTTGACAGCCTCCTTATTGTTTCCCGAGCTAGTAAGAGGGTTGGTAAACTCAAAAACGGTGACACCCCTAATCTCAGGATTCTCCGGGTGTATCGGGTCTGTCTGTGCCTGAATAGCTTTCTTGATGCGCTCGCCCACTTCAACAAGCTCACGTCCATTCTCTGATGCAATCTGAAGACCGACTGAGGCAGCGTCCACAAGCGCATACCACATCCCTCCATACGCGATGTCGACCTTGACAGGCTTATCAAATCCAGGGACAGTAATGTCCAAATCCAAAGCATACACAAATGCCGGGACGTTTTGGAACTCAACGTACTTCGCCTTTCCGGCCTCGCATTCGGCGGTCACTGTAACTAACCCCGCGGCTGTATCCAGCTTCAGAGTAGTAGTAGGCTCTTGCATCGGCACCATGCCCGTTTCGAGGAGGACGGTGCTTGTCGCGATAGTGTTCGCTCCGGACATGGGCGGATACTCTTCATGTTCCATAATGATAAAGCCGGCGTCAGCTTCCGGGTTGCAGGGCGGAAGAACCAGGTTGGTGCACATGGACGATGAGCCACGGGGTTCGTTGAGGAGAAGGTTCCGAAGGTTGTCTCTCTTTTTCCAGAAGTGCATCATCTTCTCGAACATTGTTTTGCCAGGCGCATCGAGAACGCCCCCGACGACGACATCGCAGACTTCGCCGCCGCAGTGCGCTCCAACCACGTTGAACGTCCGTCCGAAGGTCATTCTGGAAACAAAGATATTAAAAAGGTTTGGTCGTCACTTTGAATTTTGAATAATGTGTTCTTTAGATTGGAGAAAGAAACAGCAACTTTACTGTCTTTATTGCTTTTCATCTGCTGGACTTTCAAGTTGACTTACACGGAGACCCATGCTGCCGAGGAGAGTCGGCTGGTGGGGCCCGACAAATACCGGAACCTCGATACCGATCCGACCGGAAGCCCATCCGGGCGGGATATTCAACTCGCCCGGGAACCTATCCGGGGCATTTCGCAAGCTCCAAAGTCTCCACGAAGGATTCTCTGGGCAAAGCTTCGGCCCGGCATGATTGGAAACGGTCAGTTCGTTATCTAGAGGATCTATCTGACTCGTGGTCGATGGCTGAGAAAGGAAGGTTTCCGCTGATAGTGAGATCTGCTTACATCATATCGCGAAAATCGGAATCTTACCCCGCGAACATCTTAAAAGCCGAATGGGTCAATCGTCATCAAGACACATTGATTGAATATTGAATACAACTCTCCATCTACGATTTCATCAACATCATGGGTGGCCTCAGGATTCTCAGCGACGCCGTTGTTCACGACATCTTGATCAACTCGCAAAAAGATGGCATCTTGCGTCTCCGAGATGCTCTTCTGAAATGCTTAGTCAACGTTTCCAAGGGCACAGAAAAGGACTACCAACCTCAGGTTGGCGTAGTCAACAGACCTGAAGGCCAAAAGTGCCTCTTCCGGCCTTTTTCTTCCTCAGACAGTTTCGGTACAAAGATCGTGGTTACACCAGCGCCATCCTCGAAAGCAGCCGGAGCGCTGCACGGGATAGTCACTCTATGTGATCAAGATGGCTACCCGACCGGTATCATCAATGCCGAGGAACTCACCGGCTACCGCACTTCTCTTTCCGCTCTGATTCCCTACATTTGGAGACGATACACGGACAAGATTGTCGTTTTCGGCGCCGGAAAACAGGCACTCTGGCATCTCCGCTTGGCTCTCGCTCTGCGTGGCGACGAAGTCAAGTCCATCGTCGTCGTGAACCGTTCTGAGGAGCGTGCACAGCAGTTGATCAGCAGAATCAAGGACGAGAACCAGAGGCTGTGGAAGTCTTCGACAACCATCGACTACCTCGCTCCCTCTAGCCCCGATTATGAACTCAACATCAAAGAACATCTATCCGTCGTGGACGCCATTTTCTGCACAGTTGGCACTACGAGCCCGCTGTTCCCTGCCGACTACATCACCAAGGGACGAAAGACGAATCGGTACCCCTTCATTTCAGCCGTGGGATCCTGGCAGCCCAATATGATTGAACTCGATCCCGAGTTGCTTCGTTTCGCCGCCGGCAATGTTGGCGAAGGTTTCCAGCGAAGCAAGGAGTCGAAGGGTGCAGTTCTTACAGATGACCGTGAAGGTGCTCTGCATCATGCCGGAGAAGTCATCCAAAGCAAGCTACAGCCTGACAGCCTCGTGGAGGTGGGCGAGGTTGAACTTTCGCGGCAAGCGGGAGACCACAAAGACCTGTTCAAATGGATTGAGGAAGGTCTCGTGGTTTACAAGAACATTGGTGTTAGCACGACGGACCTTGCAATTGGCAACGCGCTACTGGCCATTGCAGAGGAAGCAGGAACCGGAATTGTTGTACCTGAATTTTGATTCGCTTTGTTGTCAACAGTGATAGAGCATTTGAGGTTCAATAGGAAAAATAAACGCCGATAATATTTCAAACTTTCTAGTCCTCAGAACCAAGATCGCATTGATAGCCGTTTGACCCGTTCAAGCTCGATTGTCACCGTCGTCGTTGTCTGCCCGGCCTGTCCACTGTACCGGACTCAGGCACGCCCTCGCCGTCGGACATGTCCTCCCACATCACCCATCCCGTCAAGGATCGAATCTTTGTCAAGTCGGAGAACTGGCTCGGTCCTTCCTCACGCGTTCTGGGACTCACATGACCGCCATGAAGATCTCTGAGCCAAATACCATAAAAGTTTTCACCTCGACCGTCTCGTATGCCATAGTAGTCTTCCAGACCGTCGTCGAAGTTTCCACCGGAACTGTCACGAGCTGCCTGGATACCGATTGATCCTGCTGACATGGTGCAATGGTGTGTGGTTCCGGAGTCTTTGATAATGACAGGGACTGAAGCGTACCCAGCCGCAAATTCTTTCATCAAAACCTTCATTCGCGGAACGCCATCAACAATACTAGGTTGCCAGTCAGCAGATGAGCCCATCACAGTCTGGCCCGATGCGCTCCAGAAGGAAAAGACACCAAGCCATCCAGATACATGGTCGCCGCCACTGCCTCTGGAGTGGAATTTGGCGATCTTATTCCAGAACACCTCGACTTGCGGACTGTCGGGGGTATCGAATGACATTATCATGTGCTCAAGGATAGGCCTCATCAACTTCACGAATTGCTTTGGCTCGTCCTCAAATTCCTCGATCTTGTGAAGGCGGGCCAAGATGTCTTCATAGTCTGCAACGTCTCCCTGTAGGGTCACCGATGGCAGGCCGCACCGTAGTTGTGCCTCGTAGGAGAAGTAGTTTTGCATGGCTCCCATGAACAGGATTGATGCAACCACGCGGTCGTTATCAGACGTGGTCGTGAACGACGGCATGATCCAATCATGCAACTCTTCATCCTTGACGTTTGAGGAGATCATTTCGGAGAAGCGTTGTGCGAGGCCACCGAAGTCAGTCGACTCCATTTTAGATGTTAAGAGCCTGATTTCAAGCTTCTTGCGCTCCTCATGCTCGACAAAGAGGGACCTGAGACTTTCAGAGTTGGCATTGATGTAAAAGCTCAATTGCGTCAAGATTGCGAACCAAATGTCTTCTGGTCGGATGTGAAGATGGTGATGGGAACTGTAGGCATGGTAGACAGCCCACAAGAACCCGTTTTGCGATGGTGTGATATGTGTTTTGCGAAGATACTCAGACGAGAAAGAGGATTGGATGACGTTTCTCTTTGTGAGGCGCCTTCTTGGGTCTCTAGGCGTAGGCTCAGGGCTCCAGTCATAAGCTTCGTCGCCGTTTCTCGGGCAGGCCTTTCGGAGGACATCATCAGGGGTGGTAGCTCTTGGCTGAGACCAGGTTCTGGCAGGATGGTCGGCAATTTGAATGGTGACGGGCATGTTGACGCTTCAGTTTGGTTGCAGGGAAGTGATTGGAGGATGGGAATCGAGGACTACTTAGAACGAGAGTGACAAGAGGTTTTTAACATCGATCGGATGGACGTCTCTCGTGCTCGAACGGGGCTTTTCGACTATCACGTCCGCATGCGGAACCATTTGATTTGTAGAAACTTCAGGCAAGTACATATGACAATCGCTTCGGATTCGAGATATCCTGGTTTTGGTTACACAGGCATATCAATTGTTGTCTGTAGATGCAAGGAATGGCTTTGTTCTGCAGATTTGTTTGTGTTACTGGAAACAAATCCATGTCTCTGCAAACATACCATCGGAAAGTTATCCCATCGCTTTTTTCTCCCATTTCCATTCTGAGTGCATGAATAGGTACGTAACTCAAGTCTGGTGCCTCAATGAAGTCATCCTAGCGCTATTTTTGTTCCGACCGCCTCGTCAGCTGGAATTCGCTCTCAACCCTTGCTTCCACAGACTCGTCCTCGACCGATGGATCCTTCACATCAACGAGAAACAATCTTGATCCATATGCTTCGTGCTGTGAGACTGTGACATCAAATTTGTCACAAAGCTCAAGTTGACTCGGCGGGTGTGAGGATAAAGAATCTTTCCCAGGCCGCATCGTTGAATTTGTCATTTTTCGCACTTCATCCGCCGTCCACCGCTTCGCGTCTGACCTCACTGTCCCTGCTATCTCTTTAATGTTCTTATCCTTGGGCATAATAATGACGCGGTTGATCATCCACTCTGGAGATCCCACAAAAGATGGCTCGGTCGCGGAGCCGTCTTGACGAGAAAGGTATTGAAACTGGAGCACCAACGCCAAGCGCGGATCTGCCGAGGATCCCTCAAGAAGAAGAATGGCGGGATAGTTGAGGCCGTACGACTCTTTGATCCGTTCCTCAAAGGGCACAATGGATGACCTGACCTTGAAATTGTCAATCTTCGGGTAGACATCCACCACCCGGTATCCCTTCGGAACGCTCCTCACAATGCACCCGCGGTCGATCCCAGATCCTAGGTGAAACCGATTCTGTCCAGCCATAAACCGGATGAAAGCAGGAGACAAGTCTCCGTCCAGCCACACAGTCTTCGGGACGGTTACGAGCAGCTTCGAGGCTCTAGAATAGTTCATCTCCAGTTTGCCGGAACTCTCGCCCTAGAGATACAACGCAATGCAATCAAGCGGCTCACTCTTTCGTCGGCATTGCAATGGTGCCAGGAAGAATTCCGTCCCTGCTCGTGTCCAACCATTAGACGGACGCTGCTTCAACAGCGGCGTTGTGATCGTTATGCCATTATGATCGAGATGTAGCCTGCTTTCGACACCAAGCATCCGAAAGGGGATGACGTCGCCGGTGTTCTCGAACGAATGTGGTCCAGGTGCGAGAAGAGGTTCCCGGAGACTCCTTGATGACATGGATTTACGCATCGGATCGTCCAGGTCGGATATGGAACCCCAAACGAAGATGGATGGGTCGTCGATTTGCCTGATCACGGCCTCCTGTAATCTCTGGAAGGCCCTATCGCCCTCTCCGTATATCAGGGGCATATTGACCCCAAAGATGCCCAGAAGGGAGTATGCCGTATCTTCAACTCTTGTCGTCTGTCTCCTGGAAGCCCAACTCATTCGCTGTGCCACACTCGCTGTGTGCAAAGGGCGATTGTTCAAGTAATCGCTCTCGATCGTCGTTGCGCTCGTTATGACCGCACCCAGCTCCGCTCGAGTGGCGATAAGTCGCCATCTCCCCCCGGAATAGAATTCAACGCGTCTAGGGGCAAGCAGTTCCTGCAACGTCCATCCGCGCGTGAACCATCGGCTGCCACGTATTCGCTCATCGTCCATCTCACTGCAACCTGCAGAATGTGCGTGCCAGCCGACATCTGCAAGGTGCACAAAGCACACCTCGGCGAGCTGGTACCATTTGAACATCGAGTTGATCGCCTCCGAGAGCTCCGCGCTACTACTCTTGTTGATACAGCAAGTGTCGATCCAGATCCAGGCGAATCCACGGCTGCGCGCCAGGTCGCACGCGCCTTTAACCTTAGCCCATCCAGCACCGGTTGAGGGGCGGCCTCCTCCCTGGAGATCGTCGAAGAGAACTTCTTCGGTGCCCCATGTGTGCGACAAAATTGCGTACTTGGGGACGTTGTCGACGAACTCTGCTAGTTCGAAGCTGCGGGTGTCCAGAAGACGCATGGTGATGATCAGTCTTTGCGACGATATGAACCCGGCGAGCGATTGCAGTTGGATGAGATAGTTAGCTAGCAGATTGTCATCTTGCTTGATCTGAGAGCGGGGTTTTTGAGAATCTACCTTGCTAAGCAGGCACTAGACCCCTGCCCGCATAACGGACTTGTAATCACTCATGCTTTTGAGTCATCCAATGAAAACTTGAGGTTGAGAACGAATTTTCCGTCACGTTCGGGTATGAATTACTGAGATTCAGCTAGAGGGGAGAGGTTGATCTTCCAAACATTTACAAAACCAATCTAATTTTGCTTAAAGCTTAGAGACATCGGTCACATCCTTTTTACGCACGCTTTGTGCCACTTAACTGGCACACTTGGCGATACCGGACATCATGTTTTCTTTTTCATACGTTATTCTAATTACGGTTTAAGCATGGATTCATATGCAAAACTTTCTCTAGACTATAGTCATCAGGTGTTCAACGCAATGGTTCAAAGTACCCATCAATCTTTGCCTCGGCCGAATCGAAGCTGCCACCTTCCTCAATATCGACGATGAAAACGTTGGGGTCAAAATGAGTGTCCCGGGACACAGTTACTCGTATGTCATCAATGGAGACATTATCCGTCGAATATCCACTTCCAAGCCGTTGAAGTCCAAGACAAACACGATCAAATGGCAATTCGATTCCTGCGCCGTGGGGTCTTGTGTTTGTCTCGGATAGCGATTCACCGATTCTTCCAGACTCGTCTTGTATGCCGTAAGCTGGTCCATGTAGTCCGCCATTGACTATGCCGTAAATAAGGTACTTTGACTCAGGGAAGTTTCCCGAATCACGTCTGCTGGAACCGAGGTACAGAACTTGCAATATTAAAGTGATATCGCGGCGTGACTTGCGTTGCAGGTGGATCAATTGCAACATCCCTAGATGGAATGTCTCGCTAAAGAGTGAGGAGCAAGTCTGGGCCCCTAAATCAATCGTAACAGCCCCGGTAGAACTAGTTTCCACGCAATTTGATTCACCGACGTAGTCGGTTGAAGGTTTGGCTTGATATGAAGGCGGCAATTTCCGAATGATGCATCTTTCTCGTGTATTCAACATTTCGGTCCCGAGGGACAACTTGTAGGACAGGAAAGCTGGGAAGAGGTTTTCCGGTATCCATATTCGTTTGGGCGCAAGAAAGACTTTGTTTCCCAGACGGTAGCAATTCGTAGGTGCCGAATTATGATTTTGCACGGGTTTGCGATTCCTATCGCAAGTGAGCATCAGCGCGATGCAGTTGAGCGGATCGTCCTGATACTGGCACAGCAGGGGTGCTAATAATAAGCACCGGTTTTCCGACTCCTGCTCTTCGTAGGGATGGTGGAATGCTTGCCACATCGGACTTTGAATTGTAACGCCATCGTGATCGACCCTAATCCTGGATTTGATGAATGGTGTCTCGAATGGAACAACGTTGGCTGATTTCTCAAAGTCTTTGGGGTGGTCTGCGAGGAATGAGCGCCAGGTTTTGGTAAGTAGTAGGTTGGAGATTTTTCTCTTCTCTCCCCACGCGAAGATAGATTGGTCATCCGTTTTCTGCACAATAGACTCTTGTAGCCTTTTAAAGGCATTGTCGCCTTCTCCGTAAATGAGCGGCATGTTGACGTCGAATATGCCCAGCAGGCAGTAAGCAATGTCTTCAGTACGTGTTGTTTCTCTGCGCCAAGCCCAGAACATGCGTTCGGCAACGCTTGCTTGAGAAATGGGACTGGGAGGGAACATTGTGTATTTCGTGTGAACCCCGGTTACCTTTGCGATACGCTCTGTAAGATCTTCCCGCGAGCCTATTTCATCCCATTCGGACGTATAGAACATCATATTAGTAGGGGCAAGAAGCTCCTGCAATGTCCAACCCCTGGTAAACCACCGGCTTCGCTCCAGGGCACCGTTAATGCTGGGTTTGCTTTGATAGAGATGTACATCGGCCAGGTAGGCGATACAAATGCCGGAATTCTTGTACCATCGAAACATGGAGTTGATGGCCTCCGATAATTCTGCACTACTTGACTTGTCGATGCAGCAGGTATCAATCCATATCCATTGGTAGCCGAGATCTTTCGCTACCCGGCATGCTCCTGTGACTTTGGTCCAACCAGTCTTCGGAGTTGGATCTCCTTGCAGATCCGCAAACAAGACCTCTTCGCCGGCCCACGTGTGCGATAGGATGGCATACGGCGGCGTTTTCGCGATGAAATCGGTCAATTTGAGCTCTTCCGTATGGAGAAGACGCATTGTGAAGGGGAGGGTGACTGGGAAGGACAGGTCCGCGGGGGTCTGGAATGTGTCTTTCTGGTATGTGCGATCACGGGTGATGACTGAATCCGAGAAGATGAAAGTTGAGAGATCATGGATGAGGGAAGAATGGTACGATAAAAAGTAAGCCGGAGCGGGGTCAACCCCCTTGCAACAATTCGCATCCAATTGTCAATAACACGAAGGACACTTTGATTCGCTGACCAGGGGGTTTCCGAAATGGCCTGCAAGCAGACCACCCACGATCTGTGAGGACCAACCGCGTGCAGTAATGCAGGACCAATGGCATGTCGTTTTGTTGGGTTTGAATGCGAGCAATGAAAACGACACAGCTCTTAAAGATTCACTCCTACGTCAACCAGGTCCTGGAGTTCTTAAACTAGTTTGTATGATTCAACAGGCTTCAATCTAGAGGATTCAATCTCTGTCTACAAGACCAGCTTGAATAGATACCGCACCTAAGGACACCTTAAAGCTCAGCAGTCACCGAATACTCGGTGAACATACCCGGCGGATTACGGTGACCCAAGACCTCGGCCTTCTCAACTTCTGCCCTAATCTCCTTGATCTCTTCCTTGGAGAGCTGCACCTTCACCGACCCGACATTCTCCTCCAGATACTTCAGCTTCTTCGTGCCGGGGATCGGGATAATGTCGTCGCCCTGTGCTGACAACCACGCGAGCGCGAGCTGGCCCGGCGTGCAGCCCTTCTTGTCGGCGAAGGTCTTGAAGCGATCAACCAGGACCAGGTTCTTATGAAAGTTCTCTGGGCTGAAGCGTGGCACGATGCGGCGGAAGTCATCGGGCGCGAAGTCGTCGGTGCTCTTGATCTGGCCCGTCAGGAACCCACGACCCAGCGGCGCGTACGCGAAGACGGAAATGCCAAGCTCGCGACAGGTGGCGAGCAGATCTGTGCCTGTCTCGTTCTCGATGTCCAGCTGGAATGCGTTGTACTCGACCTGGATGGCGTCGACGGGCGCGACGGTGTATGCCCTCCGGATGCTGCTGGAGGCGCATTCGGAGATGCCAATGGCTTTGATCTTGCCATCCCTGAAACAGAAGTATCAGTATCAGAGTAGCAAGTATTTTTTCCGCGACAGGAGGCCCGGGCCCTGACTTACTTCTTCGCCTTAGCAAGTAGCTCCATCGTCTTCTCGACTGGCGTCTTGGGGTCGAGGCGGTGGACGTAAAAGAGATCAATGGAATCGATACCCATCTTCTGCAGACTGCCCTCAAGGCATTCTTTGAGGAACTCTGGGCTGTTATCTGCCGACATGTTCCACTCGCCCTTGTCGTTGACTGTGAACTTGATGCCGAACTTGGTAGCTATGAAGACGTCGGCGCGACGCTCGGGGTGCAACTTTAACCATTTCCCGATCAGAACCTCGCTGTCGCCGTAGCCGTTGGCTGTGTCCCAGTTCGTACAACCGAGCTCCCAGGCGCGGTCGAGAATCGCCAGACGCTCTTCGTCGGTGCTAGGAGAGGGTCAGAACTGTGTCCCAAGTAAGAGCACACAGGCAACATCTTACCCAACGGGTCCGTAGGCTGTACTCAGGCCCATCATTCCGAAGCCGAGGGCGGGTATCTGTCGTCCTGTCTTGCCGAGAGGCTTGGTGGGTAGAGATGTTGGAGGCGCCATGATGAACGGAGGGGCTAGGCGAGAAAGATTCAGGATCGGATGCTTTGCTGGTGAATGAGCTCGGTGAGGCGACGTCAGTATGTTGGTCTATGAGCTGGAAGATGAACAATCAGCTTGCCTTTATAGTTCTTCCTCCCTTTCCCCACATGTCCCAAGGGTGTAAGCAAGGTGCATTTAGCCGCTCGTTGACGATTCGAGAAAAGCCTGTTCCTGGCAAGATACGAATGCACCGAACAGTCGGTCGTGCAGGCGATCAGTCGCAAAAGTCCATCCTTGAGCTTGAGCTTGCAAGGTTGACCCCTCATCAGCGTGCCTCCAGTGCTACAGGTGCGGCGCAGCGGATGGACCCCGGTCCTGTCTTCAACCCCGGGCCTTAAGGCCGCTAAATGCACCTGCATAATCCATGGCAGCTACCGGGGTGATGCATCTTAACTCCGTGCTTTGCCATTCCCCCACCCATCCGTCTGTTGGCATTTTGGGGCCCATGTGATGAAGTCGATGATATATGTACTCATGCCAAAATGCAAAGTGAAGAAGTCTTGTCGTGGCGTTTAATACCCAGTTTTGATGAGACTTTATGAACTTGAGTGATGAGACCAACTGAGGGCGGGATACTGCTCACATGCTGAAGCTCGTTTTTAACAAATCCCTCTTTTCAACGCACGTATGAAAAGAAGACATGAGACTTAGGCATCGGACAATAGATTGTATTTATTATACTAGTCTTGAGGCTGAAACTAGATTCTAGACATAATTGGTAAGTTTATTGTTGATCGTGTTGCTTAACCTCTTTAGTTCCATAGTCAAAGTCTCAACTCTAGCCCGCATGGGCGGGCTTTGCCGAAAAGAAACAACAAGGGTTGTCTTGCTTCCATAGGTTGTCTCGAGAGCCTTGTTTTGTTTCCAATGCACAAAATCGCGGATCCTCCAAGATCTTCGCTCGGCACCACTGGACAGGGATCAAGCATCTTGTAATTCCTTCTAGCAACAGGTAGCAACAATCGTCGATGAGCACACGTAGTATTTTTATTTACAGCACAATCTAATGTTCTTTCGACCAAAGCACCCATAACTCCTCACAACCTAGCACAGAAAACGTACAACCTAAGCGCACTGCAGCACACCGACCGCAGGTTTCTCCATGTCACCCGTCCTCTGGCCTCCGAATTCTTCCAGTCCTTTGACTGCCTCCGCCAGCCCACTGACTCCCTCATCCACCAGCTCTTTGACTCCCTCATGTGCCAGCCCAGGGTACACATACAGCTTGTACCGCTTCGCTGAGAGATGGAAGAAGATGTAGCCATTGAAGAACTCGTCCCACTTAAGGGCGTACATGGGGTCCGACCTGGTGCGCAGAAGCCCAACCACACGCGAGTTTGCTTCGATTGCTTCGGCAACGACGGTTTCGAGCACGGCAAGAGGTTCGCGCTGCTCGCAAACGGCTCGAGTGTTGATGTAGTTGTCTGTCTCGCCAGCGAGGGTCTCCTTGTGGAATCTGTGGCGATGATGATGTGTCAGTAAGCGTGGCAGGTCTGAGGATATGATCATACATACGATAGAATATCATTTGCGTAGTTAATATACGTCATCATGTCCGGTATTCCTTGCATATACTGTCCGATGTTCGGGCACTGTTCCTTCGGGAAGATGAAGTAGGCGTACGCCTCAGGCACTCCACTCCTGTCGCGGACATAGTCGGGCCAGCCGCTTGCCTCTTTGCAGTGCTTCAGACCGTGGAACTCGCCGCGTCTTTCCAGTAGAGTGGCGTTGACGAATTGCAACGTCGAACACACAATGAAGTTGGCCACTAGAGGTTCGTAGTATTTCGACATGTCATGCAGCACCTCTGCGAAGCGTGACAGAAGAGCAGACGGCTGAGACGCTCCCTTGTGGAAACGCTCCTGGAAGCCGGCTAGATCATCGTTCCCGGCGTCATCGTCGTCAATGTAGATGGCTAGCCAGGAGTAGATGGCGATGTGTAGTTTTACGGCAAAAGGATGAGTGGGATAGTAGGCCTGAACACATTCAGTTAGTTGTGGGAGTCTGAGTAAATGTCGAACCCGGTGTGAACAGTGCCGGAGTCATCGAGGCAACAAGACTTACACAAGCGAGGGTAAGACCGACGTCGAAGTAACGCTGCGCATATTCAGACTCGTACGGAGCTCCTGAAGTAGCGGCATATTCGAGCATAGCAGCTTCAAGCGCAGGCCGTGTGTTAGGATGTTGAGGCGCTTGGTATTTGAGGTCGTGGACGAGTTTTGAGAAAATGACGCCCAGCTTAGGGTTTGCCGCTCCAAGAGCCCTGCTCTCAGTGGAAAGTGCCATCTTTGAAGTTGAACTTGGACTGTCGTGTTGAGGAAATGCGATCTTACAACTTCGAAAAGCAAACATGATCAGATGTACATTACGAATGGCGTGGTTTTAATATCTATCTTCATCAACACTACGTGACTCATGAGCAGTTCTGAATTTAGATCTTTTGACAACTCGCCGCGGCCCGCGGCCTTTTGCCCGGGCTCGTTACCGATGCTTTGTTTCAATCCCCAGAGACTTGAATTGAAGTCAGATCACGATGTTACGTAGCCAATTGGCTTACACGGCCCCGCACCGACGTTGTGGTACGCGTTTAGTTTAGTGTATCATCGCTATTGGCTCATTCTGGCGTCTTCATCCATGGATCTGGTAGCCTGCTTCTTATCTCACGTTCGCCACTTCAAGGAGCTTTTCCCCTGCCAACTGGGGCATCGCTTACTGCCTTGTGAACTTAGCACGTTGTCGGTCATGAACCCTTGTATCATGAACTCGAAGCGATGGCGTTGTCGCCATTGGTTACACAGGTTGTCTTCAACATGTCAACTGCCCTCGGCCCGAGCGGGCCGCACCTCGCCTCTTTGCGTGTTTTTACCGCGTTTTCGCTTATCCGTACTGCGTTATTGCTCACTGCGCCACCTTATCTGCATGGAACTCAGGCGGATCTTGGCGCTGTTTCTTGCCTAGTCCGCCCTGTTTCTTGCCTAGTTGCTTATCCCCTTGTCGCTTATTCCCCTGCTGCTCACTGCGTCGGGCTCATCTCTCCACACTCAAGCGGGTCTCTTCTCCATTCACTACAACGTCTTCGTGGGCTTACTGCCATGACTGCGCCGCAGGTCGTCAATTGCTTCGCCAAGTTGTCGTTGTCGAGACTCGAATATCCGCAGCGGCACGGAAGTTATCAGTGAATTCCGTCTTTTCCCTATCTTGCTACTTGCTGTTCACCTCTCCGCCTCGGTCACGGGTTTCTCTGTGCCGATCAGTGCTACGTCGCGCTTACATGTACTCAGTCTCGGGCCCGAAGTCATCGATCCACTTATCGCTGTGGCCGCCGTAAATCGGCGCTTTCACGAGAACGAGTTATCTCGTCTACCGCCAGACAAGCTTTCTGCAGCGGAGGTCGCCGCGCGCGAGGATGGCAAGGTTGTCTGCGTCTACTAACCCGTTCTCGGCTAAGCGATAGTTTCAAGTCTTGCCTTGATATGCGCGGCCCAGCCTGGACTCGTGGCCGACCCTTCAGGGTCCAAAGTCCCTTTGAGTAGGTTTATGCCGAGTCTTCTTACCGTATTTTATTGAACACGGCAAGTATTGCCTGTGGGGGTAGTACGAGTCAACTCTGCTGAGGACTCTTGTCAGACCTGCATCAAATGTAACGGCAAGCACGGCCAGAATGAGCGGGAAGTTGAGCGCGCGAAGCCGGTGACTACGTGTTAGTGTCTTGGGAGGATTCTAGACCGGCGATTTGCCTCAATTCAGCAGCTGTCGGTGTTGCTGCCCGGCTATGCGGTGCCTTGCCCAACGTATGTTGCCAAGTGACATATGATATTGTGATACAACGCTGAGCAAAACTTAAAATCACAGCCCACATAGGAATAGTCCGGCGGTAAGGAACTTCGGGTGTAAGGCAGTTTCAACAACTGCGGTCATGTTGAGGACGTTTCGTAGCATCCAGTAAGAGGGTAGACATTACGATAAACGTAGTAAACACGATTCAGCTAGTGCTTCGTCAACCGCGATCATAAAATGACGTCCGTCCTCCATCGTTAAGTCTCGAAGCAAACGAAAGGTACCTCTCGAACACAACAAGCGTCACGATGGACATCAAGGACATCATCGACATCATCGACCTGGCACCGGTCCCGAGATATGTCTTACTTCCCCTCGGGGCCGTAGTGCTCTATGTTGTCTTCAAGGTGGTCTACAACCTATACTTCCATCCCTTGCGCAAGTTCCCTGGCCCTGTGGCAAACAAGCTCAGCATCGTAAGCACCATACTTCAGAGGCTTCTTTGGCTACATCACTGACATTAGTAGATCCCCCATCTGTGGTCAGTGTTCAAAGGAAAGCAATCCTATGAGCTACTCAGACTCCATAGCAAATATGGTGAGTGCCTGATAATCACCATAGCAAAACGCTGCTAGCACTGATTACTGATCGTTGATATCCAGGCCATGTCGTTCGTTACGGACCCAACGAGCTCAGCTTCAGCTCAGCCAAAGCTTGGAAAGACATCTACGGCCCTCGCTCCGGCCACCAACCCTTCACCAAGGGCACCTGGTATGACGGCCTGAGCATCTACGCCGCCCAAGATATCCGCTCCATCATCACCGAGCGTGACCCCGTGAAGCACGCCGCAATGAGCCGCCTGTACGGCGGCGCCTTCTCACGCGGCTTCCTGAACGAGATGGAACCCATGATCATCGACTACATCGACCGCTTCGTCGATTACGTCCGCTCCAAGACCGCTGGCGGCGGTACCGTGGACCTGACCTTCGGCTACAGCTCCATGACATTCGACATCATCGGCGACTTGGCCTTCGGGCAGGACTTTGGCGCCATCGGTTTGGAGGAGCCCCACATATTCATCCGCGAACTCAACGAGTCTTTGGGTTTCACCAGCTTCATGGAGGCTGTCAAGCGCTTCCCGCCTTTGGGACCCATCGGCCGCATCCTCTTCCGCAGCCAGGTCGAGAAGCTCGAAGGCATCGCGCGCAAGGGCGGAGATTTCGCTCTTGATGTCATGAAGAAGCGCGTCGCGGAGCAGGACACCACCACACGCAAGGACTTCCTGACCAAGGTGCTGCAGCAGCGCGCCGAGTCCAAGATGGACATCTCGGAGATTCAGCTCGCCGCGCAATCGTGGGACTTCATCGGCGCGGGCACTGAGACGACGGCGGCGGTCATGACGTCCACAACTTACTATCTGCTGAAGGACAGGGAGCTTCTGGCCCGCGTCACAGCCGAGGTGCGTGCTGCTTTCCGTACCAGTGCCGAAATTACAAATGCTTCTGCCGAGAAGCTGGAGCTCCTCCATCGCGTGTGCCTTGAGGGTCTGCGTCTCCCGACTGGAGCGCCGCCCATCTTGCCGCGTCTGGTGCCCAAGGGCGGCGACACGGTTGACGGGTATTTCCTACCCGGAGGCACCCCAGTGACCATCGCTCCGATGGTTGCGGGGCTTCACCCTGATAACTTCAAGGACCCGATGGTGTTTAACCCGGACCGGTGGCTGGGCAAGGGCGGAGATATTTTGGAAGCGAGCCAGCCTTTCTCACTTGGTGCCCGCGGGTGTGGAGGAAAGCCGTAAGTTACATACCTCCCCGAGCTACCCTTGCAGAGGAAGTCAGACTAATGACCTTGTTTGAATATCAGTATCGCCTGGATGGAAGTGCGTGTAACGCTGGCCAAGATGCTCTGGACGTTCGACATGGAACTGGACAACCCTGACTTGGACTGGATCGGGAAGGACTTCGACAACCTGCCGCAATATGCTTTGTGGGTCAGGCAAAACCTAAACATCAAGGCCCGGGTCGCTAGTCATTGAGGTTGTCTCTGTTGTAACTTGGACGAGGGCACCGAGGGTCGGATGTATTGCTGACTGTGCCTGACGAGTCGATGGATCAGAATGAGGTTGGGTTTGTTATTGGATGTTTTGAACATGGGTTGATGTCAAGTTTAGAATGTGGAACCGCGGGTTGCTCCTATCACTGCATGGGTAAGGGCTTGAATTACAAAGTTTGTATGTACAGGGTCAATGCAACGCTAGAGGTGATTGGCTGCTACCTTGTTAGAAGTTTGCCTCGGGACCTTGCTATGTAATTTATAGAGAGTTAGATGCGCAGCTTTTGTCACTGGAAGACCTCGGCATGTGTTTGGTCCAATATTCTTGGGGATTGTGTCCGCGATTGACGCTATGCCTTCGATTCACAGCACTGTCACGAAGCTGTCAGTAGGTTGGCATAAGACCTAACAAAACCAGAAGCCAGCATAGCCTGGTACGCAGATGCTTAGAAACGAGGCACCGTGTATAGCTTCTGCAAACACGATCGAGCAGCACTTGCAACATCCCACAACATCACCTGAGGCTGTCGTCATGTCTTGATGCTTCAGTACGGCGCATAGTTTATCAAGATTGGGGTACATGTTTCATTTAACATTCTCAAGAGTAATATCGGCGGTCTTATTGCGCAACGTTATGTCACCCGTAGACGGCATTGTCGCGAAGCTCTCCATTAGCATCAAACCCGGCGGAATCTGGAGGTAAGCACAGCTTAAGACATAAACATTCTAAAGCCTTTCGTACTGTCTTGCCTTTTATCACAAGGCAACTCTTCATCTCGTCTCATATTTCTAGCTCTACATTTCAAAGTTTCAAGTTGAACTCTCCCGTAATGAACTGTCATCCCTTCCGCAAAGGTCCCAAGCTACACTGTGAGTATCTAGAGAGTGGTCGCTACAAGCCTCTTCGGTAGAGAAGAATTCTCTGCAGAAGTAATAGACTCAAAATCCACGGTCTGGGTATAGAAAGGTAGTTTGCTTTATGAAGTGGATTCCCAGCATAAAGCAGCCTCTTCACCCAAATGTCTTAGTAAGACTAATAACGACCTAACCCCTACATGCATAGTTATACCCACTAGAAATCTCATCCCAAAGCAGCCGGAATCCGCATTCTCTTCCCTCCATTCAAAAGCCGCGCTGAATCTTTTCCAATCCGCCGTCTGATGCCATCAGGCTCAGCGAGTCCCTGGGCAGCCTGCTCTCTCACGTCGTTGTCCAACTCGATCCAAAGCGGCACCAGCGCATCGTCTTTCCAAGGCCGTACGTCGGGCTTTCTTGCCGTCCTAATCATCTCGGCCACAAGATAAAAGACGGAGAGCAGCACCATGACTACCTGGAACGTGATCCAGGGCCATTGCACGACGATGGTGATCTGGTTTTTGTATGAGGTTCCTCGGTACCAGGCGCCGCGCGTTGTTGGGGTGGAAGTCGCACGGACGTCGTTGGATAGACTTCGAGCGACCTTTGCGATGAACGAGTCCATATCGCCAAAGGCTTCATGCAGAGCCTGTCCGCGCGTCGTTCGCTCGTCAGAAAACGAAAAGCCGCCCTCGTATTTCGATATAGATGCATTACCATCGAGGTTCGAGAGGATGAAGGGATCAATTACTTTGAATTCCTCAGCCGGGTCTGCGAAAAATGAGTCTGGTAGGTTCTGAAAGGTCCCTCCGCGGTAGTTAGCGTCCAAACGTGCTTCACTCCACGTTCCGACAACCTCCTCTCTTAGGATGCCTGCGTCTACACGCACTTTATGAGCCTCAACGCAGTACCAGAGACCGCAGTGGTATGCCCGAGGGTCTTCCGGGACGGAATAATTAAACAAGTCTGACACGTTGATGGAAGTCCCAATGACCGCAAACTCGGCGAATTTTATGCGGCCTTCTCTGGGACCTCCTGGAAATGAGACCATGTCCGTTTCGCTCGAAGTCCACATTGTGCGCATTTGAAAATATTTGTACTCCAGCTTGTCTTCGACATCATCGATATCGATACCATCGCAGGGTCGAAAGCCAAAATTGGCCCCGTTGGATAGGACGACACCGCATGACCTTGGTTCCCGGTCTAGAATTTTGATACGACTCGTGGCGTTGGCGCAAGCGCCACAGATACCAATGGTAGGGATGATTGGCCACGTACAATTCCCCGTGGGACAGACCACTTCTAGAAAATTGACATTCGCGGATAGAAATCCCGTGCTCAAGGCAAGATCAGTCGAGAATGGCACTACGTATTGGTTAGCAACGGTGTATCGTGGGCAGTGCGGTTAATAGGGAGGGGTTACGTACATTCCAAAGTCGCCATTGAGCTTCCACTTCCACGCACTACCGCCGTACGGGGAAACACGGGTCCAGGGGCTGGAAATCCAGAGGCATCAAGATCTGGGACATTATCAATTCGCACCGTTATCAACTGCTGAGCAGAGATGCCAATGCCCAGGGTGGCAATGGTAAGGATCCTCCCAGACAGGCAGTGTGTCTATGAAGGCGCCCATGATGTCAGGTTGGTTACAAAATCAGCAAGGGGGTATGGTACGTACGTGCCCTTGAACCTTGCCAGAATCTGCAAACTGCCGCCCATGGCTTTTGCGGCAAGTGCAAGTGCAAGACTGCGACTGCGAGAGACATCACCTCGCCACGCGAAGGTGGTAAAAGTGCGGCAATATATGCATTAGACAGAAGAGAGCGACCAACAGGGGAACATGCAGGGGCCAGGGACCAGACTGGTTTACTTAAGCACTCTGTGCCTCCAGAACCCGCTGACACGAGGAATCCGATTGTTGATAGCCCTGAATCCTATTAAATTTCCCCTTTCCTTTCAAGTGCTTTTCAGCCCTTGCCCAGCTCCAGTTGCGTGTATGTATCCAATCTTCCAAGTGTGCAGGGGGGAGCTGAATCTGGATGCACTTCCGAGTCCCCAGCCGCCTCAAGCCACTAGGAACACAGAGGAGAGGTCCGTTTAGGCGCCTTCCGAGATTCTTCAGGCGGGGCATGCAGACTGGTGGGGTTCTACTTCCTTAACAAGGTCATCACGAGGCATGCCACACTTGCCAAGGACTCCACGTGAGGCAAGCTGGCAGAAACACAGCGCCAAAAGGTGCGTGCGGCTGCAGCCTGATTTGCTTCTCCCAGGTGCAGTAATAACGCCCAGCCGCGCATTGCCAAGCATACGTCCCGTACAAAGGTAGAACCAACAGTCGGCTTCACCGGTGGAATTTCGAAACGGGGATGTGCGGCTCGAAAACTCCTGTAAGCGAGCCTCATCCTCAATAGGCAGGTCTGAGTGTGCCCCAAACCCTGTGCCAGATGACAAGAGTTTCGGACCTTAACCCAGCCCACCTTTGGCACAGTTGAGTTGCTGACATCTGACGAGGCTGCAGCATCACCGTATTAAATTGTTGGGGACGGAATCCATAAACCCCTGTCCGCCGGGGTCAGAATAGGTCAAATCATTACTAACAGACGACTTCCCCCCGACTGACCAACCAAACGCGTTGTTAACAGGGGCTCCATGGATTCCGAGGGCAACAACTGGATACGGTATCAAAGGTCGGCGCGGTTGCCTGATTGAAGTACTGCATAAAAGCACCAAGACGTTTTACTGCACCTGAATCGTCGCCGGAAAACCAACAGCGAATTGGCGCTCCTGCAAGATGAATGAATGCAGTAAGATTCCTCGTGTATCATCCAGAAGACGACACGAAAGCTGTTCGAGGCGGGCTGCTATGTTCGCTATGGGGCATGTTGTCAGATGTTAGCAAATATCGGAGTACAAATTAGAGAACCGCTTCACCATGACTACCACAAATTCATGCACAGAATACGCCTTTTCAGGCTTCATCACGAAAGTAAATAATTCAAAAAGAACAACAGTGATGAATGCATCATAAAGCTTCACCACGCCGATGACGAGCAGCTGCTAGGGCGTGGCCACGATCTGACCGGAAGTCGTCTCTCCAGCGGCGTTCCTCTCCCTCCACAAGCGCACAATACGCTTCCACTCCGGCTCTTGCTTCTCTTCATCCTCAACCTTTTCCCACTTCCCGGACGTAAGACGCCTCCATTGCCCCTCCGCGTCGAAGTCCGTCGGAGGCAGCTTTGCGAACACCTCTTCATACTCTCTTTCCCTCATAGCCTTTTCCTCAGCCTCAAACACGGCCTTTGCCTCCATGGACTCCTTCTGTACGCGCCAGACCTTCACTCGCTCTCCGGACGCGTTGCGTTCACAGTGATATTTTGTTTCAAGAACGAGTCTCTTCTTGTGCTCTTCCTCATCCTCGGACCTCTTCTTCTTCTGCTTCTGGTGAGGCCCCTTCTCGCACCCTGGTTCGCTGGAAAGTCTGCCGCAGCACTGGAAGCGTAACCTCTTGTCGTCCTGGGGTATGTCCTCGGGCAAGTCGAGGTTTGAAGGGAACCCGAGGGCCAATTGACCTTCAGTGATGGATCAGTTGCCAAGAACAAATCTTTGGAATCAACTCAGTTACCTGTGTGCCTCTCGCACTCGCCAAACTCTTGCTCCCGCTCATTCAACGTGGCACCACAGTGGTTGCATGATGGCAGCCTCTCGGCCTTGCGCTTACTGCCGGTCGTCGTTCCAAGGCATCTCGAAGTAGCGGGTGCATCAGACATGATTACGGATCATGCAGATGGAATTATGCAAAACGCGTGAGGAAATCCAAATGAGATTGATTCCACATGTGTCCCTGGCGGCTCGTCTCCAGCCACCAACAAACAGCTCCTTCAAGCTCTTATCGATAAGCTCAGAGCTTACTGAGGGGGCGTGTCACGTGGATAGCTCCATGCAGATTACGCTATCCATACAGATTACCCCTCCACGCAGAAGGATCTCCGAATCCCGGCCCCGATTTGTCATGCACTCCAGGTCTCCGCCACAGGGGACGCCCGGCGAATGAGAAACCCAGATGGTGACTTCAACGACTTTTTTTTCTGCTGTCGCTTCTGTCTCTGCCGAATGCTCCAGAGGGGGCGACTCAGTTGGAGGGGCGGGCGGTGACACGAGGTTCCGGTGCTTTGGAATCTGAGGCATGACGCAGGGTCTCTTGTATATAACTTCACCTCAGAGCCAACTTCTCTTTACCTCTTAGTTACAATTGCGTCTCTTTTAACAGGCAAACCGCGTCAATCTCTAGTGAAACAACAACAAGACAACTTCTCGCATCGAACACCCCATCGCCATACCGCCCAAAAATCACGACCTGGATCCCAGACCCCGAAACCCCACCGCGCAGCTCCAGCAGCTCCAACCGCCGCCCCTCACCACCACTTTGCGCACCCTCGCCCTCACCCTCCTCCTCGCAATCTTCCTCTCGTACACAATGCCCTTCTCCTTCCTCACCCGCTTCACCCGCCCCTTCACAAGCACCACAATGTCCCTCGCCGCCAACTCCTCCACCGGCGCCGCCCTCCCTCCGGGCGCGCAAAAGGCCACCATCGCCGCCGGCTGCTTCTGGGGCGTCGAGCACCTCTACCGCAAGCACTTCGCCCAAAAGGGCCTCATCGACGCCCGCGTCGGCTACATCGGCGGCGACCTCTCGAACCCGACCTACCGCGCCGTCTGCGGCGGCGACACCGGCCACGCGGAAGCCCTGCAGGTCGTCTACGACCCCGCGCAGGTCTCCTACCGCGCCCTCCTCGAGTTCTTCTACCGCATGCACGACCCCACCACCGCGAACCGCCAGGGCCCCGACACCGGCCCGCAGTACCGCAGCGCCATCTTCTACCACGACGACGAGCAGCGCAAGACGGCCGAGGAGGTCACGAAGCTGGCGAACGAGCAGTGGTATAAGGGCAAGATCGTGACGGAGGTGATTCCCGCGGGGCAGTGGTGGGATGCCGAGCAGTACCACCAGCTGTACCTGCACAACAACCCGAGCGGATACGAGTGCCCGAGTCACTTTTTGAGGACGTTCCCTGAGCTGCAGGGGTGACTAGCGAAGGATGAGGGGAAGAGTCGGTTGTAATGATACAGGGACGGGATTTGAGTGGGGCCTTTCTTTTAACATATGGATCATGATATCAAGACAAGGACGGGACGGATGGGATGGCTTGTCTGTGGTCTGCGGAAGCGGGGCTAGCTGGGATATGATAGCGTTCAACCGCTTTTTTAACAATGATTTTCTAGCAATAAGCTTTGCTTGAAACTATGGAGAACTTTCGAGTTTATATTTATATGCGAGAAAATGCTGAGTGAGGAGATACTTAGACAATAGTAAGGACCTGCTCTTTTCCAAACCTGTTAAAAACTGTGTCGCGCCATTCAGCAAACCAAGCCGCGGCCTCGTCCTTTTCGACATCATCTAGAAAGGCCTCAAAATGACCTTCCCCATCCCGCAGCGTGGGTTCAAGCCTGACAAGTGCACATCCTACTCTCGAAAAGGTAGCCGTCTCACTCATTGAATGCTCGATCTGATTGGTCGTCGAGACTTCTTCGGTTTCTCGACAGAGAACCAGACCCTGCAGACAGTACGCCTCATTGACACCCAATCGTTTAGATATAGAAAGTGGCAGAAAGTAGACTGCGGGGAGAAATCCACCGGCAGAGCAAAGCTCAATATCTGGGTAAAATGAAGCAGACGCATAGCTAGCCATGCTTTCGTCCATAAGCGAGATAGAGTAACTCCCCGCAGTGGTCGTCGAGCTATGGGTACTCAGATTCAGCGCGGCCTGGCACAGTCGCCCATGCAAGGTAATGCGACCACCAGAGACCATACCCTTATCGTCTGAGGTAAGTGGGAAGCAAGTCGCGCTTATGATCTCGAATAGGTATTCGGCGGTGAAAGAAGAACCGGAGAAAGAAGAACCGGAGCCGGAGAATGGAGGCCAACATATGTTGTTACCTCCAATGGAAGCCCAGGACCATGTTGGAGGTGCTGATAGCAATGTCTTTCGAACTAAAGTCGGTTGCAGTCTGGGATGGACCGGCCCGAGCGTCTTCCAGTGAAGCCCGAACAAGATCCGCTTCCCACAGTCCAGCGAGGTAAGACCCTAGAGAAGGGTACTGTTGTTGAACCTTGGTAGCGATCCCTGATAATGCAGGGAGCCGGTCAGCCTCGGAGGTCAACAAGCGCCACGCATAGTTCTCCACGATGAGGCGCCATGGCCAAAGCTCCGAGGATATGTCTATTTTCTCGAGCAGATTGCGGCCAGAGACAAAACCAGGGACGCAGTGGCTCAACGTCTCGCATTCACAGGAGCTCCTATGAGTGACATTATCGTATTCGAGTATCAACTCGTCCTGTGTGAAATGCAGAATGGATGGAGACAGAAGTCTTTCCTGAAACGCCCAGCCTCGGCGTAGCAGAGGCCTCTCAGACAGTCCTTCCAGCGCATTGTGGTGTCCCAATACGGTTTCATCTCTGTAGGGTAGAGAGCGGCGAACGTAGATGGGGTACTGCAAGCTAGGGAGCTTGATCTCGTGCACTCCGCGCCGAGGCATAGGTTCGTTGCTCGTGTTGATAAAAAGCCCTTTGTCTCCATTGGTAGCTCCCGTGACGGCAACGGTCAGGTGTGCATTTTCGTAGATGGATGCCATACGGGAGGCCTCTTCAGCCCAGTCTTGCGCATCATCTTGCACGATACAAAGACTATCGATCCAGATATATTTAATACCGATATGTTTCGCGACGAGCATTCCATGTTGGAAAGTCTTTGTTAGGCCTTCCCACGGGATTGACTGCGTAAAAGCGTCGAGGGTTTCCCTGGTAGTCTGCAGCATTCGGGCGGCCGCGTCTGGAGAGCCCCAGCAGTGACTCAAGGCGACATAACGTGTATCTTCCTCAGGTATCTGTGCAATTGATGACGTCTCAATAAGTCGAAGATCTAGTGGTGAGTCTGTTTTGAGGTCGCCCTGAGGTCGACCGTTGTTCAACATCACAAGACGGGTAGGCAGGGCTGATAATTTCCGAGAATCCTCTGCCCGTGCTCCACGCCCGGGGGACAGCCGCTTATCGAATCTCTCTTGGACAAATAGTTGTACTTCATCCAGTGTTGGTGCTAATATCTTCCAAGATAAAGGGTTGATCACCCCATCCCAAGGTCAAGATTCTCCTAGGTTTTGTTTCATGATCAGTTCTAAATGCTTTAAGCACCCACGCGGTTACACACTAGGACTGTACCTTCTGCAGTGTGAATCAAATATTCATGGTCCTTCGAACTGAGAAAGAGAACGGCAGGCTCTCGGAAGAGTGGATCAATGAAGAGACAGTGGTAGAGGAGAAACCCTAGTCGACCTTTCATATCACCTTCTCCAGAGCACAGCTGTTCCGTTTGTCCCAGCCGCCCCCAAATATTTTTGAGGAGTACGCATGAGAGGCACCCAGCTTCTGCGGTGGCATCTAGCGACTCGGCTTCGACAAAAAGACGCATTTCGTTGTCGAAAGGGTCGTGGCCGGTGAGCTCTTGAGCAAGCACTCGTCGCGACACAGACCATCCCCCCACGAAGTACCATTGAGAGGGGCGTGTTAGAATTCGAAGATCAAAGCAGACAAGACAGGGCACGTCCGGTTCTGGCTCATATTCTTCCATAGCTAGAGACTGGGCGTCAGTTCTTGAATTTCGTTACGTCGTTCCGAGAAATCCATGGGATTATAGCAGGAAGCAAGACTTTAGGAGAGGGGTATCATGGAGGACAAGGCGGTAGGCAAGTGGAGAAGTAGATCATGCACGTCAGCTTGCATTACCATTATCCTATAGCTCGCACCTCAGAGCTTTTAGCAAAGTCCTGAGGCACACTGCTGAAGGTGCGCCCAACTAAAATGTTCTCAGAATCGATCAAGTTGCTACCCTGGCTTCATCTCGTCTCTCTCCAGTACCATCAGAAACCCACGACCTATTCCATTCTTTCGTATGCGTATAGTGACACAGAAGTCATTCCTCGGTGATTTAGACGAGCGTTCTGTGGATAAATGCTTTGGGCCGCATGAATGGACGCAAAGTCGCCTTGCGGAGTCAATTACTGAATATCACGGCCACTCATTCTTTCCCTTTTCGTCATCAACATCAGGATGCCTATCTATGCGCCCATCTTGTCAAGTTATCAAATTTTTATTGATTGGTAATTGTACAAACGCCAGCTCCTCGCCCAAAGGCGTCTTCGAAGCTGTTCATCAGGAGAGGGGTTTCGTCGCCTCTGTCCTAGAACTTTTGCAGTAGAGAGGAATAGTAACTCTTTTCTGCCGCGGGATATTTTATAACAACCACTGCCGTCCCCTGTGTAGGTAGGTTCACCATCTTACACTCTTCCTCCGACCCTCGACATCATCGTCTACTTCCTGCGGTTGTTCTGCATCATCAGAATCTGCACCATCCTCACAAAGATGTTGATGAAGTCGAGCTCAAGCGCAATGCTCTCGTTGACAGCATCCTTGCGGATGACGCCACGCTCAGCCAGACGGGCGTGGTGCAGGATCTTCTGGACGTCGTACAGGGTGAAACCGCCGAAGACGGCGAGACCACCGTAGAGCGAGATGCTCTCCGTGATGGCGAGCGTGCGGATGGCGGTGGCGGGCAGGATCATGGGCGCGAAGCTGGAGGCGATGACGACGCCGAGGCCGGCCAGGAGGGGTCCGCCGATGTAGAGGTACTTATCCTGCTTAGCAGTGGCGCCGACGATGGAGAGCGATCCCATCATCGCGACGGTGTAGAGGCCGGCGCGGGCGAGGAGGGCGCCGGGGACCATCGTCAGGAGCGGGGCGATCATGGCGGCTTGGGTCGCGTTGAAGGCCGTCCACATGGCGTACTTGGGGATGTAGCTGCGTATCGTCAGTTATTGCCTATCTAAATATCGACGAAGGTGCGACTTACTTGTCAGGAGAGATGGCACGGGTGCCGTACATGGTACCGAAGCTCAACGCCAGACCACCGAGACCGACAACCCACGGGTTCGTGACCATCAGGCGGTAGACGAATCCGCTCTGGATCATCTGCCTCGCGGACAGCGCGATGATGCCGACGCCCAGACCGGTGTGCAGGAAGGTGTCGTTGAGGTACTCGCGCTCGTAGACGGGCATGCCGCCGTCGTCCCTCGTCTCGCGGTTGAAGACGGCGTTGATGGCCACCAGGGTGCCGCCGAAGATGGCGCCGCCGACGAGCATCTTGCGCAGCGGCGAGGCCTTCTCGCCCTGGACGGCGGTCGCCTGCTGCATGTAGCCGCGGGCGGAGTTGCGGAAGGCATTGCGGGCGGTGAAGAAGGTCGAGGTCGTCGCGCTCGTCGCTGTCCTCCTGGTGAGGGGCGTCTTGGGGGTTGTGTGGATGGCTCGGGTGAGCTGGGGGATGCGTTGCGCCAGGCGCGGGGGCGCTTGGCGGATTGCCATGCTGAAGGACATCGTTACTGGATGTGTGTGTGTGTATGTGCGGTGTAGCGGGTAGATACAAAAGAGAAGGTCCTCGAGGGGTGAGGATGTTAAAAAGAGGTTGACGATGGAGGTCTGTCGCCGTCGGAGGCAATGACGAATGACGTTTCTATGCTCTAAGGTGTGGAAGGCGGATGGAAAAGCTCGGGTGCCTTCCCGGGGCGGTGATTCTGCTTAGCTAAAGCTTTTTTCTGGTCATGTGAGTGGTTCGGAGAGAAGCTGGTGGAATTTCCCGTACGTTCTGCGCGGTGCAGCGGCATTCCTCGCATTAACTCCGACCGGTCGCAAGCGGATTTTGGAGTTTGCACACCAGCTGGCAGACCGGATGACTCAGCAGTAACAGCTGGCAGCATTGGGTGACTCAGCAATGACAGCTGGCAGCTTCCCGGGAGTGATGGCGAACATCGTGAAGTCTGGACCACGAAAAGCATCTCGTCGCTCTCGATCCGGAAATAGAAACAACAGACATAAATAAGGCTGATGAAGGACTGACTGCCTTACATAACTCAATGGCACCAGCATGCCGTGATCAAAATACGCCACTCCGTATCCTTCCCCAGAAAGCCAGCACTTATGACGGAACCACATCATAGCAGCACAGCTGACTGAGCATCTGTATCCCCTTCTCATCGTCACACTCATCAGCCACCAACATAAAAAAACTCACAATTCCAAACCAAAACCATCGCGAACACAAATCACCACAAAAGTCCTTTCTCTCCCCCCCTTCAAATCTCCAACAACCACCTGAACCATAGCACCGCCACCTTCTGAGCCTAACCCACGCCTAGAACACCTGTCACCCCGTCCTAACCTCGGAAAGCCTAGACAGACCTAAGCAGGATGAAAGCCACCCTTGACATGCCGTGTAAAGAAAAGCCACCAGTGTCGCAAAAGCGCCCTGCTATCCCATTCGAGCGCCCCGAAGCAGCTTCAGTCCGGACGGCTCAACGGCTTCTTGGAATTGATCCTGCCTCATCTCAACCGTCCCAAGGTGTGCCGACCGATCCTTTTTTCTGTAGATTCCCGTCGCGCAGTAATCTCGGTGGTCCGGTGTAATGGGCGCAAATTACGCCGGCCGGCTCGTCAGTAATCACGAACCACCAAGCAAAAAAAGTAACTGGTTAACGAAAGAAAAAAGACACATCGGACGAGTCGCAAACCTGCCAGCAGCCATGAACAACCAATAATACCACCCACTGCAATTGCAAATTTTAAACTCGGCCCTATCACGGCGGCAGACCACCCTCCGAACACCAGGAACCATCCACTAAGAAACCCCATCCCGTAGTCGACTCAGCAACTTTGGCCGTCTGGCGTTGCAAAAGACTAAGCCAATGGTCGCCACGCCAGGCCCAATCTTCGCGATCTTCAACGTCATTCCCGCGTCAAACCCACAAACGGCAAAGGGCGCTGCTGCACTCCACACGAGCTAAAATCAGCGTTACGGCGCCCAGTTCGACTGTAACCCAGCCAGCACCAGCACCAGCACCAACACCACTGGACCACTCCGCCCGCCGGTTGTGAAGCCGTTCTGTTTGGGAGTGCCGCTGTTGCGACACATGATCGCCCTCGGTCCACGACGGTTCCAGGGCGGGAAGTGGGCTTTAACATTCTTTCTTCAGCCTCCAACGCAAATCTTTCGAGTTTGAGACTTGGAACCACACTTTGCTAGGTCTGGCGTCCAACTTCCTCTGCATCAATTCCCATCGCACCTTTTGTCCGCGGGGAAAACCACAATGACTTCACTCTCTCCGCAGGACTGACTCGAACCACTGTCGAATTGTGCCTTGGACCTTGCCGGGGCTGATCTGCACAGCACCAACAAGGCCCTGTTCTGCATCGGGGCTGTCCCCCCTAACCCCCAACCCCCAACTCCGCCCTCTGTGCCTCTCTCTGTAATGCCCGCTCAATGATCTTCCAATAGCGCCAACAGCGCTGCGACGAAAGGGCCATCGGACAGTGAACCTGCATGAATCTCCAAAGTGTAAGCTTAGGTAGCGCCCGAGCTACCTTCCCTTGGGGGGTGGTTTAACGGCCCCATTATCGCGCCTCCGCCCCGCACGGGTCGCAGCATCAAACGAACGACCGAGCCGGGCCCCCTCCCACCCCCAACACCTGTCGTCTCGTTTTCTTAGGCTTCGGATGTTTTTGCTCTGCGTCGCCTGCTGCTTTTCTTATTTTTTTTTTTTCGCGCCGGATGCGACGTAACATCATCAGTAAGACCAGTCCTGCAGAATCCCTTTCTTCCTTGATTCCTGATTCGGACCCCGTGTTGTGGATGGCAATTTGCCAGGATCGTCGGGAGAGGGGGCGCGTTGGTTGCTCGCGTGCTGTCTATCCATAGCCGTACGAGTGCATATTAATTGAACATAAGATCCTCCTTCGACGACCCAAGAACCAGAAGTAGAAAAGTCGCCTGCACCAACCGACCTTTCTTTTTCCTTCCCGTCTTTGTGTGCAGCACTCGTTTCACGCTTCGGTTTGTGGCTGTTTAGGTGGCCCCTGGTGATTCCCGCCAACCCCCAACGGCGCTCGTTAGATCCTTGGCCATTCTTTGCTGCATGCAAGTCAAATTCGTTCAAGAACACGACCAAGTCCGGCTCTTCGTCCGGACGACCGTTCGCTCGCAAGTCTATAACACTTCGGCTTGTCGCAACTGCTCTCATCACGATCCATTGCAACAATCTCAGACATAAATCACAACCTCTTCCTCTGTATCCGACATTAGCACACGCTCCGCAACATACCCTCTCCCGATAACAACAAACCACAACCATCAACATGAAGGTCACAGCTCCCATCTCTGTCGCCATGCTGGCTGTCACTGCACTGGCCATGCCCGTGGATACTGAACAACACCCCATCGCCGTCGAAGGCAGTGGAAGCTCTGCGGTCGAAGCTGCCGCTACACCAGTGCCGACAAAGCCATCAGCCAGCAAAGCGCAAGCTTCCGCGATCGACTCGGAGGAACTCACTGCCTCGCTCAAGGCGATTTTCAATGAGCAGGAAATGCCAAAGGATGGCCGAGCGTGCTTCTGCGCCAACGGCTCCATCTGCTGCAATACTGGGAAGGGTCTTGACTGCACACAAGGTCTCTGTGGCATCTGAAATGGAGCCCTGGGACACTTTCCCGGCGACGATCACCACTCCGGCCCCTGGTATCCACATCGGACTACTGGGTGGGGCCTGGGCCGGTGCACCGGTCTACGACCCTGGTTATCGACGGGGACCATCGCCGTGGAGATTCGCTCCGGAAGACGACCTCGTCATTGTGGGCCCCAGCCGTCGCGTCGAGACACAACGAATCATCCGACTGGATGGTATCGCGGTGTCGGCAATGCAACCTCGGGCAAGCCACGGGCAGAGGTGGTCCAGGGTGTACCTAACCCTCCGGCGGGCCATGACTAGAGACCGACAACGGGCTCAAGGATTCGCGCCCGTGGGATGCGCGTATACCGCGACGGACGTGTCGAAACAACTGCCCCTTTTGGACCACAGCCAGCCGGTCGCGTGAGGTTGCAGAGAGAAGCAAGAGAGGCCAAACCATGACGGAAGATAACTTTGCTGTGCATCAACAGCCAGCACCATAGGGGTTCAAGCATACCCAGGCCTGCAGTTCGTTGGTGCAAACGTGGCGGCACGTTGCCGCGGCTATTCAAGATAATCGTCAAACCAAGCTGACAGTAAAATTGGGGTGGGGATGTCGAGCAGCTGCCAGTTTATTAATCTTTAATTCAACACGTGCAACAATTGGTTGTCATGCAATTTTCCCAGTTGCAAGTGAACCTTCGTGGGAGAAAGTGGTTTTTTCTCAAGCTCGTAATCGTACTGATGGTGAAACTGGCTACAACCTCACAGTCGAAAGCTAACCATAGAAAAGCGCCAGCTCATCGGGGGCTTCAGTCCAGCCAGCCTCTCCGACCGAGCAGAAGGCCTAGCTGCCCGGGCAGGAAAGCCGGCACGCTTCCTAGACCTTGAGTTTGCTGGTCTCAGAAAACACTGTCGAAGATGAAGATGTAGAGATGACAATGGGACGCGGCGGACGAATCCACGATGAGTTTGTCACCAAGAAGTCTTTCTCAAAGGCTCGTGTGCCAGGTGTCAGCCGGTCCGTACTGGGAACATCGATGGAGCAGGTCAGTCCTGGGCTGACCAGCACGACAGCCCGGCCAGAACGTTGCAGACGAATGTTGATATACCAAAAAATGTCCTCAATAATATGCGCTTCAGCTCTAACTTCGTCGGATTGAGCGGGTACCGAGTACGGGAAGGGAGCATGGGCCGCGCAAACGGAATCTTGAAACACTGCACCGCCGATATGTCGATGAGATTGAGGTCAACGTGCGAGTGCGGTCAGGATTGCTGCGATTCGACATCGTAGCCGGCACGTGAAGGTCAGGGATGCCCCATTCATGAAAGGTTGCTCTCGTTGCTGGCTCCCATGGCGGCTGCGGGGTTCATGATACTGGAGCTAGAATGATCGATCAAGTCCCATGCCCGAGAGCTCAAAAGCCAGCGTGCACTTGGTAGTGTCCGGTTGACGGCCGACACTATTGTTAGGGCTTGGCACCTATAGGGAAACGAAAGTGACAGCGGTCAGGGACAGTGCATGGTGCGACCCTGAGCGAAGCGTTGAGTGTGAAGTCTCGTGAAGTGTTCTGTGCGGCTTCTAGAAGGATGTTAGAATCTCGTCGACACGTGGTGGAAAGGATAAAAAATCGCGACGGCGGTTAGATTGCGGGAGCTGGGTGGCGTGTGTGAGAGCTGCACCGGTCCGCGGTGGAATTATCGGATTGCGGTGTTCGACCGGTGACCGACGGCCAGTTATGCCGCCACGAGGAAAAGGGTGCATGTTGCCCAAAGTGTCCCGTCGGTTTATGCGAGCAGTCGCGTGTGGTTGGAAGCTGCGTCCGTCGTTCATGATTCTACTGCAGTTGGTGCCCAAAAGGTGTTCCTGGTCGCGTTCCAAGGGGATGGGAGATGTGTTTCACCACGTAGAAGTCTAAGTAAAGATTCTTTGTGGTGTTTGCGTCTCTGGGAGCAGCAGGTGATCCGACCATTGGGCTGAGAACAGATTCCAGCGACTTGATCGCTGCCTCAAGTTCGTCCACTCTGAAAAGTGTGGCCACAGAGCCGCGTGGCTACGGTGTTACATTAGCTGATGTATGAGGGCAAGCGATGAGAGATGAATCATGTCGAAGACCTTAGGTTGGGTCCAAAGGCAAACCGAGGTCGATTATTGGCAGATTGGAAGCGAAACAGTCGGACTTGGGGAATACGAAGCTCGTCAAAGCCTTCGGGGCCTCAACGTTTGGCTTTTCGGGCCGGCCGTGATGTTGGAAGACCAATTCGAGCCGGGGCGTGTGGGTATGGTTTTCGTGTGTGTGGGTGTAGGGGACGCGCTTCTGACAGGAAAAAAAAGGAAGCAAAGAAAGAAAAGACGAGACAAAAAGAAAAGAAAACGCAGCCCGAGGATACGGGCGGGCAGGTGCATCAGCGGCGCGGGTGCGGCTGCATACGTTGACGGGAGGAAAGAACAAAGAAAGAACCTGACAACGGCCGGGGCAAGAGCGTTTTGCCAAGACCCGCACCAGCGCAGATTGAGGCGTGGTGGGATGGAAGGCAGATTGCAGCGTGTCGTCCAGTGGAAGGTTCAACGGTGCGTGGCTGCTTTCTGCTATCCTTAGTACAGTCATTTACTTCTTTCCTCTTCACACTACGTATCTCTCCTTCTCTTGCCATATCCAAAGTACCTTATCCTGGGAAGCCAGTAATGGATGGGTGTGCGCCTGCCTCCTCTTCTTAACTATTGGAGGCAACTTATCATTGGGAAGGATCGCGTGGCCATGTGGCAGTCGCGAGCAACCCACCACCAAACGCCCCTTCCATTGGATCTTCCTTCATTGTCCTTGTCCTCGCCGGCAATCTGCAAAAAAGGCAGGCCCTTCCCATGAGACCACATGGCAATTGCCGGACTGCAATGCAAAACAAGACGCAATTTGCAACTTTCCCTCTTTGGCCAACTACCGAAATCTCGATGCCGCGAACTCTTCCTTGCATGTGGTTTCGAAAGCTACCTATCTGAGGTGTAGGGAATGGGTTGCCCTTCATCAACCTAACTCAACTCGCCCGTCGAACGTTTTAGGTCAGCGGGCTGCAGCGATAGGCGGCACAGCTATTCCTCCGTCTTTCCAGTTCCTTCCGCCTTCTAGAGGGCTTCCATGGCCCTTCCACGGCCCTTCCACGCATCCCTCCCTCCCATCAGCCGGTGCCTTGCCCCTCCCCTGGGCCACCATCCCCCAGCTTCATCGCCAGCAGCGACATGGTTAGCCGGGTGCACCCTCTCCTCCATCCGCTGTGGACTGGCCGCTTCAATGGACCGTCGCCTTTCGGGATCGTTTCGTGCCCCGTGCTCGCTCTTTCGGCCCCGATGAGCCAGGGGCCCCAGCCTGCGAGTCTGAGACACAGGGTGAGATGGCGCTCCACTCACACATGCCCTTCTGGTCCCGGCCTCTGCGGACTGGGCTTACCTGGGAAAGACGAGGAGAGGTGACCTCAGACTGGAGTCTGGTTGATGGCTGGTTCCTGAAGCGCCTTGGGGAGATGAGGGAGACAAATGCTTATCCAGGCACAGGGGAGATGGGGGAATTCTTTTTCTGGTACCAAACGCTCACAGATGTGCAGATTGTCGCCGTTGCCATCGTTTTCGTTATTCGCCGCTGCACGCTCCTCTTCTTTCCAGTCTGTCTCGTCCGCCCTCGGCCGTCTACAGACCACGCCCAAATGATGCGAGCGTTGCTTGGGTCAAATCGCTAGGGTCGCACAACTTGATTTGCCTTTCGTCTCAAAGCCCAACCCGTGGCCACCAGATGAAAAAGTATGCGGTCCAATTCTGGCTTCCACTCTGCTTCTACGTCTTCACATTGCCCTCACCCTGACGATGTGAGTTTACCATGTGCCGTGGCAAGAGTCGGCAGCGCTCGGCAATGGGCGCCACTGCCAGTGTGCAGGCTTCTAGAAGCTCCAGTCGTCGCCCGCCCACCGCTGCAGATCGCATGAGTGTGCGATTTGAGATGTGGGACGTGGGATGGGAAGCAGATGAACCTGTGGGAGGAAAGTCAAAGGTGAGTTTTGAACTTTTGATACCGTACGGCCGGGCGGAGTGGCGGAGGTCGACATGGGCACAGAGAGGCGGTTGGATCCAGACCGAAGGCTCGATCGAAACTGTTTGGAACAATTCGATATGGAAGTCGAAGTCGAAATGGAAGCCAGCGTGGAAGCCGCGTCCAGAAGCCGCAGAGAACAAAGAAACGGACGGCTAATCACCCGTTTGATTTGTTTTTCTCCGGCTCCCCTGCCATTAGCTCCCTCAAGCTGCCTCTAGCTAGGGGTCCAGCGGCCAGTCTAGCAGCAGACGGGAAGGTTGCGGCGGTTCTGGACACGCCCTGGTGGCCTAGCTTGCGCTACCTTATTCATGCTCGCACGTCACACCGGCGACCGGAGCAGTGCGCAGATTCAAGTCGCATCTTACTGTTTGCTGTCGCCATCAGCCAGCCCTAGACTAACGTCTCACGAGGTTGGGCTGAAAGTCTGGTGACCTGGCCGACTTGAGCCTCGCAATCTGGATGAAATGCTCGGCGGATACCACCATTTGTGCGCAGTTCATCGCGATCGTCTCCTCGCCTCCGGAGCCTCGCACCGCAGTAGACTTCCTGGCTAGCAAAGTAAAGGTTGGCTCGCTACGCAAATGATGGCGGCCGACGAGCGTCACCGTCTGGCAAGCTTCGAAGGTGCATCGCCTGCCCTCCACCAGCAGCAGCAGCGGTACCATGTGTTTGACACCACCCAGTCTGCTGTGCTCCGTACGCGGCATGGAGTTGGTGTTGCTGCAGTTTGTCTGTCGCATGTCCCTCGCAAGCCCTGGGGGCCCCCGGCTGGGAACGCATCCAGGGTTTGGGACGTGGAAATGTGGTAATACGTACGTACGTGAAAGGCAGCCAGACACTACCAAACAATAGAGGCAAAATACTTGCAAGAATAGGTAAGCTCCTTTCTCCCCGCTACCCTGATTGGATTCCATGATGCCGACGAAGAAGCATTTTACGGCCCTTAGGATTTTTTTAGTAGCCGCTACCAAAGGTGGTACCAGAATCGAGAACTTCATCTCTCACCGGCCGCCACCACCACCGCCATTACCACCACCACCACGAGGCTGAGGAAGAGGAGGGGTTTGAAGCCCAAGGGCAAGTCGCCCTCCTCGCTGGCAGTTTAAGCTTTGGCTTTCAGTCACTCGCAGGTCCCTTTTCCCTGCCAGTGACGCGCTCGCAACCCCTGAGACAGGCTTCCCCTGTGTCCGTGCACCGTAGCCCGGTACGTTGTCGGTACCTTCCCCGTCGGCCGAGCCCCACTATCCAAGCGTCATTGTCGTGGTGCTGGCGCAGGTGCAGTGCGCGTGGTAGGTACGCTGGAAGGTTGGAAGGTGTATGAGTGGGAAAAGGAAAAGGGAAAGGGCAAGAGAGACAGGAGGGAGGTGACCCCTTGGGCTGTCAAGCTTGCAGGGCCTCCCGTTGGCGGTTTCCTTAGCAAGGCTCTCGTACCTGCTATCTGTTTTGCACGCCTTCTGGTACCTCTTGCCTACTTCATTAGCCTACGGCAACTGGCAAGGCAGGGCAGGTGGCATCTCCACCTCCATTGCGTCCCTGCTTCTGTTTCTGGCGGCTGTTCTTGCTTCTCTGGCAATCGCTCCTTCAGTTCTTAGTAACAATGGAAGGCAGGCAGGGCAGGCAGTGCCCGTACCGGGTTAGGTAGTCACGTAGTAAGGTAGGTACTCTGGACTGTACCTGCCCGGTACTGCTCCCGCTGTCTACCTGGTAGGCGTCGCTGGGTCTCCTCTTCTAGAACTTTACTAGTCCCTGCCCTTGCGACGCACCTGCACTGCACCTGCCGCACTTGCACTTCCAGTGCCTCCTGCTCCTGCACCCTGTGCTTGCGAGAAACGTGAAGGAATCTTTCCCCACGTCCCCGTCCCACGTCCAGAGTCCCACGCCCACGCCCACGTCCACGCCCGCCCACTGCGCTCACGTCCCACCACCAGCACACTGCAGTCCTCCTCCACCACCACTACCCTACAACCACCACCTTCCTCGTCCCGGTCGCCCCAGGCCAGTTCCCTTCCCAGTCACGACCGCCTCTTCCTCCGTCACGGCTTCTTCCCTTCTTCTCCATCATCCTGTCCCATCGCAGCTGGACTATCTCCAGCTCCAATTGCTTGTCCACCATCGCCTCGAAAACGGCTTGCGTTGTGGTCGACACCGTCCGCTTCCGCCGCCTCTGTTTGTCGCCTCCGACTCCGCGACAGCCACCCCAGCAGCTTTCGTGCCACCGCCTTCGCCATTCCTTTTCCGCTCATTGCGGCCAGCCGAAACACACGCGACGGCAGCTCTGCTCCATTGATAAAGGAAGCATACACCGAGAAACGACTTCTGGCTCTTCGCCATACATTTTGGTGAGCCCCGAATGGCCTCGTCCGGTTGCTTCACGGCATCGCAAACTAACAGTGTCTTGCCTCTTTTCCGTAGACGGAACCACGCCGCTCCTACAAGCTCTCCGCGAATCCGACGCCCAGTGCCCACGACTCCTCCGTCGCTGCCTCCATGCAACGAGCCCGTGGTACTTTTGCCGCCACCAAGAAGACGTCGTCAGTCCGACTTTTCAGTCAATCGCTGTCGAAAAATCCTCCCTCCGAGCAGCGGTCTCGTGTGATAGGATCTGCGACACTCTGTGTCGTCAACATCCCCGACCCTCAGATCTAGAGCTTCCAAACGCCCCGCCGCAAGCCACGCCCGACGTGTGCTCCCCCACCGCCGCGAGAAGAAACAATAAACGCCCCAAACGAAACGTACATAATTCCTCGGGTATCACGACGCCTTCTGTAAATATCGACATCCCTCGTTCGCAGAACACACCTTCAAACCGTCCCGCAGCGGCAACGAACGTCATTTCCGGGGTCCAATCGACGACTGTGAACTAGAACAACTACAAACCAGCGACGACACCGCACACGGGCAAGGAGGACTTCTCCCTCCGAACGCCTCGAGAAGCACAGGCGACAGCTTGGGTGGGCATTGGCGAAGCCCTGTTAAAAGCTTTGGCCCTCTGCCCTGCCACTGGGGTGGAGAGCTTAGCCGGCAAGGCACACCGGAAACCTGGCGTCGACACGACCACGCACGCGGCATCCCTCCCGGACCATGAGGCGGAATCGCTCCCCGACATCACCATCGCCCTACCGGGCTCTGGCTCATGGCGCTGGTGCCGCTGGTCCAGGCGGGCTGCCTGACTCCCTTTCCCTTCTCAGGTCCTTCAATTCAGACTCGAACCCTACCCGGCCCATGCGCCCATCTCCATTGACCGCCTCGACCATCCGGGATATGCCGCTTGATCTGGTCGACCGCATCAGATCGTTCCCTCTGTTTGTCTCCGCACCAGAAGAGTTCCTGGCTGCGATCGGTAATCATATGCGACCGCAGGTTCATGCAGCACAGGACCACATCCTCACAGAAGGCGATGACGCTCGGGCAATGTACTGGTTGGTGCGAGGTGTTGTGGCAGTTACTTCCCGAGATGGCGAGGCCATCTATGCCGAACTCAAACCCGGTGCCTTCTTTGGTGAGATTGGAGTGCTTATGAATATCCCCCGCACGGCAACCATCATTGCTAGGACAAAATGTCTTCTCGTGGTCCTTAAGAAGGAGGATCTCCAGGCCGAGTTGCCAAAGTTCCCCGACATGGAAAAGGCAATTCGCCAGGAAGCCCAAGAACGATTAAACATTCTCAAGAAGAAACGACAAGAAGGTGGCCAGCCTTTGAAAAGCCCCTCTTCGCACATTAACGGGCTGCGGGAGCCGGCGCCGGGTGAAGTTTCGACAGGCGAAGTTGGCACAATCAAGGAGGGAACGGTCGTCAACTCGAAAAAGCGAAAGTCGCCTAGTCCAGGAGCCATTGAGGATCCTGCAGCCGGGAGCGCGCTCGGAAGCGGTTTCGTTAACGTACGCAAAACCCTGAAGGAGCTCCCGCTTTTCTCGACATTACCCCCAGACATCCTGCACTTCCTCGGCTTGAGCGCTCAGCCGAAGACATATGCACCTTTCACGGACATCATCCAACAAGGCTCCGCTGGCAATGAGATCTTCTTCATCGTTCGAGGCGAAGCTGAAGTCATACACGAGGCACCTAGCCCCCACGAACCGTTCAAGAAGCTAACGCGGGCGTCGTACATCCGTCCGAGATTGAAAGCTGGCCAATACTTTGGAGAGGTGGCAAGTCTTGGTCTGTCAGAGGGGCGCACGGCCACTGTTAGGGCAATTACGACTGTTGAATGTTTAATGATCCCGGGGGATGCATTGGGTAAACTATGGAGCCGATGCCCGCCGGATATCAAGTCGCAGGTGGAAGAGACGGCACGGAAGAGATACAAAAAGTCGGACGATGATGTTGAGATGGCGGACGCGGACCCTAGAGAAAGGACCAGCAAGTCAGACCCTCCTACCCCGACGACGCCAAAGGCTCTTCCCCACATCGCCTTTACAACCCCATCCAAACCGGCATCTCCTACAAAAGACGACGATACAATGGAGCCGAAGGACCCCGATCCGTTTTTGAGCGTGGACATGGAGAATATGCGAAATAGGCGACGCAACTCCCTGGCCCCTCCTACCCCGCAATCCGATACGTCGTCGCCTACAGGGGTGAACGGCTTCCGGGTACACCAGCTCGACTCAACACCCCTTCGTTTCTCCGTGCCCCAGTCACCTCCCGACTCGGAGGTCCAGGTGCCTGTTAAGCGAGCTCGAACGCTCCCTCGGCGACCGCATCCGGCGCAAACCCCTGCGCTACCCGACGACATGCTCGTCGCTGTTTTCCGGTTTTTGGATATCGCCGAGCTCATGCGTGCACGCCTCATCTCTAGTCATTGGCGCAAGCTCCTTACGACACATCCCGAGGTGTGCCTGGACTTGGATTTATCAGAGTACAACAGACGAGTCACCGATTTGGCCATCAAAACCTCGATCGGCCCCTTTGTAGGAACGCGGCCCGAGACCATTGACATTAGCAACTGCTTCCACATCACCGACGATGGATTCCGTTGTCTTTGGGAGAGTTGCGGCCGTAACGTGAAGCGGTGGAGAATGCGGTCTGTTTGGGATGTCTCTGCTAACCAGATCCTGGACATGGCCGAAAATGCAAAGGACCTCGAGGAGGTTGATTGGAGTAACTGCCGCAAGGTTGGCGACAACCTACTTGCGCGTGTTGTTGGCTGGGTTGTTCCTGAGCCCCCACCACCACCGCCGGCCAGCAAACAGGTCGTCATCTCCAGCTCCAACGCAAAGGCGAAGCCTCCGAAGGCCGTCGTGGCCCAACAAGCGCCACGGCCAGCCAACATCCCGAAGCCAGGGACGATAATTGGCTGCCCCAAATTGAAGCATCTCAACCTATCATATTGCAAGCACATCACTGATAGGTCAATGGCACACATGGCGGCTCATGCATCCAACCGCATAGAGTCTCTGTCGCTTACACGGTGCACATCCATTACAGACGCCGGTTTTCAGTCATGGGCGCCCTTCCGGTTCCTGAACCTGTCGCATTTGTGCTTGGCCGACTGTACCTATCTCTCCGACAACGCCATCGTCGCTCTGGTTGGCGCTGCCAAGAACCTTACACACCTGGACCTCTCCTTCTGTTGTGCACTTTCAGACACCGCCACAGAAGTTGTGGCTCTCGGCCTGCCGAACCTCCGCGAGCTTCGCCTCGCCTTTTGCGGCAGCGCCGTCTCCGATGCCAGTCTACAGTCTGTAGCTCTTCATCTCAACGAGCTCGAGGGTATCTCAGTCCGCGGCTGCGTCCGTGTCACCGGTGCTGGCGTGGAGAACCTACTCGAGGGCTGCAGCAGGATACAGTGGGTTGATGTCAGTCAGTGCAGGAACCTCGAACACTGGATCCGCAGCGGAGGTGTGATGAGGTGGGGATTTGACGAGCGTGGCGGCAACGGCTTGTCTCCCGGTCAAGTACCGCTACCGCTGCCGAGCCCGAAACCGACGACGAACCATGTCGGTCTCGGAGGACGTCCGCACGCGCTGAGCATCCGCCGTCGAGCAAGAAAGCCGGTTCGCTTTATTGTGGAGAAGGGTGTATTCGGTCTTCGATAATTTGGTTTGCGACAAGGAGATCAAGCTTCCATGATGATTTATGAGAGAGATGTTTGTACAATGTGGTTGGTGTAGAGGTTTTTTTCATTGTCGGTTTGCATAGAGAAGGACTTTGTCATAGCTGCGAGTTTGACTTGACATATTTGGGTATCATGTTTGGAATCATTGGGAGTGACGGCTGGTATGGCCGAGGATAGACTGGATAAGGTGATACCCTGTTCATTTGACTCTCAATAAAAGCACCCAACGCTGTCACCGTATACTCCTTTTGTATGTCTTGGTTTTTCATCTTCCGCATCAGCTCACGCCCTCTTGGCCCTCTGCTGCTTCGGAAATCCCACCCCTACCAGGAACGCAAGCCTCGTCACGCCCGCCAGCATCGTGATTGTCACCGCGCCCCAATCCTCCACCCGCCATGTCGTGAACGGGTTCAGCCTTCCCTGCAGCGCATACGACGCAAACGTGCCGTACAGCAGGAACGCGTCGACGAGGAAGAGCGAGAGCTGGTAGACGCGCCACACCTTCAGGTCTGTTGTTGAGCGCAAGAGGACGGCGGAGAGGAGCGCGTTGGAGAGGAGGTGGCCGGCGATCTGGGCGTGGAGGGGCAGGGAGTACTCGCGGAGCGAGGCGGCGAGGGAGGGCGTGGAGATGGAGAGGGCGGCGGCCGGGTGGGCGATGGAAGGGTCGATTGGGTTGTGGGAGGGGGGCAGGTAGGAGGATGTGACGGTTTTGGGGGAGAGGAGGAAGAGGGAGGTGCCCCAGAGGGCGATTAGGGGGTCGAGGAGGGTGAAGAGGTGGTAGTATGGGGTTGGGATTGTCATGGCTGTTGTTGTTGGGGGTTTTGGTTGTAAGGGGGAGTGAGGGTTAGGATTGAGGTTGTGGAGCAGGTGGGCTTTTTGTGAAATTGTGAGATTGCAGATCTGGAGAAGATGTGGTGAGAGAATGTCAGATTCTTGGGATGAAGGAATTTTAGGTCTGCTCGTGACACGGTTTAGTTGGCAGAGTCTGGTGGCGCGCCGCCCGTGTCTGAGATGGCCATTTTTCGGAGGTCTCGTGTTGATGTCATTGCCTGGCTGGCGGGTCCAGCGGCGGCCCGCGGGGGGCCGTGTTGGTGCTAGTGCCGGGTGCTTGGGTGCTGGGCTGGTCTGTGCGTACCGGCTGGGTGGGCTTAAGGTTGTGGGGTGCGCGGGAAGGTGGGAGGGAGCTTGGGGCGTTTGGTGGCTAGAGCTTTAGGAGTGGGAGGAGCTGGTTGACGTCGTGTCGGGTTGGCTTTGGTTGTGGTTAGGATGGGGTTTCTGTAAACTTGCTTTAGGAAGAAGATTCTGGATGGAGTTCAAGTCGTTTTTCAGGAAGGGAAAAAGGCATTTGATGATCCAGAAGTCTTTCAAACATCTGTTAGTTTGCTTAATGGGAGATGCCCTGCTTCAAGATAGTTTGGCTCTAATCTACACAGTCTAGGCAGGGGGCTTACTTGAGTAAACCTCTACCAGTGGACTTCTGCCTCATGTAAACCATTCACAAATTGCTTTAGATAGATTTATCTCGTAGTCATTTGATCTTTACGCAATACTTACATAATCTCCTCTCTGTGTTATTCTCTACACTCTCTTATTCTCTCTACCTCGCCCCTTTTCTCTCAACTCGTGTCTTTCTCCCACCCACCCCTCCCTCTCTCTTATCAAACGTCTGCTAAGGAAAAGGCAAGTGTCTAGTTTCCCTACGCACTTCTCTAGTCATTTGCTTCGAGAAATTCATCGGGAAAATTCTCTCGATGACGATTGTTCAAGGTTCCTGGTCTAAAGCGAAGTCATAATATTGCGACACCTCCGTACAGTGCGATCAATTCTACACATGAGCGTCGCGCGTTGAATTTCACTAGAGAGAGGACGTTCGTTTCTTTCAATTGGCGCACCGATTTGCTGACATCACATATACCCTAGTAGTAGTTTGCAACCAGATTTCTCGGCGCTTACGGGGTTTGGTCAGGCAACCGCCCCCACCTTTGATAATGCCGCAGCCTCGTCGAGTGCAATGCTCAACTTCCCATCTGCATCATCTCTTATTTCAGAGAACACGAATAAGGGTTGACGACAATTTGCATCGCTCACCATGCGACTGCTGAACACTACGACGCTTCAGCTCACCGACTTCGTTGGGAAGGCTCCCCCGTACGCAATCCTCTCCCATACGTGGAGCGAGGAAGAGGTACTCTTCGCGGATATTAGCAACCCAGCCGTCCCAAAAGCAGGATGGTCCAAGGTCCGGAGCTCTTGCGACTTAGCAAGGTCTTTGGGGCATGATTGGATTTGGATTGATACCTGCTGTATCGACAAGTCTAGCAGCGCTGAGCTCTCCGAGGCGATCAACTCCATGTTCAGGTTCTACCAAAACGCAGTCATCTGCATAGCTTATCTCTCGGACGTTCCTTATCCGAGTTCAGAAGGCGAAATACCGAAAGTACTGGCTGAAACTCGCTGGTTTACACGTGGGTGGACTCTGCAAGAGCTTCTGGCACCGAAGCACCTCGACTTTTATTCGTCTGACTGGAAACTTCTGGGTTCTCGATCAGGGTTTTCGTTCCTGATTGCAGAGGTGACCGGCATTAGGCATGCGGTAATTAGTGGGGGAAGCATCAAGTCCAACCGTTTGGTTGATTCGAGCGTGGCTGAGCGAATGTCCTGGGCTTCCAGGAGACGAACTACTCGTCTCGAGGACATTGCGTACTGTTTGCTCGGCATTTTCGGCATTAATATGCCACTGATCTATGGCGAGGGCGAGCGAGCATTCGCACGACTGCAACAAGCCATTATACACGAGATTGACGACCAATCTATTTTCGCATGGGGTTATACACAGGTGGGGGAGCCACCAAAAATACCCTCCCACGGATGGACCTCTCCTCTCCTTGCTGGGAATCCGTCTTGGTTTAGGAATGCCGGAGACATTCTGCCGTTTAAAACGATGAATATCCCAGGGCTCCTATCATCTGGAGGCAATGGGGTCACCATTCCAACTCCACTACTTCAACAAATGTTACAGCCAGGACCGTATCAATTACCCCACCTATCGTTAAATCAGGACCATGGCAAATCTTTGCCTCCTGGAGCAGCGCGTTTGCAAGACAGTACGAACAGAGGTATGATGTACCTCCTTGCACCTTTGAGGTGTCGCAGATTGAAAGATCCTTTCAACTGTATCGCAATACCTCTTTGCAAGCCTGCGCTGGTGGATTTGGCTTCTGAAGACGCCAATTCTTTCTATCGAGCTTCGCATGCGACTTTGACGGCTCCGAGAAACGTGTGGGCTGTCGACAATATATGCAAGCCCTTCGTATACTTTCGCGGCAGCTATGAGAGGAGGGGGGCGCCCTGGTTTGAGGAGAATGGCTGCATGATTCGGACAATACCTCGCGGATACAGCATCGCCCCCGAGTACTTCGAACATCACAGACGTCGCTACGGGATACCAGACATCATCGGGCCAGAGAACGACATGAACTTTGTACACAACGGCCGAGGAAGCATAAAAATTGTGATACTGGAAGGAAAGTCGCTGCCTGATATAGCACTGACCTTGCAATTTCTATTCGACCCGAACAAGCTCGATGAAGGCGATCTCAAGGTGCTCGGAATGATAACTCAACTCCACTATATGCCGCCATCTGTAAGTTTGGAGGACTTCGCGTACATGATGCCGAAGACTCGCCACAAACACACATGTGATACTTTCACGGTCAAAGTCACGCAATCAGAAGCTTACGGGCCAACCATTTGGCTTGTGGATATCGTAAACCCGCAGGGAGCCAATTTGTCAAGGGAGACTAATGCCCTGACTGGGCTCTTCACGCCTGTTCGAGCTCGAGATTCTGACAACAGAGGAGATGCGAGTAAAACCTCTGAAGCCCGAAGTCTAGCCTCTCCATCATACTCGGAGGGTGTCGTTTCCATGGCATCCCAAACAGGAGATGAGAGTCATGTTGCGTCTCGCAGTTCAAGCCTGACTTCAGATGGGTATGTAACGTATGCTTCACAGGAACTGTAATATCAAACGTTTTACTGGATGAGAACTTGGACCATCATTGTAGACACTGAAAATATTGTTATGACGTTATGTCAGCTACACATATCATGTCTTTGAGTGCAATACTGTCTAAAAGGTACAATCGTCTGTAACATCAATCCCTAGTTTCCACACATTATTGCACGCTCTCAATCGTCGGCTGTCACTCAAAGGAGCAGGAATCACAATCATCGCTTATATAGTACTTCGACGCCCTTCTTTTCGAGTGAGATTCAGGGTACAGCGAGAGAGTAGCATGGTGTTAAGGTTGGAAGGCTGAAAAGCGTTGGGGCATATTTATGCTCAACACCAATAGCTTTATCAAGCACCCGCTTCTTGAAATATCCGTCGTCGCGGTTGTTAGCTTCCAGATGTAGTTGCGAGACTCTAATTATACAATCGATCATGTTGTTGTCTCGTCGATAACTCAACAGATTCTGTTCGTCGGTGTTTAGAGCCACCCGGCCCCTTTCAGCGCCAACCAGTACTATGTACTGTAACATCGGTTTGCGGCAAATCACCAGTGGCCTGATCGCGATCTCTCATTGCTCCAGAATGGTTGGCCTTCAGCGTCAATGCAAGCACAAGCGATATGCACATGCGCAGAAAAAGAAAGATTCATCGACAAGCGCTTTTTGGCCCTGATTTGTCACTAAGACATGCACACAAGAACTTGGCCTAGCTGTCTCCAGGAGCGTGTGGAAGCACTTTGCTATTATCTTTGCCCTACACAGCATCAGGTTCATCATCAATCAATCGACCCTCTCTCTCTGCCTCTCACACTCAACCAGAACTGGATTTGAGGACTCGACTAGCTCGGTTGATCATGTTTATCCGGAAACCCAAACCTTGGGAGTATAATGAGGACGATGATGCCGTGCCTCGTGACCCTGTGCCCAACCCTTACGACCATACAAACCAAGAGTGGCGCTTTCGAGGTAATCGATGCATCTTTCGTCACGAACAGGCTGTCGAAGCTGGAGAAAGCACCGCCAAATCAACTGCCGCAGGCGGCTTCGATAAGGTCGCGTGCGGCGCCTTTACACTGGGAAGGTGTGAGGTCAGCACTGAATGCCCGTTGTCGCACACGGTCCCCGATGATGTCATTGTCGCCCCCAAGATCGCTATCGTGAGTGGTGCCGTTCTCTGACGCGCTTTTGACTTTTCTAGCGCGCGTCAAGAGTACTACTAGGAAGAAAACCATAATTCGCGAGTTTCCCTTGGCTAGGGTCACCTTTGGCCAGGGTCCGGTCGTGGAGAGAATTGTTTTGCCATCAGATCAACACTGGGCTGATGCCTTCCCATCCACCCAGGGATCGAAGTCAATCACTGTCGACATTATGAAAGCCTATGAGCTCCAGCCAGACATCGACTCCGCTACCGATCTCATGGAAAAGATCCATCAAGTCAACTATCCCGCAATCAGAGGTATTCTACTGAGAGACTTTGACGTCTTAGTCTGCCCTGGCACAGGCTCTATGGCAAATGATAACCTTCGCCGCCAGCTCAATCATACGCCCGACCTACCAGGTTATCACGACACCAGCAAGATGTACTCTGCGACCTACAGAGTGAGTGCTAGAGTGTTCTCTGCTGTTTGGGAGACAGTGAAGGCCGTCCAAAGTGCCTTTTCCCACGAGAGTCGACACGTTGACTTTGCGCACTATCCATCGACAAACCACTTTATCATTCTCACTTTGCGCAGTCTTGACAGCCCCGCTTATTCATCTGTCAAAAGATTCCTCGATGGGGTCTTGAAAGGCGAGATCTTGAAGTCGCCAATTGGCCAGGCCGTCTGGAATCCGTTCCTAGGGAACACGGCTGCTGCCCCCCAGCTCATGAGTCCCCTAGAGCAAAAATACGGAGTTGTCTTTCAGTGTGTCCCATCGCAGAAGACATTGCGGGTGTACGGAAGCCCTGAAAAGGTCAAGAACGCTCAAAAGGCATGGAAAGATGTGGGAATGCCGCTGAATCATCCATCAGTCAAGTCGATTAAACTTGATGATCAGAGTCTGACCTGGATTCTGACTGGTGGGTTTGAGGCAATCTCAGATGCCATCGGGTCTGAATCGGTCATGTTCAACACGCTCTCGACACCAAAGACTGTCGAAATTCTTGGACCGTCACGTCTTTGTAAAACGGCTGAAACCATATTATCACAGCGAAAGCGTGTGCCCCAGAGCACGAAAGATCGCTGTTCGATTTGCCTGAGAAAAGCAGAAGATCCCATCTCGGCGAACTCTGGGCATTTCTTTTGCCTCGCATGCTTCGAGAGCTATTGCCTATCGAACTTTGGTCACACGAACGGTGGTATCCTCACCTGCCCGGCTGAAGGGGGTTCGTGTGGCGCGTTGTTCCAGCTTGAGCAACTGCAACAGCTGTTGTCCTCATTCACTTTCGAAATAATTCTCATTTCTTAACTGCGCCGGGAGCTTCAGTCAGATTTGTCGAAATCTCCCTGTCAAGTCTGTGACAAGAACGCCTCGCCCTATGTCGTATCGAGCGATGAAATTTATTTGGAATATGTTCCTAATGTTCCCCATCGCGTCGACAATCTGGGAAGAAATAGTCGTTTGAACGCTAAAACGGTCCCTTGTGCACTCCTAGCGACTTCGATCAACAGCAAGATCGACGTGAAATGTGATCCTGATGCTTCGTTGCGCGTGGAAACCTTAGGAAATAAGTCTCGACTCAATCCTCAGTCAAAGCCGTTTGTTCCCGTCATCACAAAGGCGGAAGTCGCCAAGAAGAAGCCAAAGTCGCAAAAACCCATGATGAGCATAGTGGGAAGAACTCCCAAATCCAATCCGAAGGTTGAGGCGGCCCCAAAGCAGCCGAAGTCTCAATCGTCTACAACTTCCAATGTGGAAAGGGGTCAAAATCTCAGAAGCCCTCTCAAGGATATTCCCTGTGCATCTGATGCAAGAGGAAACTGCTTGGGGGGCAAGAATTGTCCATTGTCGCACGCAAAAGATGCCGATCGAGACACTAGGCTCACAGGTTCTGATCTAAGGGAATCAAAGGCAAGTCATACTTAGTCCCAGCCATGTATCAAGAATTGGATGGCTAATCGGAAACAGGTAAATGCAACCGAGATCGAGATTACACGAGAAGTCCCCGGCGCTTGGGTGACATTTGGGCCGGGAGCAGCAGTGATGAAAGTTGTTATCCAGCAAGAACTACTTGCAGTGAAGATCGGACGTCTCCCGCCGAAGAGCACACCTGAGTTCGTGTCCGAACTTCTCAGCCGTTTTGACATTCGCATACCGGCAAATCGCATTCAGAAAGCCCCCGACGACGCTCATAGATACACACATGAGATGTCAAGTTTTGCAGTCGTGCACACGGACAACCCAGAGCTGCCTAAAATAATCCATGGCAAACTACACGCGGACGATCGGCCCGATATGAAAGATATTGATCTCTCGAAGTTGACCGTGTTTGCCTGGAATCCTCGAGGACCAAGGGAGCCCGGCGGCTTTTCGCATCATATCAGCAGCCGAACGGTTATTGTCAATTGGCCAAGGCCTATGCGAAACGTTCAACTCAGGTTCCGCACGAGATCCCTTGCCATCGACTGTGCCAAGCGGTTCAATGAAGGCGACTACAAAGTCTTGGGAGAAAAAGTGTCTATGGGATCCCCCCACTTCGGCATTCCTCTTGTCCCGCCGATGACACTACACCGAATGCCGGACATGTACATTGTTCGACTCTTGGTGCCAGTGGAGGCTTCTGCTCAAGACGTCCTGAAAAGCATGCCTCACGACAAGTTGCCAGACGACCTTGAAATGGAAGACACGAAAATTGATTTGACAGACGACCCATCCGCAAGGGGATGGCTTGAATCAAGCCTGAAGAGATTTGGAACCCTGGAAACGGAGCTTACCTCGAAGCTTCTCAAGACGACAGGAAGATATGAAGGCGCAGTCAGGTTCAAGAATGAAGCAGACGCAAGACAAGCAATTGCGTGGCTTTGCTGGTTCATGCCGCCATACGACGACAGCGGAAAGAGCTTCACCTCGGCAGACAGGTTTGATTTGGTCAATCTTTACACTGCCACTTACCGATTGTCTCAGAAAGTGCTGGGAGCTGTATGGGAGGATTTCCAGTCGATGCAACGTTCCTTCTCATCCGACAAGAACGGCGTCCAGTTTGACGTTCACTCTCCTTGCAGTCATCAAGAAGAGGAAGAGTTTCTAGTTTTGATTCTGAGCAGCAAAAGTCAGGAATTGATGGCCGAGACCAAGAAAAGAATTGATACGATTCTTGAAGGGCATACTCTAGGCATGGGGGACGATGACTCTATAATTCAGGAAAGAGTTCTTGGTCTTCAGCACCAGGACATTAAGAACCTTGAATGCCGCACTGGGGTAGCTATTCGACGATTCCCGATATCGAAGGAGATCAGATTGTACGGCACGAATTCAAAGGTTGACAAATGTCGATCCGCACTGCGTACTCTTGCCGATGGTCCGCTTTCACAACGACGAAAGCCTTTCATATCAGACAAGGGATCTCAAGCCAATGGGGATCGCTCTATCTGTGGGCTTTGCCACAATCACGGAGAGGCGCTTTTGATCACGAGCTGCCAGCACTCCTTCTGTGCTGACTGCTTCGAAGACTTTTGTCGTTGCATCAAATCCCGCGACGGCATCAGCATTCTTCGCTGTCCTGGGCAAGCTGGTTCATGCTCAGCTACTTTCAGTCTGCCGGAATTGCAGCGTCTTCTCTCATCTTTTGCCTTTCAAGATGTGTTGACATCGTCATTTTCCTCTTATATTTCTAGTCGACCGAATGATCTCCGTCACTGTCCTACAACGGGCTGCACTCAGCTCTACAGAGTGTCACTGGAAAACTCGCCTCCACGGTTCGACTGCAGCGATTGTCACCAGAGCTTCTGTCGTCGATGCCACTCAGACCACCCTGGTGTCAGCTGCATATTGAACAGGTACTGGCTTGGACTGGGCCCACCTCCACACATATGCTGGGCTTGTCTCGGCGAAGTCGAGGTGGTAGATGCAGATTACCTTCTATGCCCAGGCTGTGGAGTTCGAATTTGTAACTCTTGTTTCAGATTCTTTTCTACCGAACAGGCCTGTGGTGACCACTTGCTTAAGACGCATAGTGTGGGTTGGGATTTTTGGAAGACTGATGAGAGTTTATTAGTGTATTCGGGTCTCGAATGGAATAGCATCTGACAGCCTAGTTGCATGATTCTGAAATTCTCTCCATTTAACACAGCGCCTGCGGCACTGAACTGCCAAGCCTTGATTGTTCTTTCTGCCATCGTCAACTTAATTTGAATTTCGCGACCGTTTCATGTGTCAACAATCAAGCGCGACTTGCTCGGCTTCAGCCAACTGACCGCCAAGCACGTGGTATCGAGACGTCGGGCGCGGGCAGGCTAGGCAGCAGCTGACATGCAGCGCCACAGCGCCTACAGTAAGCGGCACAGTGATTGTAACCAACCCCCTTTAAATATTTCCAACATCTCCACCAAGGACCTTGTCAAGCTTCATTCTCTCCATTGTTCGCTCGAGGCCATTCTTCACCGCATTTTCTACTCGCCAAACCATCATGTCTGGGAACAGCGAATCAATTCGCGGCGAGGCCGATGACGAGCCTTGCGAATCAGACTGCGAATGCTGCTACTACTCTTTTCCCTTCCTCAATCTCCCACGCGAAATTCAGTTGAAAGTAGTCCGTGAAGTACCGGATTACTGGACCTACATTTCTCTGCGACAGACTAGCAGCGAAATCAGCGAACTGTGTCATGTGGAGGAGAAAATAGTCTTGGCCAATCTGAGAAACCGCCTGGTCGCTCCCTTCTACGACTACTACGACTTTCACGCCTCTCTTCATCTTGCAGAGGGAGCTGTCAAGCAGCCTCCACCCACCGGGTGGCCGGAAATGACCCATGAAAACTTCCGTTCCCTTGGGAAATCCGACTTGGCCATCGAGGTGTTGCGCCATTTACCGTACATCGAGAATCTTGAATACCATGACAATATCAACAACATCGACTACAAGTGCAACGTCATCGACTACTCTGCTTGGAAGCCTGGCGATGAGTATCCCGGTAAAAGCATGGAAGACTACTTCGAGTATGAGGAGCCAGTCTCTAAGCACAAGATAGCTATCGCATATGGTTACGAGAGTGGCGGCGTTACTTTCATGTTGGACACGTTGACTGGTAGTGTGTATGAAGAGATAATCAGATGCTCGTCGGGGGTAGAGGATGAGCCGGTTGAAGACTACTTTGAGAGCAAAAAGGAGGAGTTCAGGACTTTCAAATTGATGTTCATCCCAGGCTTTGACCCGCCAGAGGGTTTCACCGACGAGAAGTATCCGTATGATGCGGAGAAGATGGAAAAACAACGCGAGCCACGCTCACCTGACAAATGGATAATGGACACAGATGAAGATGGTCTTTGGATCCGACACCTTTATCGAAAGTTCGGATGGCCCTCCCCAGCCTGGAAAAAGGATGAAGGCATTCAAGCAATCAAAGAGTTCGTTGCGCGGAGAGATCAAGAGCATGATCAGTACCAACAAGACTTGGGAATGCAAATGAGGCTCTTTGATGCTCAAAGACAGCGGAACGAACAGCAGCATGCAGCTGGCCAGTAAGGGATGAGGGACATTGGGATTCGATGAGAAATTGGAATACAGTTTAGGACTTTCTCGACTTGAATGAATGATTGACTTATCTTTCTGCTATACCATCGACACATCTCACCTGCTAGCATGGAGATGTCAGTTCTTCTGCTCCAAGCCCAGATTGAGTCTGAGTCTCCTTGGGTCGGAACAATGAACAGGAGTCATTCAATCTTGATTAAACTCATTCCTCCGGTTGCGCTTCCCCGCACATGTCCCGAAGCAAAATATAACACGATCTTCCCCGCATCCCTCGCCTCCGCATCCCTCGCCTCCGCATCCCCGGCGGCGAGCCGATCGACCAGATACGACCGGGTCTAGAAAATGGGGATCATCCACTACTCAGCTCATGATTCGTGCGAAATCCACGACACCGAAGGCACAATTTACCACGATGCAACTCTGACTTCCCAAATAGTCGTATTCAATATCAAAGGGCAGGACAACCGGGCGAGAATGTGACCATTCTGCCGCACTGACTCGGCTGGGAAAACACCGATTTGACGATGTCGATTTAGTATTCAATCCGCCGCACCGTCGCGACCAGGGACCAGATGCCGGTGGGATGCCACCTGCGTCTTTAGCTGAGTCAACAGATAAGCTTGTTTTCGACCAATCCAATAGGTTTCAGCTTGACAACTCTCAGCCGTCTTTCGTGCGACAACTTTCCAGGATACAGAGACTGTTCCGATCAACTCAGTCATGCGTCATATTCTGGCGGCCGGGGTGCTCTACGGCCTCGTGGCCTTCGCCTCAGCGCAACAGATTGATGGAGCTGGAAAGAAAACATGCACGGTCAAGGCCAGCGGAACCAATGCCACCGACGACGCGCCCGCTATCCTTGATGCTTTCAAGACATGCGGTCGACGTGGGAAGGTCATTTTCGAGCCCACGACTTACTATGTCAACTCGGTCATGAATGTCACCTGGTTGGATGATGTCGAAATTGACCTCCTAGGCACTCTTCTGGTATGTTGCACAGCAGAGCGCCACAATTAATCCTCTCCTGTCTATGCATCCTCTACAATGTAGATGATGTGCCAAGAAGCGTCATGCAAGACAATTTCTCCGTGTCTCGTTCAACTGCTGACACAAGCCCGGTCGCAACTTTCAGTGGAGTACGAACATCTCGTACTGGCTCGCAAATTCGCTGGACGTGGGTTACCAGAACCAATCTACGGCCTTCATCCTCGGCGGCAACAACGTGCGAATTAATGGCCACGGAACGGGAACTTTTGATGGCAACGGTGACTATTGGTACCAGTGGATTCGCCAGCAACCCAACACGTCCAACTATCCCGGCCGGCCGCACGCCCTCACCCTCAATGGGCTGAAGAACTCCGTCGTTCGTGGGGTCAATTTCCTTAGGAGTCAGATGTGGTATGTGTTTCATCAGAGATGCGACAGCCTCTGCCGGAGTATTCAAGTGACTGATGTTGGACAGGACTATGTCCATCATCTACTCTCACAACGTCGAGTTGGACAGCATACTCGTCAACAACACTGGCAACCGCTATCAGAGTTGTAAGTAATCAGGGGGGAATTGATCAGTCATGGGTAAGAACATGATTTCTAAATAAGTGCTCATAGCCAACACGGATGGAGCCGACACAATCCGATCATCGAACATCAAGTTCAACAACTGGACAGTCTACAGTGGAGATGACAGTATCTCACTGAAGGCGAACAGCACCGATGTCAGCATTACAAACTCGAAGTTCTATAACGGACTGGGCATTGCGTTGGGAAGCATTGGGCAATACAACGGCCAGTTCGAGACTATCGAGAGGTTGAACGTCAAGGATTGCTACTTCGACAACACCCTTCATGCCGTCAGTCACCAAATAACAACGCATCGCCAGAAAACTCATCTAACATGACTTATAGGTATACTTCAAGACATGGACTGATGATCAGAACGGCTACCCTCCTAATGGTGGCGGTGGTGGTCTTGGCTGTGCGTATTTCCTCACTGATCTGTGAATAGAGCTGACTTGTCACTAGTTGCGTCGGATATGTCATTCAACAACCTGACTGTGAAGGGTATGCGTGGCGCCGCCGTAGCTATCTCGCAGTGCACCCGCTTCAGTGGCGCCCCCGGCGTGGGCAACTGCACCAACTCGCAGTTCCAAATTCGTGACATCACCGTCAACGGCATGTCCGGCACAACGAAGTCTTCCCGAGTTGCGAGTCTACAGTGCAGCGCTGTGGCACCATGCACCAACATTGGGCTCTTCGATGTCGACCTTCGCTTCGACAATGGCACAGCTGCGGCGTCTTATCTCTGTGGGCACGCTGAGAACCCGCTTGGCTTTGAGTGTACCGGCACTCCTTGCGTGGGAGGAAGTGCCACGGGAGAATGTTGAATTCTGCTGGCAATTATTTAGCTGCGAGCTTTTACATGTATCTGGAGAAACCCTTGGGCCTGCTTGGTCGGTCACACTAAAGTCCGTGTGCGAAATGAATCAATTCCGAGACTTCCGAGCCGCCATTTGAGATGTGATATGAGAATCTTCCATGAAGCCCGTCGGGACCGACCGTAGGCAACTACACCGCTGCCGTGAGGTCCGGACGGTATCCCACTAGTCTCAGCATCCCCGAGCAAGACCCAAATGTCTTCATGTCTACTCAACGCTGTGGAGATTTACCGGGAAAGTAGTCAGTCATCGTCATTTTCTTCTGAATACCTTCCTTGAAAGGGGTAGACTTGAATATTTCGAGCCCCATATAGCCTTGGAAGCCCCTTCTTAACCATTGTTCACGAAGCAATGGTTACTGTTACTCAAGAATACTCGTATTCAAAGGTCCTTCATCTCTCAATGGTCATTCGTTTCTGAGTTTCGGTAAAGAAACTAGCTCACCGGCACGCACAAACCACTAAATGACTCATGAGTCGTGGCATCTCGGGCCGCAACTATCGCGAGCTTAGTCCCCATGATCCACGCCAAGCACGCACTCCCGTGTTTTGGTCTAGATTTTGACTTTCAATCTACAAAGCTTGGCATTCGCACAACGTCAAAATAAGCGCATCGCTCACGTCGAAGGGACTGACTCAACCACCTGGACTTCAACCGGGGCTGTTGCGAGCGTCTGCAATGTCAGTAATATCGGTGCAGGCTTCCCCAGTTCACGGAACGCGGGTGTAAGAGCCTTTTTCACAATAGTCTTGTAGGGCTGTAAATGGAGGGGCTTTGGAGTACGCAAGCTCATCGTACGAGCCCGTGGCGCTAAGTAACTTGCGGCATGTTATTCGCAAAAGTAATGCGACTTCCTGTTACCCAATTGACAACTTGAATTATTGCGGAGCTGGAACTTAGATGAACTAAGATTCGCCTGAGACCCTCCACTGGATTCATCTGGTACTGGTAGCGGTCTTCCGGGAGGTAACCAAGATAGAACATACAACCCTTGTTCGGGGAGCGCTGTCCGCCAAGTCGAAGGAATTAACATTCGCCTCACAAAGCCATACGGGATCATTTGAACCATAGTGTTGTCCGTCAAATCCAAACATGTTGTCTCACCGAGTGTTGTCATCTGCAAACCATTTGGTGTCGCTGTTGTTAAACATTCTTGCCCAGCTGTCTCACCCTCATCAAATCCGTTGAAGTAAGCCTGGTTTGAAGGCCGCTGATCAATGGAAATCCCCTTTTTCCATCAATGATTTGCCGTCTCCATTGCCACCAACACCATCAAAAGGGGGTTGGCGCGCGCCAAGACACGGAAACCTCACGTTTCTTCTTGTCTTGGCCGATGGGCTATCATCTTTTGGTGAGGCTTGGCAAGGGTTGGGGTGCAGCAAAAATGCGGCGCCTGTCCCCTTTTAAACCTGCATGCTTGACTCAAAGGTCTTGGCATCGTCCGTCCAATTTTACGGCTTTTCGTAACGCCGTTCGCGCCCATCCCCAATCCGGAGGCAAGCGCCGAAACCGCCCAACCATGGGGTCGGAGCACATCAGCCGGTAGGTGACAATGATCTACCGAGACAATACCCCGGACCCATCATCTTCTTCAGTGGGCACCTGCGGCTTGGTGAGGTTGTCGACGGCTGTTCTCCTTTTCTTCACCAGACATCGGAGGTGATTTGGCATGCGTGCATACCTTACGCTGATTAGGCTCAGTTTTAGCTGCATGGGTGGGTTGTTCTAGCGCCTGTCCAGTCACGTTGCCTATCACGCCTGCGTTGCCTGATGGCATCAACATGCTGTTGGGCCTTGAATTGTGCACCTGCCCTTTACAGACTTCCAGTAAGTTCGCTTCCACACCTCGGACTAAGGTGTTTCCTTATGGAGAACCTATCCGACCGACAACACCTTCTCGTATGGATCCATTTGGTGATTCGCTTGCCGATTCACTGATACCACTGACGCGATAGCCATCTCCCGTGTCTCTCACTAGCAACAGAACGACCCTGGTTTCTGAGATCTTGGCGTTGAATCCAACGTGGGGCCCTGGACAACATCGGACGGTCTAGACAATAGAATTGGAGATCGAAAGAAAACCCCTGTCGCCGTTCCTCAGAACCCTCTTGTTATAATCCAACCATACCAGTAGAGGCTCTGGTGCAGAGCCCGTTCGGGCAGTCTCCACCCCCAAAGACACCCTCGACCACACCTCGAAGGAGGCTGTGCTGGAAAGTCGCTCTCACCTTCCTGGAGGTATTGGGTAGATTATCTGCCAAGCCTTACGAGTTCCCAGAATGCGGCCATCGTCTGTTCTCATTGGGAGTTGTTGCCGTAGGACATGGAAGGCTCAAGGACTACTGGTGTCTGTCCACCACGCGACCGCCACATTTGCGGGGCTCAAACGTCGCCCTCATGGAACCCAGGAGTACAGGTGAAGTCGGAAAAGACAAGATGCATCCACCTATCAGAAGAGGCAAGGACCATCTTCGACTACCGAGACTAGGTTGGCGTCTGTCAAGGTCAGAGATATCATTGGCCACGGATGGAGAAGTTCGGTACATGACGATCAAGGGTTCCTTGGAGTTTGCGGCAGCCCACCCACGTCCTCGGGCGAGCGTCCGAGCCTGGGGCGCCTCCCAATGTTGATTTCTTCTGGAACATGGCGGTGATGATGTTTGGTAATTCCACCAAGGAGATTCATCATTCCTCGCCCCTGAACAACTTGCTATGATGATAGGCCACGGGATCACGGGATGCTGCTCCCAGTAAGTGGTACAGTCTAGACTCTTACGATCTATGTGAAACTCCCTTACCGCCATAGTATCTTGGGTGACTCCTGAGAATGATTATCGTGATAGCTGTGGGATTCCTGACGGAACTATAAGTACGACGTAAATCTTTATCATTCTCCCATCTGTCTTCCCTCCTCATCCCGCTCACTCAGGACAATCACACAGCTGCCTCTCAATATCTTCCACTCAGCTTTATCACGCAAATCACATCCAAAATGCAGACCAAGGTTCTTGTCTCCGCCATGCTGGCCGGCCTCACCGCGGCTCAGACTCTCAACATCCCCACCCGCAGCGGTTCCATCGTTTCCCTCTCTGCTCCCAGTGTCATCTCTGGAAGCAAGGACATGGGCAACAAGGAGTTCGATCGTGGTCGCGCCTGTGACACCGATGCCGACACTGGCAGCGACTCCGCCGTCTTCATTCTCGAGAATGGCGCCACGCTGAGCAACGTCATCATCGGTGTCAACCAGCTGGAGGGCGTTCACTGCAAGGGCGCCTGCACCCTGAAGAACGTCTGGTTCCGCGACGTCTGCGAAGGTAAGATACCACCTATGAGATTCTTAGCTAAGCCCTTTGACTGACTCCCACTCGCAGACGCTATCTCCGCCCTCGGCACTGGCGACGTCCTCATCCAGGGCGGTGGCGCCCAGAACGCCGTCGACAAGGTCGTTCAGCACAACGGCCGCGGCACCGTCACCATCGACGGCTTCACCGTCGTCACCGCCGGCAAGCTCTACCGCGGCTGCGGCGACTGCACGAACAACGGCGGCCCCCGCAACGTCATCGTCAAGAACGTCAAGGCCAAGAGCGTTAAGGAGCTCGTCGGTATCAACTCCAACTACGGTGACGTCGCCACCATCTCCAACACCTGCGGCTCCAGTGTCTCCAAGGTCTGCCAGGAGTACAAGGGCGTCAACAAGGGCTCTGGCGAGAGCAGCAAGGTCAGCACCACTGCCAACTGCAAGGGCCAGACTTCTCTGTCCGCCTGCTAAGCGGCTTGACCATCGGTTCCTGGTCGATCTTTCTGCATCATACTTGAGCGTGGAGTCTTGGGGAGCTTATCCCTCCAGCGTGTATTTACTTCTGCGCCGTGGTTTGTTGGCTGATGCCTCTCTGACCGGGTGCCTTCCATGTACATAGTAGCTTCGCCGATAGGCCCGAACATAACAGCTGAATTGTTTTCAATCGACTCCATATGCTGTGAAGATAGTAGACTTCCAACTTGCTCAGCCAAAATTACATGTGCTTCGAGACAGGGGTCGGCGACCGAGGTGAAGTCCCCGGTTCCACTGGCTTACTCAACAGCAAAACATTAGATACTCCCTGAAAGGTCGAACTTGTACACGTCTTTTGACGGAGGTTTTTGCCCGGCTGTAGATCGAAGATGTGTGGGTTTAAAATGTGTTTATCAGACGGGTGGCTCCCCATTGCCCACAATTCGACCCATTGGTCGACGTCAAGTGGGAACCGACGATGCGGACGCTGCCGCGGCGTCAGTGACGATACATTTACGCAACTTTGCGTCACTCAAATTACAGTGAGTTCAATTTGATAACACATCGAGATTATCGAGACTGTTTTAAAAAGCCTTTACAACGATAGTTCCAGGAAATCCTTCACATTACATCTATCACATTCGACCAAACTTCCACTCAGCGATCAAACTTCCCGCCCCCAAATCGTTACAGTCAACTCTGTTTACATAAATCCTTCGAGCTATCATAATGCCTCTATACAACAACTCTCAAGCCGACACTCACAGTATGTATTGGTAGACTACCTACGCATCCCAGTACTAACTGTAAAGCAGAGGACCCCTCAAGCAAGCATGAAGCCAAGGAGATGATTACTGTTCGGTATGTATCAAGTATTGCGAGTCGGCTATTGATTCTGGAGGGCGCGCTTTCCAGAAGACGCCTAGACTTATTTGAAGAGGAGGAATGGAAGTGGTTATCGTGCATTCGTGTTGTTGCTGGATTGTATGGTTGAGATAGATGGTAAAAGCTAGAAGTTGTGTCTGGAATAAATAGGCAATCCAAAGATTTCGCTCGGGGTGACTCTGAACAATTCCAGTTGTTCTCTCTGGGGATCCCAACTCTTGTCCCTTTGTAGTACAACAACAACAGCTACCCTTTATTGACACAATGAATAATAGCAACGCTGCCAGGCTTC